CCTCTTGGGGCATCCGGGTGGCCTCTTGCGGCCATCGTGGAGGAAATCGATCAAAGAAGAGGGGAGCTCTAATTAGCGCTGCCCCCTCAGAAGGCCAAAATGGGGCCAAAACCATAGTAAAATCAATGAGTTTGGCTTCCTCGCCGAGGCCGTTTTGGGCGCTCTGACCGCTCCCCGCCCCTCCTGTCCAGGTCAGTGGGGAGGGGGTAGGGGGAGGGGTAAACCCCTCCCCGAAGGGGAAGAGGGAGGGGTGGAAGAGGAAACGCCCTAAACCACCGACGCCCAGCGGGCTGGTGGGATTGATTGGCCTTCAAAGTTATGCGAAGCAGCATGTGCCCACCCCGGGACCCCAATCTGACCCCCCCTTCTTTTGCGGTTGGCGTTGCGAAGATAGCGAGCGATGTGGTGCCATCGCTTTGCTCATTACACGCTATCCCCCCACAGGGAGATGGCGTGCACACAGGGGGCCTTACGGGGATAGCGTGCTCTTCGAAAGTCGAGGTTGCACGCTACGTTTGCAACGCCTACCGTATTATGCAATCCCGAGTGCCTAGAGGATTAGGGGTGTAGGACGGCGGAGGAGGGGTGGAAAAGGAAGGGAAGGAGGAGGCGCAAGGAGGATTACCTTGGCTAGGGGGAGGAGGAGGCGAGGAGAGTGAGAAGGAAAGGGACAAGGAGCAGGAGGAGGATGAGGATGAATACAGAAACCCTGGTAACTATGACTAACGTACTGGGCACTCGTCTGGGAAGAGGATCTCTTCCTTGGTCTCGTCGGCCGCTCCACTGTCCAGTCTTTGCGGTCGGGGCTGCAGCCGAGTGAGCACGGCGGGGGTCAGGGCTGGGAGGGGCGCCCACGGGCAGAGGCAGCGAGCGGAGCACGCGCACAAGCTCAGTAACGAGTCGGGTGTTGCTCGAGGTGCCCCTGGCCCAAGGTGCCCCCAGCTTTTCTCCAAGGAGGCACCCACGGCCTCCAGAGAACCCCTCACGAGGCCCAGGGGGGCCCCCGCTGATGGGCCTGTTTTCCGCCACCACCACCATAAGTTGGAGGGGGGAGGGGGTCCTCCTCCTCCTCCTCCTCCTCCTCCTCCTCCTCCTCCTCCTCCTCCTCCTCCTCCTCCTCCTCCTCTTCGTCCTTCTCGTCGTCCTCCTCCTCCTTCCCCCCATCCAACTTATGGTGGTGGTGGTGGTGGTGGTGGAAAAAAGGCCCATCACCAGTGTGTCCAACATGGAGCGAATCTGGGGGCACCTTGGGCCAGGGGCACCTCTTGCAGCCTCCGAACAGTGGTGTGCAACATCCTACGGCTGATCTTGTTGGAGTCGGCTGGGGGTCTGAGGCGGCCCAGCACTGGTTTCGGCCCGCAGGAAGGTGGACCCCAGGAGAGGTCCGGGGATGGAGTTTTGGAGCGGATTTGGCTTCATCCCATCCCTCCCTCCTTACTCCAGATTTCGTAATGAAGGGAGGGGGGTCTCATTTCGGGGGGGTCTCTTCCAGGCTATCGTGGAGGGCCTGGGGGGTCTGGGGACGATGTTTTGGAGGGTTCTCCCACGGGGGAGGTCTGAAATGACTTGTCTTGGTGGGTCCAGGCCCCCTCCCTTTTATTACGAAATCTGGAGTACCGATGTTCTGGGGCCCCAAACGGTTCAGGCCCCCTGGCCGCCTCAAACATCGGGCACACAGTCCAACAGCACTTCTGGTTCGTTCTGAGCAGGGTCGGCGGCGACATGTTGAACCCTGCCCTCGCCGATCAACGACTCCGACAACTCGATGGGCTACAGGGGGGTAGGGTTCGCGGAATTTTGAAGGCGCCCACAAACACACACATGAATCCACAAATAAAATGATTCCCCATATTTTCCTATGTTTTCTAAGTTTTTTGTCTTCCCCCCCACTTCCCATATTTTCCCATATTTTCCTGGGAATCGACGATTAATTGTGTCTGTGTGTTTTTCCCCTCCTGAAATTTGTCGAACACGTGGCTAAGTCCGAGCACTACCTCCGCCTCTCGTCGATTCAGGAGAATGTAAGCTTGATTGGGGCAGGGTTCGGACGTCGCTAGCCATAGGGTTCGCTGTCGCCATCGACGTGGTCGCTGTCCACTCGAGACTCAAGCTCGCCTGCCCACCAGCGGCAGCCGTTGGTTTTGGATCACATTTGCTGTTGGGCATAGTACCCATGTTCTCCGTACCCAGTTCGGGCGTCCAAATCCACGTGGTGTTCCTAGCACAGCTTGGGTCGTGGAGGGAACCCTCTGGTCGCCTGCGCTGTCGCAGTAGCGAAATGCACGTGCCGCGATTCGGGTGGATCGGGCAACCCTGACATCTGCAGCGATCCGACGGAGAAAAAGTTCGAGCACTTCATGGTGAGTGCGTTTCAGTTGTATCCGAAGTTGGGAATCAGGAGGCGCTTGTATTTGTCACCGTCTGCGGCCCCAGCTTGCTTATTTTGATATGTCATGCGTAATGTTTGAAAGCTCCCCAAACGTTGCACGCCAGGTATCAGTCCACACATGTGTCGCGAATGATGTGCCCTTTGACTTGTGATTTAATCGCTTCGCTCCTTCCGCCGGCCCATTTCGCATCACTGTGGCTGCGTAGAGGTGTGCGCGTGCCCAGGTGGAACGGTAGTGCAGGCAGGAGGTTTCTCGAGAAGACCTTTGGAGATGTGGTTCGCGCCGTGTCGAAGAGAGTTGATAGACTTGCCCAGAGGACGTCAAGATGGCTCAAGAGAGCTCCAGTAGAGTTTCGAGACGTACCTGGGCCGTGGATCAACGTCCTCTTGGATTCTTCGTGGGGTCTCTTCGGCGGTCTCTCGGGAGCCTCTAGAGTCTCTTAGGGGTTTCTTGGGGGCCTCTTGGGGTTTCCTGGGGGCCTGTTGGGAGTCTTGGGCACATCTTTTGGGGCCTCCTGGGGCCCTCTTGGGGCCTCTTGGGGGCTCTTGGGGGCCTCAGGGGGCTTCCTGGGCGCCTCTCCTGGCTGAGATCTCGAAATGTCGGTTCGGGTTCCCCCTCTGGGCCCCTTCTTTAGGCCATCTTGGGGGCCCTGACCTCCTGGGCCGTCCAGGACGGTCGGCAGCTCGAAAAAGCAGCACCGCCAAACTCGTCCGAACACCTACGCAAAAGCAGTGATGTTCGTCTTCGGGACCGCTCGAAGTCTGCTCGGAGCCCTCCTGGAGCGGCTTGGGCGCTTGTTGGGCCGTCTTCGGACCGGCGTGGGCCATCTTGGATCGCTCCTGGCCTGAGGCCGCGGGGCGTGCTACAGTCGGGGCGTTGAGCTAATGAACCCTAAATAAGGAACGAGGCCCCTTTTCTCCAGAAGTTGAACTTCGATTTACCTTCGAAGACCTAAGGAGAACGTGGGGCACACTGTGAAACAGTTAAGGAACGCGGAGCCCCTCCCCAACGAAAAGGGTTCCTTCTTCGGGGCCCCGACTGTACCCTTTTGGCGCCTCATTGGGGCGCTGAGGGGGCCCCCGAGGCCGCGCCCAGGAGTTCTGGCATCTCTGCTCCGAGCTTGCCGGGACCGTGCCCGAGCACCGTTCGTCCCGGCACCCTCATGGGCCGCCACGCGCGCGCGAATCAGACACAGATTCAGTTTACCAGAAATTTTAGCACGCCTCTGGACTGTTGGACTGGCGAATTGTCCGCACAGCGGCTGGCCGTGGTATGAAGTAGGCACATCTTTGCGAGCAACGCGCGCGTGTGCCAAACCGTTTGTCCGAAGAAATTGAGAATCGCGACCGCGAGGATTCGATGAAGATCGTCAGTGTACGCCTAACTTGCGTAGCGACTAGTATCAAGTGTAGGGTCCCATCCGCCTGAAGCTTACTGCTACTTGCGTCTTCTGGCTCTTCGGAGCCACCTTTCCGCTCATCATATCTTAGGTTGTCCACTAGACAGCAGTCCTTACTAGGCCAGAGGCCGAATACTCGCAAGTGCGGGCAGCAGAGTTCCATAGAGTACGTTCGATGGGGATGCACATGTACAATGTGCACCGATCTTGGCCAGCAGAATCTTCGGCCCAGGGTCGGCATACACATATATATATATACATATAGACATACACATATATTTGTACATATGTACATACATATAGAGATGTATTCCATCCCGGCTAGGTCAGGATGCGAGTGCACTTGTCTTGGGCCAAGGATTGGATTGATCGTTGGCGTCCGTTTGCCTCCACTGTTTTCCCCGAGCCCTTCTCTTCCCCCCCTCCCCAGACCTTCGGCCTCGTGATCTTCCCGAAACGTAGATGCTGGGAGGTCTAGGCCCTTTCCGGGACTGGCTTGTCATATTGAGCCGGTTTTTGGCAGTCCCCAGGGTCGTCTTTCCTAGCGGGATGATGTGGAGGAGAAGGGGAGGAGAAGGGCAATGGAAAGGAGGAGGAGGAATGACAGGAGGATCACCTAGATCCATTTGCGTCGCGAGCAACTCTCAATGGGAGGTGTCTGGGGAGGCGTTGCCGGGCCCTGGGTCCTTCGAAAATTGTTCGTCATGGGCAGTCGGTCTTGGGGAAGGTGTCGAGACATTTTGGGGTCCACGTAAATCAAGTCACCATGTCGGGCGACTTGGGAGGAGGAGGAGGAGGAGGAGGAGGAGAAATCGACGAGATGTCGTCTCTAACGCCCTCTCTCTCTATCTGTCCGCTTCTATATATCGCGACACCCCTCCTAGTATGATATCGATAGCATGGTTCCTACGCCGTCGCAATGTAAAACAATCGACGTCTAGCAATGGACTGGTTGATAGTCATCGATTATAAATTATATAGCCGTTCATGCTGTGCAGTAAGACCCACCCTGTTGTCTTGCAGTTCGGCAATTGCTAGTATCGTTGTCGTGGCCGCCCGTCGTCACATCATCACACTTTGGCCTCTCCCTGAGTGTTGTTGCAGGGGTTTTCTGTAGATGAAGTTCACCGTTGCGCTGCACAGGCATTGCATGCGCGGTCATCCCCAGTGCAGCGTTCTCGCCGTCGTCATTATTGCCTGGGCTGTGTGAGGGGCTACTCCACCGTCGCATTCTTCGTGCCCATGCAGCGCTTCTCCAATCGCGACCAGGCGCCAATGCGTTCTTGGGCTTGGTGTCGGACGTCGCTCTCGGTCTTGAACAACCCCTTTGTCTGGTGATCGACTGCCAGGGGCAATAACATGAGCTCCTCTAGATATTCGGACCTCATGCTTCCAATGCGCGCCCTCATCAAATTCAAAGGAGGCGGAAGGTAGAAAGGAGATGGATCGGCCCATCACCCGAAAGTGCCCCGAAGATGGTGAGTGGGGAAGTCTCCTGAAATTCAAGCAACGTACCTGGCTGTTATTTTCCCATCGTTTCAGTCCCATCGAACCTAGCATGGTGGGGTGTCGTGAGAGCCACTGGAAACGTCACGTCGAACCGACCTGATGTGGCCACACGGGCCCACTCTCATTCCTCCTCTCCAGCAGTCTCTCACTCATCCTCCCCACCCTGCTCTGTTTCCGCCCCCCCCCCCACCCGCCGCCCCTTCTTGATCTCGCCCCTCCGACATCCTTCGCCTCCCCTGGACAGGGTCCGTTTCGATCCGGTCGATCCCATTCGATATCGATCCTGGCCGGCCAGGCCCGATTCAGCTCGATTTCGATACGTTGGCGATCCGAGGCGACCCGATGTTCGCACGGCGTTGGGGCATCCTGGCGTGGCCGAGCCGATTCGATTCCGACTCGGTGCCGATGCGGTCCGACGCGCTTTCGAGGAGGAGGAGGAGGAGGAGGAAGAGGAGGAGGAGGAGGAGGAGGAGGAGGAGGAGGAGGAGGAAGAGGAGGAGGAGGAGGAGGAGGAGGAGGAGGAGGAGGAGGAGGCGACCCGACTTCCCGATTCGGCCTTGGCCACTCCGGCCTGGTGGCCTCCTGAGGTCTCTGCAGGCTTCCATCGGGCCGGGCGAAAGGGGGGGATAGGGAAAGGGGGGGTGACGAAACCTGCTGCGTGGAGCTGGTTTCGGTCCCGCCGCCAGGCCCATTCCTCGATACATGGCCGCCTCCGGCGCCGGGAGGCGCCGGGAAAATCAGCTACGTGAGCTGATTCTCAAACCCCCCCTTTGCTAGCCTCCCCTTTCGCCCAGCCCGATGCCAGAGTCCCCCAGGGGCGCCTCCGGAGAGGCCCAGCGTGGCGCCAGGGTCTTCCCGAGGTCTTCGAGGGTCGAGGATCGATGGAGGATCGAGGATCTCAAGGCCTCCTCGATGGGGTCGGAGTGCAGTCGGCCCTGATCAGTAGGTCGACCCTGCCAAATCAAGGGTACCCTTGTGTCCTGTGTCTCTCGACCCATGCTTCCCACATTCCTGTGGCAATGTGGCCCTCGGAAGGGTCTTGTGTCCTCTCGCGTGTCCTCTCCAATCAAGTCCGACTGGAGATGGGGTCGGAGGATCGCGCCGCATCGCCGATGCTTCGGGGATGCGGCTCGATGCGGAGCCCGATTTTCTCCATGCCGACTTCGCCGATGCATCGCCAGCGTCGCTGGTGCATCGCCAGCGCATCGCCTATGCATCGCCTATGCATCGGCGATCCTCCGACCCCATCTACCGGGACCCCACCCAGGACGCCTCTGGGATCGGATGATCGAGGATCGATGCGTGCGTGCGTCTTGCCTGCCGCAGGCCCGGTGCCAGGGTTCGAGCAGAAGATCGACTACAGAATTGATTTACCCCAAAACTACCTGTTTCCGTCGACTCCAAAAGAAATCTATATGATGTTCGTATATCTACGAACAGTATACATCTGTTTTCGTGTATTCTACGAGCAAATCACTGCAGTCGATCTCCTATTCGAAGGGTCGTCCCGAGGCCTTCGAGGAAGGCCCTGCGCGCGCGTGTGGCTTGGCTGCCGCCGTCCTGGCGTCGGCCTTCAGAGCCAGAAAAGGAGCGGCAGGAGGGACGACCGCGGAGGTGCAGCGCCGCAGCAAAGATTGTACAAGGACGCCCTCCGATGGAATGTTCCTGGGCCTCAGTGGAGGGTGGCGGTGTATTAATCACCACTTAGAGCCAGCGGCTTCATACACTGCCACCCTCTCTGAAGCTACAGGCAACATTCGCCAGCCTGCCAGCGTACGCCTGTGTCTATACTTCCGTGGCATATGCGGCGCGCACCACCTGGCGTCAATGCCATCCTTGGCATCGCTCGGACGTGTGCATTCTTCCTTCGGCGAGGACCATCGAGGAGCATCCTTGATCACTTAGCGAAAAAACCACGCACGAAACCGGGAAAAACAGAAGAAATGGACGTCCGAGCGATGGCCAGCATCCCGATGAACCCGAATCGGTATAGAGATTACAGCCACTTCGATGCGATTCGACTCCGCTGCTCCGACGATCCGAGTCGTCCCGATGAGCGTGCACGGCGTCGTGGTGCATCCTGGTGCCGCCGATTTGATTCGAGCTCGATTCCGTGCCGACGCAGCCCGATCCGACGAAGATCTGTGGGAAAAAACACAGATCCGGTACGAGATCTGGTAGAAAATACACACACACACACTTGAAGAAAAACACACCCTTATGGGAACAAGACACACACTTGTGGGAACAAAAACACGTGTGTGTTTTTTCCCACAGATCTGGTACGAGATCCCCATCCGATGCTGACTGATCCTGCCGCCGCCCGCGCCCGCACAGACCAGCGGGGCCATCGTGGGCTTCAAGACGCTGGCCAGCAGCCGACGCTTTGGGATCCCCTCCTGCTGTGGCGACGACGGCGGCCGCTATGAGGTGAAGGGGTCCCTCGGGGAGAGGGGCCCTGAGGTTTGTCGGCGTTTTCGGGCTCCTGGGGTCTTCCGCGCACCCCAGGAGTGTTAAACAGCAGCTCAGGGCGAGGAGTTGATCCTAGGGGAAGGCCCCAGGGTCTAGGACCGTTCCCTTCACGCTTCCAGTGGGGGGGAGTTTTGTTTTTGTTCCCCACATGTTTCGTGGGGTTTGGGTTTTCTTCCCTTTCGCGTCGCACCCGCGTCTCCTCACCTCCCCCTCCCCTTCCCCGTCTGACCCTGCACTAGCACTGACAGCATTCATACACACAGCACACATCTAGCATATATATATATATATATATATATATATATATATATATCGGAGGTGAGGGGGTGAGATCGAAGTGGACGGAGAGCCCCCCTACCGGGAAATCGATTTCGGTTTCGTGTTCGTGCGTGCCGTGCGGGCGGGCGAGGCGAAGCTGCGTGGGCGGGCGAGAAAAAGTCTCCTGTAGCTGAGGCGCGGCCGGACCGGGTGATTCCCTTCCGGGCGGCCGGTGGCCCGCGGTGTCCCGCCGGTGTCCCGCTGGTGTCCCGTGTGGCTGAGGCGCGGCCAGACCAGGTGACTCCCTTCCGGGCGGCAAGTGGCCCGCGGTGTCCCGCCGGTGTCCCGCGGTATCCCGCGGTGTCCCGCGGTGCCCCGCGGTGTCCCGCCGGTGTCCCGCGGTGTCCCGCGATGATGATGACGACGATGATGATGATGACGATGATGATGATGATGATGAGGATTATGATGGTGATGATGAGATGATGATGATGATGATGATGATGATGATGCTGATGATGGTGATGTTGATGGTGATGTTGATGATGCTGCTGATGATGATGACGATGATGATGATGACGATGATGATACTGATGATGATGATGAGGACGATGATGATGATGATATTGATGATATGATGATGGTGTCCCGATGATGATGATGATGATCATGAGGATGTCGATGATGATGATGATGATGACGATGACGATGATGATGATGCTGATGGTGTCCCGATGATGAGGATGATGATGATCATGATGATTATGTTGATGATCATGATGATGACGATGATGGTGTCCCGATGATGATGAGTATGATGATGTTGATGTTGATGATGCTGATTATGACTGTGTCCCGATGATGATGATGTTGATGATGATGAGGTTGATGATGATTATGGCGTCCCGATGATGATGATTATTTTGATGGTGATGATGATGATGATGTTGACGATGATGGCGTCCCGATGGTCATGATGATGATGATGATGTTGATGCTGATGTTGATAATGATGATGATGGTGCCCCGATGATGACGATGATTATGCTGATGATGATGTTGATGATGCTGATGATGATGCCGATGATGAGGATGAGATGATGACGATGGTGTCCCGATGATGATGATGATAACGATGGTGATCATGATGGTGTCTCGATGATGATGCTGCTGCTGATGATGATGATGATGACGATGACTGTGTCCCGATTCTGCTGATGATGATGATGTTGATGATGATGATTGTGATGATGGTGCTGATGATGACGACGATGGTGGTGTCCCGATGATGCTGCTGCCCGTGATGATGATGATGTTGGTGTTGATGATGAGAACGGTGTCCCGATTATGATGATGTTGGTGATGATGATGTTGATGTTGATGTTGTTGTTGATGACGTTGATGACGTTGATTGTGAGAGTGGTTGTGATGTCGATAGTGAGATCGATAGTGAGACCGACTGTGATATCGATTGTGAGATCGATTGTGAGATCGTTTGTGAGGTCGATAGTCAGATCAATTGTGCGATATATCGAGTGAGATCGATTGTGAGATCGATCGATGGAGATCGATCGAGCAAGACCGATATTGAGATCGATAGTGAGATCAATAGTGAGACCGATCGGGTGAGACGTTGGTTCCTCCCCCCCGAACCTCCTTATCACCCGAAGGGTGGTCGTATGGGTATATGTATGTGTATATATATATATATACAGCACACATGCACACAACACGCATGTGGGAAAGGGATGGCATCAGACATGCGCTCGCATGCATCACGCATGCGCGCACACATCAATCGTACACACGCGCGCGCACACACACTTGCAGCTGCTTGGTGCACACGCTTTCCTGGACACTGCCTGTGTTCAGCGCACCATGCAAACACCGGACGCACGCTACACAAACACTGCACCCACGTGGAGACACACGTCCACGTACAGCCGCACACGCATCATACACATACATACGATACGCCATACACAAGACGTGTAGGATCCGCAGTGCGTGGCAGGCGCGGCACACGGCGGTCCATCAGCGCGTCTTTCTGCCATTTGTTCGACGCCAGGGTGGGCGCGCAGGGGGGGGGTGAGCGCGATGTCTATGCGTTGCAGGCTCGCGCGGCGTGGCAGGCGCGGCACTTCCTCGACAGCATAGGGGGTGTCTATGCGTTGCGGGCTTGCGCGGCGCGGCAGGCGCGGTTCTTCCTCGACACCGCAGGGGGTGCGCGGGGGGGGGGTCCCTGAACTCTCTGTCTATCCGCTGCAGGTTCGCCTGGCGTGGCAATTTCTCGACACCACAAAAGGGTGCGCAGGGGATGGTCCCTGAGACCGGCGTCTTTGCGCTGCAGGCTCGCAAGGCGCAGCAGGCGCGGCGCGCTCTCGACACCACAGTGGGGTGCGCAGGGGGTGGTCCCTCAGTGCTGTCAGCGCCCGCTGCTGCTTCGCCAGCCGTGGATCTCGGCGCCACAAGGGGGCGCGCAGGCGGTGGTCCCTGGGCGCTGTCACTATCCGATGCAGGTTCGCAAAGCGTTGCAGGCACGGCGCTTTCTTGACGTCGCAGTGGGTGCGCAGGGGGTTGTCCCTGTGTGCGGTGTCTTCGCGCTGCAGGTCCGCAATGTGTAGCAGGCGCGGCGCGCTCTCGACGCCACAGTGGGGTGCGCAGGCGTTGGTCCCTGAGGTTTCTCGGCGCCACATGGGGCGCGCAGGGGGTTGTCCCTGAGCGCTGTCTTTATCCGACGCAGACTCGCCGGGCGCGGCAGGCGCGGCACTTTCTCGACTCCGCTAGGGGCGCGCAGGCGGTGGTCCTTGAGCACGGCGACTATGCGTTGCAGGCTTGCAAAGCGCGGCAGGCGTTGAATTTTCTCGCCGCCGCAGCGGGCGCGCAGCGAGTGGCCCCTGAACGCGGCATCTATGCGCCGCAGGCATGCGAGGCGCGGCAGGCGCGGCACTTATTTCGACGCCGCATGAGGGGCGCGCAAGGGGCGGGCCATATGGGGCGCAGGGGGGGTGCGCTTTCTATCCTCTGAAGGCTCGCAGGGCGCTACAGGCGCGGCGCGTCCTGAGCGCGGGAGAGGTGCGCAGGGCGTCTTTTCCGTAACGGTTAACTCCTTCCTTAGCTAAAGCTGGCTCGGCGCGAGTGCGCGTTCACGCCGGGGCGCCCGCAATCCCATTAGACGGCAACAGCCGCCCTTCACGCGCGCGGCAGCCATGCCGCCCAAATCTGCCGCGGGCGCGCCGCCACCGCCGCGCTTGGCGATGAAAGCGCGTTCCTTCACGTGGGCGGCGAGCTCGCTGGGGGGGGGGGGGGCGCGGCGGGACGCTGGGGGAGACGGAGGAAGGCGATAGTTCGCCGCGGGCGAAATTTCGGCGAGTCGGCGACGCGGGCAACGCGGGCGTTGCCGCGCCCGCGCAGGCCGCGCCCGTGAAGTCCGCGCTCGCGCAGGCCCCCGCCCTTCAGCGGTGCCCAGGAGTTCTTCGTGCTAACTCTGTTCGTTAAACTGACGCCCCCCGCATTCAGCCGTTCCCAGAGCTGGCGGAGACGGACTGCCGCCGGTCTCGAGGGCCATGCTCGCACGACCTGCGAGAGTGGATGCTCCTCGAGAGCTTGCACTCTCAAGCGAATGCGCCGGCGACAGAACGGCGCGCGGAAGTCGCAGCCGGGCGAGCTGTTGATCCACGGCGCCGGTCGTCGAGGAGGGGCGACGACGCCGCGTTGTGGGGGCATTTCGCAAGGTACCCCGCCGACGATGAATTCCACGGAATGGATGTGCCCACCCTTCGCTCGTTCGCTGCGAAGCCTGGCGCGCTCGGCGGGGCCGGCGCGAAGTTCCACGGGCGGGCGAGCAACGTCGCCCTCTGGCGAAGGGCGCGTCGAGCCGCCGCGGAACACCATGGAGTCGATTCTTTCCGAGGCGCGGGAGGCGCCGCGCACCGCGCGCGACAGGCAGCCCCGGCAGAGCGGCTGGGCGCGGCGAAATTCCCGCGCTCAGCTGACCAGGAGGGCCCGCCGCCTGAAGGGCGCAAAAAGGTTACTGAACGCGCCTGGCCCCGGCGAAATGGGCACGCGCGCGGAGTTTCCCCCGGCGCGCGCGGGCGCGGAGATGAGATCCGCCGCCGAAGCGTCCAAGCGCAGGAGCCTGGTCTAGGGGCGGCAGGCCGTCGTCGTGAGCGTCGTTCGACAGCAGCGACCACGACAGGTGCGACGCCCGCGCTCTGGGAAATATCGCCCGCCCGCGCGTTCGGCCTGCCAGAATCTGGGCGAAGGTGCGCAAGTTCGAGAAGCAGGGCCCAGACGCGGTCGCCGCCTTCGCACACCCCTTCGGAAGTCAAGAAGAGAGGGCGAACGGCCCCCCCTGATGCCCGCTCGCGGAGGCGCGCTTCGCGCGGAGAGACGCAACTGAGATGCTCGGGGTTAGAGGCGCAGGAAGGGGTTCGCGAGCGGGGTTCTCCTGGCGCCCACCGCTTCGCAGGGCCAGGCGATCCGCGCTGGGGCGGCGATTGATTGCGCGCGGGGCGCGAGCGTTGGCAGACCAGGAGACAGAGTGGATAATCGGGGGCTGCGCCTGCGCGCGATGCCCAGCAGAGCATCCCGCGCGCGCGACGCGCTCTTGTTTCGGCCGCCGCCGATGGGGGCCCTCGCAGGGGGGCCCGCCTCCATCCGCGTTCAGAACCTTCGAGAAATTGCCCATGAGAGGCGAGGGATCGAGGCCCTGATGGATCTTGCCGGCGGCGCGAGGTCGTCGGAGCGCACGAGCCCGCGCGCCATCGCAGCGGCCGCGGAAGTGAGCGAGGCCACCGCGCACTTTGGATGGCCCCAGTCGAGAAGCCCGCGCTGCTCTGGCGGAACGGGGCGCCGGAGCCTTTCCGACAACGGCAGCGACCCCCGGCCGCGCGGACATCGCGCTTCCCGCGCCGGCCCGAGCCGAGTTCGCAGCGCCCGCCCGTTTGTTTTATTTTTTACCGCTGCGGCCATAGATTTCCCGTCGAAGGGCGCCCCCGCTGTCTGCGCGCCAACGGCATGCGTCTGCTCGCCATGTCCTTGCGCGCGCAGCTCGGAGGCATCGCCTGGGAGCACAATATGTGTACACCACCCGCACAGGAAAGTTGGTCCAGCACACAAGGTAGGCCCGCGGGGGCGGTGGTTATAAAATCACCACCCATATCGTTGGGGTCCTGCCATGTTGCTTCTTGGCCTTTCCAGCAATCAGCCCCTCATCGCAGAGACAGTCCTACCCCTCCCTCCCGGCGAGCTGCCGCCGCCCACAAAGAGGCGCATCCTCCTCCTCCATTACTTTTCCTTCTAAATAACTCCTCCCTGTCGCACCCCCAGGCCGGTCGAAAGGGCGAGCCGGGTGTTTCGCTTGTAACGTCCTCACCATGTATGCCCCTGAAGCTTCAAATTTAGCAACAGTTTCACCATTGGAGGGCGGGTGGTTTTCAGTATGTGGTTCTCGCTTTGGCGTTGCGCACATTCGTCTGAAGAATAGAGTTTCACGGATTGAGGGTGGTTTGTTTTTTTGTGTAGTTCTCGCCTTAGCGCCGCCCCCACTCGTCTTAAGAATTTGCAAGAGCGGCTCGTTTTCAAATGTGGTTATCGTTTTCGCGCCGCACGCTTTCGTATCTATAGTGAGAAATAGCTTCATGGATTGAGGGTGGTTCGTGTTCAAAATGTGGCTCTTGCCTCAGCGCCGCGCACATTCATTCAACAAAGTGAAAGAGTTTCACTGATTCCCTGGGTTCACATACCAGAAGTGGTGTTTTGGAAGGATTCAGGAGTGTGAGGATTACGTTGATTCGCGGCGTTGACGTCCCAGGAATGGTGTTCTGGCATGGTCCAAGGCGCAACAGTCAAGTTGATCCGTGGCGTTGGAGTCCCGAAAATGATGTTTTGGTATGCTTCAGGGTCTTCAAACGGTTGTCTTCCAACGAGGCAGTTCCATCAGTGGAAATGAACCTTTGTAGGGGCCCATGACGACTGAGCTTGGAGGGCGTGTTTAGTCTTGCGTTTACATTGGTCTTCCTCCTCCTGCTCCTCCTCATCCTCCCCCTCCTCCCCCTCCTCTTCCTCCTCCTCTTTCTCCCCCTCCTCCCCACCCTCCTCCTCCTCCTCCTCCTTCTCCTCCTCCTCCTCATCATCATCATCCTCTTCCCCGCCCCTTCTCCTCCTCCTCCTCCTCCTCCTCCTCCTCCTCCTCCTCCTCCTCCTCCTCCTCCTCCGCATCATCATCAGCATCTGGGTTAGACCGCAGCCGCAGCAGGCCCTTGTGTGGTAAGGGGTCAGGCCACGGAGGGCCCCAGCGCGGTGAGGGGTTAGACCGCGACGAACCCCAGCGTGGCGAGGGGTTAGGCCACGGCGGGCCCCAGCGCGGGGAGGGGCCAGACAGCAGCAGGCCCCTGCGTGGCGAGGGGTTAGGCCACAGAGGACCCCAACGCGGTGAGGGGTTAGACCGCAGCAGGCCCCCGCATGGCGAGGGGTCAGGCCACGGTGCACCCCAGCGCGGTGAGGCGTCAGACCGCATCTGTCCCCAGCGTGGCGAGGGGCTAGGCCACAAAGTTCCCCAGCGCGGTGAGGGCTTAGACCGCACAGTTCCCCAGCGCGGCGAGGAGTTAGGCCACGGCGGACCCCAGCGCGGGGAGGGGCCAGACAGCAGCAGGCCCCTGCGCGGCGAGGGGTTAGGCCACGGAGGACCCCAGCGAGGTGAGGGGCCACACCGCAGCAGGCCCCAGCGTGGTGAGGGGTTAGGCCACGGAGGACCCCTGCGCGGCGAGGGGTTAGGCCGCAAAGAACCCCAGCGTGGCGAGGGGTTAGGCCACACCCACGCGCCAGGCACGGAGGCCGATAATGCACAAAGGTCCAGGGACCAGCGGCCAGAGCGGTCCCTGGAAGAGCGCAGAGCAGAGGAGCGGCAGCGGCCGTCCATCAGGCTGCTCCTCAAGCTCTGAGGGAGGCGGCAGCATTGCATCAGACTGCTGCAGCTCGAGGGGCTACTCGAGGAGTAAACGAGTGGCGGCAGCAAGGACGTCGTGCGATGAGGCCGCTGGTCCACCCCGCCTCGGGCGCTCTGTGCCTGCGCGGGGTGCCGAGACCAGGGGCACCCATTCACGGGCGAGTGCACGCGGGTTTAAAATCATCATCATCATCATCATCATCATCATCATCATCATCATCATCAGCATCAGCATCATCAGCATCAGCATCCCCCTCCTCCTCATCATCCTCCCCCTCTCTCTCCTCATCCCCTCCTCATCCTCCCCCTCCTCCTCCTCCCCCTCCTCCTCTCCTCCCCCTCCTCCCCCCCTCCTCCTCTTCCTCCTCCTCCTTCTCCTCACTCCAGAGGCGCGCTGGCACCGCTGCCCCCCCCCCCCCCCCCCCACCCCCACCCCCCTTCGACAAGGTCCGGGAGCTGCACCGCCAGGGCATCGAGGTCATTCTCGACGTGGTGCCTATCCTCGGAAGGAGGAGGAGCAGGAGGAAGAGGAGGAGCAGCAGCAGCAGGAGGAGCAGGGGGAGCAGGAAGAGCGAGCGCGCGCGAGCAAGCGGGAGGAGCAGAAGGAACAGGAGAAGCAGGAGGAGCACTGCGAGAGGGTGAAAAAGGAGGTCCAGGGCAGAGAACGAGAGCGAGGAGAAGGAACACGTGGTGGGCGGCGCCCACTCGAGGAGGTGTTTTCGGAGGAGCCCGTGTGTTCCCTCACTTGGGTTTCCCCCCCCAAGCTGGCACTCTTCGGTGGCGGGGCCCCGGCAGGAGGAGCCAGACCTGCAGCGCCTCCTCCGTGCTCGTTCCAGCCCCTCCTCCCTCCTGCATTATGTCCCGCTCTCCTCCTCTATTCTTCACCGTCTTTCCACCTTCCTCCCTCAGTCCTCCCTGCGTTATGCGTCCCTCCTCCGTCATCCTTCAAGCCTCCCCGACGTCCCTCCTGTTTCCCGCTCCCCTCCTGCGTTCCTCATCGTCGTTCCACCTCCTCCGTCCTCCTTCTCCTTGCACTGCCTTCTCCCTGCCCTTGGCCCTTATCCTGATTCCTTCTCCCTCACCCCTCCTCCCCGCCCCCAATACCTGTTCATCCGTCTCTCCCTCCGCCAGTATTATGCCTCTTCCCCAGGCTGCATACCCTCTTGTTTCTCTCCCTCACCCTTCCCCCCTCTCCCCCCCTCCCCCCCTCCCACATTCACTTTTGTCCTTCCGATTCGCCTCTCCTACCGCCCCACCGCCCATCCTCTACCATTACTCAACACGAATACGACTCCCTTCGCTCCCCCCCGAAGCCTTCCAGTTGGCATTCCGCCCTCTCCGCACATTGTTTTTGCCACGCGCGTTGAGTAAACATAGATGTGTGGATAAGCTGGTTTTGATGTCGGAATGTTTTCGATGTTTCACAATGGTGTTCCCCCTGCAGCGTGGGTCTACTTCTAGGATTTGCGATCCTTTCCTGTCGTTCACACCGGCGCTCTCGCCCATGCGCGGGCCTCCCCGCTCCTTCCTCATCGTTGCCTCCACGCTCCTTCCTCTCCTCCGCCTTCTCTCTGCTTCTCCTGCTCTTCCCGCTCCTCCAATTCCTGCTCCTGCTGCCGCTCGTCCCCCTCGTCCTCCGTCCTCGTCCCCCAGCTTAACATCCTGCTCATTCGCCACCATCTCCTCCAATGTACACAGCTCCCCCTGTCTGATTGCACATCACACGATTGTGTCCTCGTGGAGGTTCCAGGTCCACCATGACACCCGTCGGCAGATAGAGAAACAATCGACACACTGGGAAGAGATGGGTGAGAGACGTAGGATGTCAGATATGGCGCGAGCGCACCCAGCTTGTCCATCTCCTCTGTCCCCGTTCCGCCTGCCGCTTCCTCCCTCCGCTTCCCCCCCCACCACCTCTCCCTTGGCACTGCTCTCCTCCTCCTTCCTCCTTCCTTCCTCCATTAGCTGGGAAGTTCTAAGCACCCACCTCGTGTTAGCAAATCCCCTACCCTTCCCTTTACTGTCCCCACCCTTCGCCCGCCCCGAGGCTGGCCCACGTCGGGCGCGGGCCGCGCCGCTGGTGGCTGGGCCCGCCCGAGCGGGGCAACCCGCTTCGCGCGCAGGCAGGGCGGCCCGCGGTGCACGCTGCGGCGCGGAACGCCGGCGGGCTCGCTACTCGGCCCGCGCTGCTGGAGTTGCTGGAGGGGCCGCGGGTCGCCCAGCTGCCGCGCCACTGCGGGCCGACCAAACCGTGCCACGCTGACGTTCAGAGCCCCGAATCATCAGGGGTAACTCGGGTCAGGGATAACTCGGGTTCGTTTTTCGGGATTCCGAACCCGATTTATCCCGGACACGAGTTACCCCGGATAACTCGGGCGTCCAGAGCCCCGAATCATCAGGGATAACTCGGGTCAGGGCTAACTCGGGTTCTTTTTCCGGGAATCCAAACCCGAGTTACCCCGGACCCGAGTTACCCCGGATAATTCGGGCGCCCAAGACGTTCAGCCGGCCGCGTTGGCTGAGCGAGGGGGACTGGGGCGCGGCGCCCTTTCTCAGAGCAGCAGCGCGTGGCGGCCCGGGCTCGCTGCAGCGCGTCACCATCATGGAGTTTAGCCTCTGATGTGGACCCGAACTCTGAGGTTGTTGGCGTGGTCTTCCCACGACAGGAAGTGGGCGCAGGCGCCTGGCCGCAGAGGACGGCGAGGCAGCTTGCGCGGCAGGACTCCGCGGGCCCCGCGTCAACGTGCTCGAGTGCGAGGCTGCTTTCTTGGCGTGGCGCTGGCGCGCTCGGGCTGTTGGTCGGTAGCAGCGCGTCTTCCCCCACCTCCTGGATTGCATTGTCAACGTCGGTGCTTTGAGCGAGCACCGGTCCAGCAGCAGCCAGCTCAGCAAGCTTGCGCGTGCCTTCTAGGTCCTCGAGCTGGCCACGGGCGCTCGGGGTGTCTTCGGCCTCGCGTTTTCAGACAAGAAGTTGGCAGATGCGTCATCGCGCCTGAAAGATGGCCAGGCGTGCGACGCCAGCCACGAGGCGCGCCGCGAGAGCTGTGCTGGGGTCGTCTACCCGACGCGCAGGTCAGTTCGAAAACATACAGCATATACAAACGCGCGCACCAGCAGTTCGTTGATTTCCCCCGTGCTCGGCATCGCGCTTTGCCTGTCGCATGGGACGATATGGATGTGTGCCTCCGAGGCTAAGTTCATATTTTTGTCTTTGCCTACTGGTGCCATCAAGGGCCAGGCGAATGATGCCCTCAGTGCCGACTGACAGCAGCTAATCTCTCTCGAGTGACGTGGCGTGGCAGGTGGAGCTCGGACAAGAAAGTAAGCGCAGGCATGTATGGAACATGGGCTGCCGTGATCGCAGAGCTAAACTTCTCCCCGTCTCGAGCATTGGGCCCCACTTGACGCTCGATCCCGAGCAGCTTCCGGCTGAAGACATGTAGTGGGGGTGGGTGGGGACGTCTTGCGCTGTGGTGAGCGCCGTCACGTCTGGCCGTGTTGCCGCCCACCGTCGTGCCGTCCTCGTGCCCGCTTGTGCCACGGCCAATGGGGTTCCATATATCCGAGGTTGGACGCCGAGCCGACGTCGTGCCGCCGTTCTGATCCTGACAACGACGTGACGAAGTGCGATGGCCAAAATCGGCACATTCGGGCTGGTGTCGCGGACTCTGCCTTGCCCAGCCAGAAAATGATGGACCTGCCTCGACCGCACTAGTCATGTCGTCCAAAACTGCGACTCGGAGAGGCGCGGGGGAGGGATGAGTTTTCACGGGGGGCATCCTCTGAGCCCGGTTTCCCCTGCGTTCGGGAAGGCTGGCGCCAAGGGAGGGTTCGCCCTTTCTCTGCGGATGCGGGAGGGGACTCCATCCCAGACATCCGACGTTGTGAGTTTTCCACCACCTGGCCTCCCAGAGGTGTGCACCCCCTCCTGGGGAACAGGCTCTTCGTTTCCTGCGGCGGTTTTGCCGGTCCTGGGGCCCAGGAAGAGGCTCCCTCTGAGGCCGGCAGCTGCAACGACGGCAGCAAAAGATGGGAGCAACCGCCCGCCGTACGACTGCTCACGACGCGAGGGCGCGGGGGCTCCCCAGGCCTCCCCTGAAGAGGCGGGCCCGGCGACGCCGGCGTCGGGGGAGGGGCAGGCGGGCACGAGAGGAGGCCAACGATCGGAAACTGGAACGTGTACATTGCCAGTGGCGGGCTGATTTTGAATCCCAGGATTTCGTGAGGGTCGGGGGCGACGTCGGGGTGGCGTGGTGTATACCTGTTCCCCCGTTTTCCCGTGGAAGCAACATGTATACACCAGGATGCCATATACACCAGAAGCCGTTTTCTTGTGCGAATCTCAGTGCGGGACCGGAAAAAGTTGTCGGTGTATAGATCGGGGCTCAAGAGACGGGGGTCAATGCAAACAGGGGTCAGCCAGGGCACCGGATCCTGCAGGATCCTGCGAAGGTCCTCTCTGGCTGACCCGGGTTAGCGAGCCGCTCGTGGCCGCGAGGCGGCCGCGCATATTTGCTGTCCCGGGTTTGCGAAGACCTGCGTTGCAGTTTTTTCCCCTGCATTGCAGTTTTTGGGTTTCCTGCTGACCCGGGTCTGGATTGACCCGGGTCAGAGGATCCCCGAATAGAGTTCGGTTCCCCACATGAGCGACGTTAGGGGGGGAGGGGTAGGGGGGCCAAGCTCGCGGGGGACTTATCGAGTCCCAATCGCCTGCTCATCGCCAACAGGGGCCCGATAGGTCACCCCGCCAGGGAGCGCGCGGTGGTGTTATCGGGGACCTGTCGCCGATGCATGGGCGCCGTGTCGCCGATTCGAGCTCGATGCTCCCCCCCACCCCTGAGTTCCTGTCGACTCCTCCGACTCGGCTCGATTAGATTTCGATCGATTCGGATCCCGGTTCGATTCGACCCCGGGCTCCGATGTGGGATTCGGTGCTCAAGGGAGGCCTCACTCGCCTGCCGCCGTCTGCCGCTTCGACGTCGCCCGACATGGCTGCCGATTTCTGCCGACCGCATTCACTGCGATTCCGGATCCGGCTTGTCATTTCTCACCACCCACCAAACCACCCCAACCCAACCCGAAGGCTCAGATTTGCCCTCGATTTCCAGTGGGGGGGGGTCGGGAAACATTGAAAAAACACATGTGGAACCCTTACCCCCCCCCCAACCCGAAATTCAGGTCTTCGGGTTGGGTTGGGGTGGTCTGGTAGGTAGTCAGTTTCGACGCTGGTCTTTCCTACACCCTCCACCCCTGGGCTGCCCCCCCCCCCCCCCCTAAGGTGATCCCTCAGGGGGGGAGAGGAGGCCCCCCCCCAGCGGAGGTGTTCAACCACACCGCCGAAGGCCAGCTTCTGCCGCCGAGGAGCATGAGGAGCCTGACATCCTCGTCGCGTCGCGAAAAAGTCACGTCGCAAGTTTGTTTGTAACAATTGTCGTCCTCCGGGGCCCCCTGCCGGGCACCCGGACCGTCCAAAACTGCCAGGATGAAAAGCCAGTCCATCGGTGGTGGACAGACCTCCTACCTTGACACGTCGATTAAGGAATTGGCCGTATTCGGTTCGCGAGAGGGCGTCGCGGCCGTCATTTTTGCGGGTCCAGGTCCGTCGGTTTCGGTCCCAGGCCGTTTTCACTAAGGGGAGGTCTGCTAACGGGAGATTTGTCTACCGCCGAGTCCAGGGGAAGGATGAAAAGCCGGTCCCCTGGAAGGGGGCCAGGCTTCCAGGGGGCCACGTTTTGGGGCGTCGAGCTTTCTGCATGTGCTGGGCTTTCTTTGTCCCGTATCTCTGAGTGGAGTTGTTCAGCCTTGGCGTTGTTCAGAATTTTAGACGGTTCGCCCAACCCCATCAGCCCATCAAGCAACGATAGGGATGTGTAGGAGCATGAAGTGGAATAGCGGGCTGGGGAAGCCGTCGTAACCCAAGAGAGGGAGGATGGGGCAGGAATCGTCGTCGCAGGAACAGGAGGAGGAGGGGGCGGGGCAAAAGGAGGAGGGAGGAGGAGGAGAAGAAGGAGGAGGAGGAGGAGGAGGAGCAAGAGGAGGAGGGGGAGGAAGAGGAGGAGAAGGGCGAGCGCAAAAACTAGAGGCCTCTTGGATGCCTCTCGGAGTCTCTTTGGATGTCTCTTGAAAGATTATTGGAGTCCTCGGGGGCCTCCTGGGGGCCTGTTGGGGCGTCAAAGAAAAGGGGGGGTAGTCAATCAGAGCTCCCCCCCAAAGAGACCAATTCTGACCAAAACCTGGGAACAATGTATGATTTTTGCCTTCTCGCCGAGGCTGTCTTGAACGCTCCATTCGGTCGCGACCCCCCCTCCAGACACAGGGGGCTGGGGTAGGGCGAGGGGTCAAGCTACCCACCCGCCCGCAAGCCGTCTAGCTCACTCCCACCCGCCCTCCCAACACAGAAGTACCACCCGAGCCTGAGCATGTTCAGCGGTCGTCTTTGGATGGAAAGCTACTGGGAACCAAAGCCGACCCCAGGTGCGCGACGCTTGGGCGAGATGCGCCACGCGTGCCAGGGGCGCCACGCTCGCCAGGCACCCCTGGGGCCCGAGCGTGCCAGGCAGGCCTGGTGCGCCAGATGCGCCATGTGCTCCGAGTGCGCCAGTTGTGCCGCACACTCCAGCCGCGCCAGATGCGCCATGTTCGGGGCACGTGCAGAGCGCGTCAGGTGCGCCTGCGCACGTGACAGCACACATCCGGAAACATGTCGGCCCCCGCCATCCTTGTCGAAAACCAATGCCCATCATTGTGTCTGGTGTGCCTGCGCACAGCAGGCCACGCGCCACCACCCCCGCGGTCCCTGTCAAAAACCATTTGACAGTGATCGCGGGATGGCCGCGCATGATCCAGATTTAGCCGTGAGGTGTATGTTGCATTGTTTTTTGTCAGGGATGGTAGCCCTGAGCACGGCAGAGAATATGCTGGCACCCCCGCCGTCCATGTGAAAAACAAAACGAAGTGTTCGCGGGCCTCACGAAAATGACTCAAGCCTTTGCCCCAAAGTGTAATTAGCATTGTTTTTGTTGACAGGGATGGTGAGGGTGGCGCATCGGGTTGGCCGCGCATGCTCCACGTGGAGGCAGAGTGCGTTTTGTGTTGTTTGTTGGCAGTGATGGTGGGGGGCGGGTCGTCATGGTGTCCTCATGGTTCCTGGTTGGACGCCGGTCGCCTGGACGAGGGGGTGTATAGTAATAGAGAACAGTGATGAACCTCTCCCCAAGGGGGAAGCAGGGGGTTGGAAGAGGGAGCGCCCCAAAGCAATCACGCCCTCAGGGCCGGTGGGATCTCCGACGTCCGGGAGGCGTGGCAGGCCGTCGGCCGTCATCGTGGCAGCCGGCTAACGGCACGTTTGCTTCGGGGACGGACAGAACCCCCAACAGTGACACGTCGATTAATTAGTGAAGTGTCCGTTTTCGGTTCTCGAGAGGGCGCCGTGGCCGTCATTTTCCAGGCTTGCGCCCGCCAGGTTTGGGCCTCGGGTCGTTTTCACTAAACTACGTGTTACTAAAGGGGGGTCTGTCCATCCCCGATTGCTCTTCCGCGTCGTTCTTCCTCATCCGTTTCCTGGCAGGACGCCGCGCCTCACGACTCAGACGTTTGGTTGGCTGTGGCCGAATATTGTTGTTAGGGCAACTCGGTGAGCTCGGGGTGGTTTCTTGGGAGTAGCTGGGGTACCTTGGGGAGTCATCGCTGCACTTCTCCGCTCCGCCCCGCGTCACTTCTCCTCCTCCTCCACCTCCTGCGGTTTCTCTTCCTGCTCCCTGCTCTTCGTCAGTCCCCCTCCCCTCCACATCATTTCCCAGTCATTACGAATCTATGTTCATGTGGGCCCAGGCAGCCGAGATCGAAAAAGAGTAGAGTGGGGAACTCGAGCCCTGGGTGGACTGGCTGCAGAGAACCGCACGCGAGTTAGAGGAAAGATGTCGTACACGACGAGTTCGAGATTGGGTCGAAACTCACAAGAACACAGCATCAATGTGGTTCGGAGAGCTGCAAGAGGAGAATGGTTCCTGAGCACGCCGTGCATCAGGATGGGGGCCCCCTTCCCCTTGGAAGGACTCGGCGGGCAGAGCGACCCAGGCCGACATGGGCTGATATTACTCAGGAGGGGAAAAAACGCACAGACACAATTAATCCTCGATTCCCCAGAAAAGATGGGAAAATATGGGAAGTGGGGGGGAAGACAGAAACCCAGAACATATAGGAAAATATGGAATATTTTCATTTGTGTGTATTTATTTGTGTGTCCCAGGGCCCCTTCAATTACATCATCCTTTACAGCGTAGCAGCGTGCTGCGAGAAGGCACGCGGAGCTGAGACTCCGCCGCGCGCCCCGCGCTTCGGGACGGCCTCCAGGCCGGCACGCGCGAGAGTGAGTGAGAGCGAGTATCGCAGGCCTAAAGGTTGACACCAACACCAGTATCGGCGGTGTGCCTCCACCGAGGGAAGAATATCCCGATCTCGGTTGATGGTGGTAAAATTCTGGCTTCCAAGGTGACGGGAATATTGCCACCAACACCGAAATCTAGGATCATCTTCCTCTTGTGGAGGCAACGCTCGGAAGTGTGAATTTTTCCTTCGGCGAGGACCATCGAGGAGCATCCTTGATCATTTGGCGAAAAAGCCACGCACGAAACCGAAAAAAACACAGGGAATGGACGTCCGAGCGATGGCCAGGAGTGAGTGAGAGCGAGCAGAGTGTGGACGCAGGGGAGGTTGTCTTGGCAGAGGGGAAGCAGCGAGCAGTGATCCCTTGGACGAGGACCTGCAACACCGGGGATACACACCGGTCGTTGAAAGTAAGTATTTTTGGATGCCCAGATCGCAATCCACCTCAAGCCCCTTCCTACTTCAAGAATCGACATGATGTTGCTGTGTTTTGTTATTCTCTGGGAGGGCCTGGACCCAATCCACTTTATCCGCCTTCCTGCTTCATGTTTTTACCTACTTCTTCCGACCGACGTGTACCCTTTTGTGTTGCTTGGCAGCTGGGAATCTGCTGGCAGGAGAAGGGGGAGGAGCCACGGGAGGAGAGCAACGAGGTGAGGTGGAGAAATAAGGAGCTGGTAGATGGGGCCCCCCGCTCATGCCTATACGCTGGTGTTGTCCTGGTGCCAGGAAGGGGTGAGAAGCTGCTGCCGGTGCCGAAGGAGGTGGATGGACGAGAGGGGGGGGGGAAAGGAGGAGAAGGAGGGCGCCCCAGGCACGTGGGGCGAGCACAATTGGCACTCGATGAGCGCGGTCTCCAAGCCCAGATACTACTTGCTCAGCCACGGCAAGGACGCGGTAGGGGCTCCCACCCCTCGTGGCAGATCCTCGAATCCGCCGGTCCGAGGACTGGCACGGGCCGCTCGTGGGAAATATTAATTCAGATGTACATCGACTCCTGTACGTGGTCTAAGCTGCTGTCACCGTCCTCCTGCTTCAGGAATGTGTGGCGTCCTGCTTCGACCACCTTCCACACATCACGTAGGCTGGCTGGAGCCCCATATGTTGTGTGGTCCTTCATGGGCCCTCAGAGGGTCCCAAAATCCCTTGCGGCTTCGTGAAACTGTCAAGACTTCGTCGCAAATTCTGGACGAACGGGTGGAGAGGGGTTGGTCGAAACCTGGATGAAGTCCGGTCGAGATCGTGTTTATGATAGGGCCGAGGGTCCACAGAGGCTCCCATGAAGGCTCACCCGTGAAGGCCCACGCACCAGGCTCACCCAGAAGGGCTACTCAGGGATGTATGGATTCACCGTATTCTGATCCACGGCCTTCCTGGTTCAGTGGACCTATCATTTGGGCTGGCTGGAGCCCCATATACAAACTGAGCTTCGTCTCGACGGCCTGCAAGGACACGCCATCTCATCCAGGCGGATCTCACATCGCTGTCTGCCCAGCCCCATGCTCCCGCCCGCCGCCGCTTCAGCGGCTGCTGCGCGGACGTCTGAAGGCAGTGCGTCTTTTACCATCGGCACTTGAGAAGGCCAACGAATAATGCGTGCACACCTGGCCGATGGGATCATGCGTCTTCCGTTGGGGGGAGGGCCATCGTTGGCGCCAGCATCGGCGCCACGTCGGCCCCACGCCTGCACAACGGCATGCATAGGGCTTCCGAGGGATAATTCTCGCACGCCAATCCTGTAGAGTGCTGTCTCGGTCTGCAGCTCCAGCCGGCATGTGTCACACCATTCCGTAGTGTAAGTCTCGTTGCGCGAGCTACTGGCAGTGGGGAGGTAAGGATCGAGTCGGCGCCTTGATTGGCTGAGTTGAAAGCAGGTGTTACTGGGATTCCCGGAATCCGACCTACTTTGGGCGCTTTCCTGCGTCCCGTGCCGAGCGGTTTCCCACCTTCTTTCCTCTTCAGGGGGTGGGCAGAAACCCAATCCACTCTCAACGCTTTTCTGCATCGTGTTTCTACCCCCCTTCTTCCGACCGACGGGTACCCTGCATCCTTGCGGCATGCTGCAGGCCCTGCAGGCCGAATTCACACGCGGGGCCTCGCGTTCCTTCAAGCAGTCTCGAAGCGCCCCGGCTCGCCCATGGCCTACAAAAGAATGTTCTAAGAATTTGTCGTGATTGTAGTGGCCTCCGGCCAGTGCCGCCCATCTGGGGCGCTCCGGGTGCCTGTGGAAATGAACGACGTCGAGGAAGACGAAAACGACGACGAAAACGAATACGTCGACGACGACGACGAGAGCGACGACGACAACGACCACGACGACGACGACGACGACGACGGCGATGACGACGACGGCGACGCGAGCGACGACGACGACGACGACGACGACGATGACGCGAGCGACGACGACGACGACGACGACGACGACGACGACGACGACGACGACGACGACGACGACGACGACGACGACGACGACGACGACGACGACGACGACGACGACGACGACGACGACGACGACGACGACGACGACGGGGGGGGAGCTGGGTTGCAGGGGGGGGGGTCTGCTCTGCAGGGGGGGTCCGCTCGGCAGAGGGAGGGACTGCAGGGGAGAGGGGGGGTCCGCTCTGCAGGGGGGGGGGGCTGCAGGAGGGGGGGTCTGCTCTGCAGGGGGGCGGGGTGCAGGGGAGGGGAGGGGGGGGGGGGGGTCGCTCTGCAGGGGGGGCGGGGCTGCACGGGGGGGGGTCCGCTCTGCAGGGGGAAGGGGGGGGCTGGGCTGCAGGGGGGGGGTCCGCTCTGCAGGGGAGGGGGTGCAGGAAGGGGGCTGCAGGGAGGAGGTCCGCTCTGCAGGGGGGGGGTCTGCTTGCAGGGGAGGGGGTGCAGGGGAGGGGGGGGGGGTCTGCTCTGCAGGGGGGGGGGCTGCAGGGGGGGGGTCCGCTCTGCAGGGGGGGGTGGCTGGGCTGCAGGAGGGGAGGGGGGAGGGCGCTCTGCAGGGGGGGGGTCCGCTCTGGAGGGGGGGGGTGCGAAGCACTGAAATAGGTCGGAAATGAGGTCCCCCCCCCTGCGAAGCACTGAATTAGGTCGGAAATGAGGTCCCCCCCCCCCTGCGAAGCACTGAATTAGGTCAGAAATGAAATGAGGTCCCCCCCGCCCCCCCGCAGAGCGAAGCTTGAGCGAGCTCAAGCCCACGCTCTCAGAAACTCACACGCCGGATCGGCGGATTTCCACGATATGTTCTTAGAACATGTTTGGGTGGGACTGTCTTGTTTTAACGCATCGGGTTTATGTTCTAAGAACCTTGTTTTTGTTATTCGAGCATTTTGGGTTCTAAGAACACTTCGTGTTAGGACTATAGGAATGCTGAGACTGCCGGTCCCTGCTCAATTCCTTGCACTGAACGCCGTCCAGGCATCATGTTCTGCAGTCTCCCTGGGAGGGAGAGGGGAGGGACAAGTGGGCACACGGGCCCTCTCTTGGGGGTGCTTGTCGACACAAGGCGGGCTCCGATCTCTCGCTCCTGGGACCTGCTCGTGGACCTCTCGGGGCCCTCTTTACGGGATCACAAAGTGACATAAACATAAAAACTCGGAGGTCCGCGCGGATTTCTCGGATCGGCGCTGGACTCCCTTGGCGGCGCCTCCGGCGCCGCCCCTGGCGCGCTCCGCGCCAGGGAGGGGGGTCCAGCGCCGATCCGAGAAATCCGCGCGGACCTCCGAGTTGTTATGTTTATGTCACTTTTTGCTCCCCTACTCTTGGGAGCCGTTGGAGCCCTCGGGGAGCCTCCCAGAGGTCTCCGGAGGCGCCTCGGCCGGGGGGTCCGCAACGGGGGGGGCGCGATCAACGGGGATGGGATATCGCTAGGTGTGCAGGAGAGGGGCCCGCAAGAGGCCCCTGAGGGGCCCCGAAGGTGCACCCGTCTCTCGGACGTGTGCATTTCTTCTCGGCGAGAGCCATCGATCCTCCTCCTGCTCCTCCTCCTCCTCCTCCTCCTCCTCCTCCTCCTCCTCCTCCTCCTCCTCCTCTCCTCCTCCCCCTCCTCCTCCCCCTCCTCCTCCTCCATCCTGGAGCATGGAGCAAAAAAAAACACGCACGAAACCGAAGCGTGCACGTAGAGTGGACGTCCGAGCGACGGCAAGGTCTTCGCCTCCCCCCCTCCGCTCGAGGCACTGCTCGCTCCACTTCTGAAATGCACGGTCGCCCACTCCAAATATCGAACAGTACAGTGGAAACCCATGCCAAGAGCCACCCTGTTTGCCGCCAGGGTGCCTTGGGTTTCGATGGCTTTGCCATGGAAAGCGTGACGTTGCCACACCAAAAATCGATGGACGTCTTGGGGTCTCAGGTGCGGGCTTCGTGTGGAAGGGTTCTTGTGGTCGAGCTCCTATTGTAATACTATGCCGGCCGTTCCCGATGTCGGTCCCCAGTTTATCACCCCCCTCCATTACGCAACGCCCAACCTGGATGTTCTTTGAGGCTCGTGCTCCAAAGCGTTCCTAAGAGCCCTCGGGAACCTCTCTTGCGACGCGCCTCGAGAGCCATCGGGAGTCACACAGACACCCGCGGATTGTTCGCGGCCATTTCAGACTTCATCGACATATCGAATACACCAAGCACGGGTCGGAGGCGAAGTTTGGGCACCAGGGTGTTCCACATCGTGCCCAGGCATGGTCCATTTCGATTCGTTCGATCCGGTTCGGTAATTATCGATTTCGGCGGGCTTGATCCGAATCGATTCCGACTCCGTGCTGATGCAGCCCGATCCGGCACGCATTTCGATTCGAGTCGATTTCCCTATTCGATGCTTCAGGGATTGTGTTGGCTGCTATTCGGACAGTCATCAGATCCTGCCTCCCCCCAACCCTGCTCTTGCCCCTTCTGCTGCTCGTCCGTGCTGCCATCGTTCCAATCTCCATCGAGCTTCTTATTGTTGTCCTTGTTGTCGGACAGGCGTAGAAAGAAGGTGCATGACTCAGAGCTTTCTGGAACGCTCTGGAACGGCCGATGTATCCCGATGCATCCCGATGTACCATGCAGACCCGCCGGCACTCACACGTTCCTGGGTCATCTCGTTCCGATGTTGTCTTCGCCCTGCCATCATCTTGAGAGAGTTGCAAGCGAGGATACGAATTACACCGGCTGCGGGAACACCATGAACGCAAACGACGGCTTGTGCGCGGACTGGCCTTATCTCTTTGCACGTTCCGCGGCTCAGTTGTCGTCACGCGGTCTGTTTTCTTGGTCCAGCCAGTATCTGGGCTCTCTCTCTCTCTCTCTCGCTCTCTCTTGTTATCCCTCTATCTACTGAAGAGGTGTACGCCTTTTTCTCCGACCCCCGATGACCAGGTGACGTGATGTTTCTGAGTGGTGTTGCAGGGGCCTTTTTGTGGCTTCGGGGATTTCTGGGTGGGCCTATTAGGGCCTTTCTATGTACTTAGTTGTTTGTTGTCGGCGAACAACTTTCTATGCGCTTAGGGGAGGGGTATCTCGGAAAAAGCTGTCGCCAGTTTTTCTGAGGACCTCATGGAGCAATCTAGGCCTTTGTGAAGCCATCTGGTGGATGCTCGGATACCTCTTGAACCATCGTGGGGACCTCTTTGGGGCAATGATCGGGCCTCCTGGGTCCTCATTGGGGCAATGATCGGGCCTCCTGGGGCTCTCTGGGGGTCTCTTTGGGGGCCTCGCTGGGGCCTCTTGGAGAGAGGCTGGAGGCCTGGGAAGTCAGATGGGATGGGTGCCCCCCCCCCATAGCCGCTTCCAGCTCCCTCGTTGGTCCGTCTTGGGAGGGTAAGGCGGTCTGTTGTGCCGTCCTGGGTATTCGGAGGTTGGAACCTGCTAGAACGCGGAAATCTGCCAAACATTCTGGGGAAACCAATAAGTGTTCGTTTTCGTATTCATTGTTTTGCCGATCGGCGTTGTCCCTCGATTAGTGTCAAGGGGGTTCGGGTTAAGGTGGTAGGCTTAGGGTTAGGGTGCTAGGGTTAGGGTGTTAGGGTAGGGCTTACGGTTAGGGGGTTAGGGTTAGGGGGTTCGGGTTCGGGCTAGGGTTAAGGTTAAGCAGTTAGGGTTCGGGTGCGGGGTTTACGGGGTTATGGGGGTTAGGGTTAGGATGGTCGCATTCGAGTTTTGGTTCGGTCTAAGGTTAGGGTTGGGGGTTGGGTTAGGGTGTTGGGGTTCGGGTTAGGGCGTCAGAGGGTTCGGGTTAGGGTACTAGGGGTAGTGTGAGGGTTAGGGTGAAGGTTATAGTGGGGTTTGGGGTTAAGGCTTTCGGGGTTCGGGATAACAGGTTAGGGGTTAGAGAGTAGGGTCAGGGTTAGGGTTCAGGGTTTAGGGTTAGGGTTAGGGTTAGGGTTAGTGTTAGGCTGAGCGTGAGGGTAAGGTTTTGGAGTAGGGTTTGGAAGGGTTAGGGTTAGGAGTTTGCGGATAGGGGTTAGAGATTAAGAGTAGGGTTAGGTGGTTCGGGGGTAGGGTTAGGGGGTGGGGGTCCGGAGTTGAGTTCCAGAGGAAAAGAGGGGGTTCGAATTCCCATTCCCCCCCCTGGAAAGGGGGGAAGGGGGGGGTCCGAATTTCGAATCCAAAGGGGGGGAGGGGTGGGGGGGGGGTCCAACCCCTCCCCCTTTCGAAGGGGGATGGGGAGGTCCGCCGACGACGGATCGGGAAAAGGGTGGGGAGGGGGGGGGTTCGAACCCCCCTCCCCTTTCGATGGGAGAGTGGTGTTCACCGACGACGGATCGGGAAAGGGGGGGGAGAGTGCGGGGGCCTCGGGCCCCCCCCCTGGGAGCATCCAGCGGTGCGCCCTCGTCGTCGAGAGTCAGCGGGGTTTTGAGGAAGCCCGCCGCAGGCGCCTCTTTTGTTGCGTCGCATTGCACGACGAAGCCGGCGCATGCGACGATTCTTGCATCAAGGTGTCGAGGATGGGTCGCGGGTGGGTCGAGGCGAGGACGACTTCAGTAATAAACAACAAGGGCGGGTCGAGAGTGGGTCGCGGGCGGGAGGGGACGACGTCAACAACGAGCAACAACAACAACAACAACAACAACAACAACAACAACAACAACAACAACAACAACAACAACAACCAACACACAACAAGAATCCTCGCCGCGGAAGGCCACTCCGAGCACGCACCCAGGGATGGTGCAAGACCGTTCGGCCCCCTCGCTCGGAGGTTCGGATCGGAGGTGCGCCTCCCACGGGGTCGCATAGCACTACAGTCGGGGCCCTGAAGAAGGAACCCTTTTCGTTGGGGAGCGGCTCCGCGTTCCTTAAGTGTTTCACAGCTTGCCTCAGGTTTTCCTTATGTTTCCGATCGGAAATGGAAGCTCAACTTATGGAACAAAGGGGCCTCGTTCCTTGTTTAGGGTTCCTTAGGTCAACGCCCCGACTGTACTAGTGCGTCCTCTTCTGCGCCCCGCTCGTAGGACTGGATCTGCGAGTGCCTGCGCTACTGGGTCCGCGACATGCACGTGGACGGCTTCCGCTTCGACCTGGCGTCCTCGCTCTGCCGCGGGGGCGACGGCCAGGCGCGGCCACGCGCGCCGCGCCCTCCGGGGCAACACACGAGGACGTGCGCGCAGAATTGCGCAGGCCTACAGGCTGACGCCAACACCAATGTCGGCGGTGTGCCTCCACCAGCAGGGGCGAGCGTCGCGTCGCGATGTCGTCGCGGCGCGATGGCGTCAGGGTCCAGGGGTCGAACATCGATGCCCAGGCCTGTCCCTGGGCGCGTCTTGGCCACAATGTTTACAGGAATCGCAGGCCTAGAGGTTGACACCAACGCCAAGATCGGCGGTGTGCCTCCACCGAGGGACGAAGATCCCGATCTCGGTGACGGTGGTAATACTGTGGCTTCCAGGGTGACCGAAATATTACCACCAACACCGAAATCGAGGATCATGTTCTCCCTGTGGAGGCCCCCGCCCCTGTGTTGGTGTTGGTGCCCATTTCCAGGCCTCCAATAATTGCGCCAGCTGCAGTGGAGGTCGCTCAAGAGGAGGATGAGGTCCAGGGAGGAGCAGCCACCCCGGCCCACATTACTGGCGTGTGCTGCATGGCCCTTGGCGTTTGCGAAAGAGGCCTGCCCCGTTCGATTCCTTCCTCGGTTGCTAAGCGGCGTTGCTTGTCGGGGTGCTTATTATGAGGGTGGTGTTCTGCTCTCTAGAAGCGGATGTGGGCATGAGGTAGAAACGAGGAATTTGGCGGGCAGAACGTTGAGGACGCGTGAAACGAAACGAGTGTGCCGAGGCCTGCTTGGATGGAGCACGCCCCATGGAGGCTGCCTTGTCCGAGAATCGTCCCACCAGGCCATAGCCCTTTTTCCACCTTCGCCCCCTCCTTCTCGCCCTGAGAAGGCGACACGGGGATGGTGGAACGGTGAGCATGTGACTCGGAGTGCGCGGGAGGATTGGGCGGAGCAGGAGAATGATAGGCACCTGCAGGGGGGGGGTGAGGGCGGGAGCGGCGCGAGCACTGCCTGAATCAGTGAGGGGCGGAGAAGCAGATAGCCAGGCTACTACATGCAGAAGGGAGCCGCTATATATATATATATATATATATATATATATAGCGAGAGAGAGAGAGAGAGAGACGGAAAGCAAGAGAGAGAGAGAGGGACGCATAGACAGATTCGGGAAGCAGCCTGGCATGCCAGAGGGATGTGCGGAGACGCAGAGAGGGCAGGGCAAGACGGGTCCATGTCGAGACTCGGCCATGCCGCAGGTGCAGCGCGAGCCGCACCTTATCAAGAAGATGCTGAATGACCCCGTGCTCAGTCGTACGAAGGCGCCGTGCTAGCGTCGCTGCGCAGTTGCACACTCTTGCCGCTCGCCGCCTCGGTTGCACTTGGAAGGAGGGGACGCAGGACGCCCTTAGCAGTGGTTGCAAGGGCGCGCGCGGCATGTCCGTCAAGAGCAACACCCGCAGGCGCGGACAGGAGCGAGCGGCTGCGCCGAGTGCGAAATGTCCTCGGCGTCGTTCTCGCACCGGGCGTGACGAATTTCTCACAGCGTGGCTCCTCAGAGGCCTGAGCCCCTTTCCAGGGGACCGGCTCTTCATCCCGAGTCGTTTTGTTGACGGCCCAGGGCCCAGCAGGGGCGAACGTTGCGTCGCGATCTCGTCGCGGCGCGATAGCGTCAGGGTCCAGGGGTCGAAAATCGATGCCCAGACCTGTCCCTGGGTGCGTGTTGGCCACAATGTTTACAGAAATCCCGGGGTCGTCCAAGAGGAGAGTGGTGATTGGGGGAGGATCTCTTGGCCAGGGCCACGATGTGTCGCCAGATCCCGTGGCCCTTCTCCTTTGGTGCAACGCGCCCCCTGCCCCCCCACCTGGACCGCGCACGTGCCTCGGGCTTTGCAGACCCCCCTCCTGGACGCCCCCGCGGTCCCTCGCGGGAGGAGGCCGAAGAGGAGGAGCGGGGAGCGACGGGGGGAGGAGGAGGAGGGAGGAGGGAGGAGGAGGAGGAGGAGGAGGAGGAGGAGGAGGAGGAGGAGGAGGAGAAGAAGAGCAGGAGGAGGCGCCCCCCCCCCCCCCCCCCCCCCTGGGGTGCCCCCGAAGGAGTCCAGCCGTGGCGACGTCACAGGACCTGTCCTGGGCATTGGCGGGGAGCGCGCGGTGTCTGCGTCGGGCGGGGGGGGGCGGAGGGCCCTCCCAGGAGGAGGAGGGAGGAGGAGAGCGAGGAGCAGGAGGAGGAGGAGGAGGAGGAAGAGGAGGAGGAGGGAGGAAGGAGGAAGGAGGAGAGGGAGGGAGGGAGGAGGAGGAGGTGGAGGAGGAGGAGGAGGAGAGGCAGGGGGAGGAGGAGAAGTTGGAGGAGGAGGAGGAGGAGGAAAGCCAGGATCCCTGCGGCCCTTGCTGGGCCCCAGGGCTGCCAGAAAACGACTCAGGGGGAGGAGGGGGAGTCAAGGGTTCGAGGGATCAAGCTCTGCCAGCGCGCGCCGACGCTCTATGTGTGGGCTCTGTGTGTGGAGAACCCGGTGCAGCACGTCGTGCTACGGGCTCGTGGACAGGTTGAGGAGGTGGCACGCGGCGAAGTGAAGAGCTCTGCGCGAAGCTGAGCACGACGCGAGGGAGAACACGTCTGCATTTGCAGAAGTTTCCCCAGGCCCGCGCGAGGTTCTTCGATCGGCGCCAGACCCTCATGGACGGCACGGCACCTCTGACGCGGCCCATGGCGCTCAGCGCGCCAGGGAGAGGGCCCAGCGCCGACCCAAGACATCCGCGCGAGACCTCCGGGCGAGAAAGCAGCCGTGAAGGAGCAGCCCCGCACCAGCTGCCGCTCCAGCGACTGCACGGTTCGTGACCAAGCTGAGGCGCTGGCCCACGAGGAAGGATGGTCAGCTCCATGGATCTGAGCACGAGAGAGCCACGAAGGAGCAGCCTCGCGTGACGAACCAACAACACACACCCATACCCGTAGGAGGGTCGGAGAGGGCTATGGGCGCGTGTTGTCGGATGGGGGTCCCCGTTCGAACGGGAGCCTTCCCCAGGGTCCGACAACCCGCACCCATACCCATAGCCAGTCCTCCTCCCAACGACCCCCCTATGGGTATGGGTGTGTGTTGTTCGTTCGTCATCGCGCCAGTTTCTGCTCCAACGCCTGGGAAGGGCGCACAGGCCCCGCTCCCTCCAGGGGCAGCCAGCCGCGCGCTCTTCCACGAGAGCCGAAGCAGTTCCAGCCGCGAGCCCATTCCAAAAGCGCCCTCATCGCGTTTGCCCCCAGTTCGCAGGCCTAGAGGTTGACACCAACACCAAGATCGGCGCTGTTCCTCCACCGAGGGAAGAAAGATCCCGATCTCGGTGATGGTGGTAATAGTTTGGCTTCCAAGGTGGCCGAACTATTACCACCAACATCGAAATCTAGGATCATCTCCCCCCTGTGGAGGCAGCCCCCTTGCCCTGGTGTTGGTGCCCATTTCCAGGCCTCCAACCAGTTCCACTCGCGGAGACCGAGGCTGCATCGTGTTGGAGGCGGCGAGTCTGCGCTGGATGGACCCTGAGAAAATCTGCCCTGCCAATAGACATAGGTCGGGCATGTCCTTCTACAGGAGGAATATTCAAGAAGAGAGTCACAAAAACACGTATGGGAACGATTTTGCACTACGTTTGACTCTGTTTGAATATCGTTTGTTGGATATTTGTTCGTCCAAAATCCGCCTGTAGGAGGGACATGCCCAACCTAGCAATAGCGTCAATCTGGGGGGACGAAAGCAGATCTGCTCAATATAGGTCCCCGGACCACCTCTCGGGCCGAAGCTGGCCAGTCTCCCGAGCCGCGCCCAGCCGTGGCGACGAGGGGACCCTCTCTCTCCCCCCTTTTTTGTCGTGCTGGCCGCGACACGTGCTGGGCCACCTCGGCCCCCAAGCCGGCTTCAGGAATCGTACATCCTCGAGGATTGATCTAAGTCGGGCCTGTCCCTCTACAGGGGGAATATTCAAAAATAGTCAGACGATCGTCTGGGGACTATTTTTAAAAATTATGTTTTAACCATTTGGGAATATTTTTGGTGTATCTGTTTTGTTAGTCTTCGTCGAAAACCCCCTTGTGGGGGGACACGCCCGACTTAAGGCTACCTCAGCCCCCAAGCCGGCTCCAGGAATCGTACATCCTCGAGGGTTGACTTTCACGTCATCCCTTCCTCCGCACGGGTCCCCTTCCTTGGCGCACGGTGGCGTCGCCGCAGCCCAGTTCGCGGTCTCTGGGGCGTTCGCGAGCCCTTCAGGCGAGGACAGTGCCCACGCGCAGGCGCTCCCACGGGGCCTTCGCCAGGGCTGCTGGGGAGGGTAGGATCGCTACGCCCGAAATGGGTACGCAAAGAATGGGGAGGAAGTCCACCAGCAGTGCCAGTCCATTTTGAACAGGGTTCGTGCCTGTGTCGCCGCGGACTTTGCCCACTTGAGACAAAAGCCGCCTGCCCAACAACGGCCACCTTCGGCTTGGGACAACGTTTGCTGCTGTGCATCGTACCTGTTCCGTCTGTACCCATTCCAGGCGTGCCAATGGCCAAGAGGAGAAGGAGGAGGAGGACGCATACGAGACTTCTCCCTGTGTTCTTGCTTGTTGCATTCGTGCGTGCCTCTCTCTTATGCTCGTCCGTCCACCGCAGCACTCGTCTCGTCGATGGACCGAACCGAAGACAGAGGAGTAGACGAGGAGCAGGAGGAATGGGTGGAGAAGGCGAGCAGAGGCGGAGGAGGAGGAGGAGGAGGCAGAAGAGGAGGAGGCAGAAGAGGAGGAGGGGGAGGAGGGTAAAGAAGGGGGAGGAGAAGGAGGAGGGGGAAGGGCGAGAGGAGGAGGGAAGGGCACGAGGAGGAGGGGGGCCTTCCCTGATAGGGGCCCTCGAAGAGCTCGGGCCACCCGCGCCCACCGCCCCAGCTCATCGCCGAGCCCTGGGACTGCTCGTGGCCGGACGGCTACCTCGTGGGCAAGTTCCCTTCGTGCGGCGGGCCTCCCCTCCTCCCCCACCTGGCCAGGCAGGGAAGAGAGGGAGGGATGACCCCTCCCTCCCTCCCTCTCCCTCCCTCCATCCATCCTCCCTCCCTCCTCCCTCCGCCCTACCTCCTCCCTCCTCCCTCTTCCCTCCTCCCTCACTTCTTCCTCCTTTCTCCTCCCTCCTCCCTTCTCCTTCCTCCCTCCTCCCTGCCTTCCTCCCTCCCTGCCTGCTTCCTCCCTCTTCCCTCCTATCTCCTCCCTCCGCCCTACTCTCTCCTCCCTCATCCCTCTTTGCACTCTGCACCTCATCCCTCTCCCAGGGACCACTCGCTGGGCGGAGTGGAACGGCGTCTGGCGGGACACGGTGCGGCGCTTCATAAAGGAGCGGCCCTTTCGTCGTCCCGACGTCTCTCTATCAGGAACAACGGGCCACGGTACTGATTCAGTAATGATGCGTTCCAAGATCGCCAGGTTCTCTTGTTGCCCCCCGCTTGGCCAGGGATTAGTGGCCGATTCGAACGGCCGAGGGCCGCTGGAAACTCCAGACTTCCCAGAACGCATCTTGAGCCAAAGGCATCATGACATTATTCTCGTTCCAGCGCTGGCCCTGACAGACTCCTGTTCCATATGCCGCTGAATGGTCAGGTCCGACGCCGGCTTGGGCGCCAGCTCCGAATCCCGTTTCAACGTCTTGCTTCGAACTTGGATGCTCTCGGGGGTATTTGATGCCTTCGGTGGTTTTCGGCGGTTCTCTTTGGCCTTTTCGCGAGGCCCCCTCGTCGCCCATTGGCTGGACGCGGCTCCAGAGAGGGAGCTCGGTCGATTTTGCACGGGGCTTGTCGGGAGAGGGTAGGGGGGCAGTCGAGGAGGAGGAGGAGGAGGAGGAGGAGGAGGAGGAGGAGGAGGAGGAGGAGGAGGAGGGGGAGGGAGGGGGGAGGGGGAGGAGGAGGAGAAGGAGGAGGAGGAGGAGGAGGAGGAGGAGGAGGAGGAGGAGGAGGGGAGAGGGGGGAGGAGGGGGAGGAGGAGGAGGAGGGAGGAGGAGGAGGAGGAGGAGGAGGAGGAGGAGGAGGAGGAGGAGGCGGAGGCGAAGGAGGAGGAATAAGAGGAGGAGGAGGAGGAGGAGGAGGAGGAGGAGGAGGAACTTGTTGAAACTTGAGTGGCGTGTGGGTGCTGACGTCCATGCGGGACCAAGCACAACTCCAGAAGCACGGTGGCTGACAAGCCGGCATGGTCTCTGACGATCCGTGGATCGAAATCCAATTCCGCTCGACCAACCTGGCTTCTGGAGGAGGTGGGAGGAGGGAGGAGGCAAGGAGAGAGGGAGGGAGGGAGGGAGGGACGAAGAAGGGCGAGATGGAGGGAGGGCGGGAGGGAGGGACGAGGAAGGGCGAGGTTGGAGGAGAAACTGGGAGGGAGGGAGTGTGGTAGAAGGATGGGCGAGAGGGAGGGAGGGAGGAGGGACGGATGCTGTCGGCGTTCCTCAGCCCTGTCCACCCCCCTCCCCTTGGGGAGGGGGAGGCTCGTGGCCACGGCCAGGCGTACCTCGAGCGGCCTGTCGGAGCGGTGCCCAGGAGGACTCCAGACTTCTGGGAGGTCCTCGCGTAAAACCCTTTTTTTTTTTTGATCTGCAGGGCGAGAGCGAACCTCTTCCGCTGAAAGCTAAGCGGGACGCGCACAGCTTTAAGTGGCAGAGAAAAACCTTGCGCAAAAAACACGACGTCAGATAGCTGGGTCGAGACCTTCACCTTCTCGCGTAAAAAAAACACGACGTCAGATACTTGGGGCGAGACCTTCACCTTCCCGCGTCGCGGGGAAAAAAGAAGTCACGACGGGAAGCGTTCGGCGGCGTCCTGTCCTTGGGGTGCCCTTGCCGGGCCCGGGGGCCGACAGGCAACGACTCGGGACGAGAAGCCAAGCCGGTCCCCGTGGATGGCCCCAGACTTCTGGAGAGAGCCACGCTGCGAGCAAAAACAAGGCGTCCGAGATCTGGGCCGAGAGATGCGGTCAGAGCCCCGAATCATCAGGGGTAACTCGGGTCAGGGTTAACTCGGGTTCGTTTTTCGGGAATCCGCACCCGAGTTACCCCGGGCCCGAGTTATCCCGGATGATTCGGGCGTCCAATGGAGAGCCACGCTGCGAACAAAAACAAGGCGTCCGAGATCTGGGCCGAGAGATGCGGCACACGGATGGGTTCGAGGGTTTTGGTCCCGTCTTATCCGTGCAGGGGGCCACATGGGACCCCGACCCCTACCCCCCACGACTTTTGAGGGGAGGGTGGGGTTCACTGCGCTCGGGAGCTCCCGAACGAGGTGAACCCCACCCTACCCTCAAAGATCGTGGGGGGTAGGGGTAGGGTTCCCATGTGGCCCCCTACCGTGGCGGCGTGATTTCTGTTAATCGACGTCCGAGGTCGGGGTCTGTTGGGCAGGAGTTTTGGGTGCGCGCGTTTCTCTCAGTACGAGATGGGGCGTTTCTCTTCGTGCGCCGCGGCGTGATGCTTCTAACACGTTGCGATGGGGTCGTTTTGGCAGGGCGGTTTGACTCGCAATGCGGGTTGGCATGTGAGACGTGAGAGGATTGTCAAAGACAAAGAGTGCTTTGGTCAGTGGAGAGAAGATTCAGTTTGGCAGCGTTCCCCGTAGGCGGACATGATCCAGTGATGCATTGTTGGTGGATACGCTCCATTGCTGACCAGAAGGCCGTTACTCGTGACACTTCACGTCTCTATTTCTTGGGGTTCTCATGAGGTCTATTGAGTCGTCTTGGTGCTGTCTTGGGCTCCTGTGGGGCTCTCATGGGACCGACTTGGGGCTCTCTTGGGCCGTCTTGGTGCTGTCTTGGACCCCTCTCGGCAGTCTGGGGAGTCTCTTGGGGCTGTCCTGGGAGCATATTTTGGATGTCTTAGGCCATTTGGGGGCTATCTTGGCTCCTCTTGGACTGTCTTGGGGCCCTATTGAAGTTGTCCTGGGCCGACTGGCGGGGCTTCTGGAGGTCCTCATTGGGCTCTTTTCGCACCTCTTCAGCTCCTCCGAGGCCTTTTGCACTTCGGGCATCTCCTTAGGATTGCTCGGCCTCTCTTTGGTTGTGCCGAGGGGCCCAGGAATGGCACAACATTCGAAAACCTAGGCGCGTTCTCTGGTTCTGGAATAATGTTGGTATTCCAGGAGGGCCGCCTGGCCTTCTCTTGGATGTCTCGGAAGCCTCTTGGGACCTCATCGGCGCCTCTTGGGCCTTGGGGAACCGTGCATGCGACATTGTGCAATTGACAAAGACCTAACCAGACCGCCATTGGCATTCTATCACGCCTCAACGTCCCAAGAGGCGAGGTGGAGGATGTCCGCAAGGTTCATCCCCACATGTGACGGACGGCAGTGTGGCGTGCACGCTCCACCGTTGTATCTTCCTCCTCAAGCTATTCCGTCGGAGTCGGCCATTGCACTCTGCGCGCTCGTGTTGTTGTTATGACCCCGAGCATCTCAGGGCGACCCGTGCATGAAGAGCGAGTTCGCGACCCGTATGTGCGGAAGCAGCGACCTATACAGGCCGCCGTCACAGAGTCGGTGGGGGAGGTGTGGGATCCAGAGTGAAGTAAAGGAAGCAAAAGAAGAAGTCGGCGAGGGCGGACAGCGGTTGCATTTCTCTGTTGCCCTGTCGGTCTTGTCTCTCTGTCATTATATTCCCCGCTCCTGGAAGGGGAGGGGAAGGGTCGGGCCCGACGAAAGGGGGGGATTGGGAACGGGGGGGGGGTACAAATCTGCTGCATGCAGCCGGTTTCGGCCACGTGAGCTGATTCTCACCCCCCCCCCCTTTTCGCCCGACCCGAAAGGGGCGGCGGGGGCGCGCACGGCCAGGACGCCGAGAGAAGGACGCCTGTGGGCTCGGGAGGGGCTCCGATCTGGGGGGCAGGCTCCCGGACACCAAGGGGGGGGTCGGGTGGAGCCTCTTCGTGGCCGCGGCTCGCTGTGGCCACAGAGTTTTCCTTCGCTGGCCCACCGTTCTGGCTTGGCATCGCTCGCCGTGGCCAGCATCTCCCTTCTCTGGCTCACTGTTCTGGCTTGGCGTCGCTCGGACGTGTGCTTTTTTTTTTTTTCGGCGACGAGCACCGAGGAGCATCCCTGAGCCTTTCGCGGAAAATGCACGCTCGAAACCGAACAATGCACGGGGGCTGGACGTCCGAGCGATGGCGAGTGTTGGGGTTCCTGGAGGCAGCACGGTGGCTGTATGCTGGAGAGGCCGTACGGCCGGTCCCGCCGACCCTGAAGGGGGATCCGGAGGAAGGTCCAAGGAAGGTCGGCGTTGACTCTTTGGGTGGTCTCTCGGCAGGTCTCTTCCATGTTGTTCCAACAGGATCTGATGCCTCTTGGGAGCGCCTTGGGGTCCTCAGAGGGGGGGATCTTTGGGGGGCTTCGGTCTCGGCTGTGGCTCGAGATTGCAGTTCGGGTTCCCTTCTGGAGCCCCTCTTGGGGGCATCTTTGGGACCATCGTGGGCCTTCCAAGACCCTCCCCTTGACCCCCTCAGGACCCCCCCCCCTGCGGGCGGGAAAGTGATCAAAGGGAAGGTGCTTCCCCTCAAGACCATGGCTGATTCGAGTAAGACTTGGCTCGATTCACCTCCTCGGGTTGTCGAGCTTGTAGAGCCAACGGTGACCAATGGGAAGGGAGGAAACGTTTTGAATGAAAGGTGTCTCCCAGGACAGCCCTGGGACGAAGAGCCTTGAGCTCCCCGTTAATGTCAGCTTTTGATTAACAAAAGGGTGCCCCCTCCGGGGCTGATGAGTAGACCCCGCGGGGCGCGATTATTTTTTTGAAGTCACGCGCGCCACGGGGAGGGAGGAGAGAGGAGGGGGAAGGGGGAGAAAGAGGAGAAGGAGGAGGAGGAGGAGGAGGAGGAGAGGGAAGAGGAGGAGGAGGAGGGAGGAGGAGGATTAGGATGGGATGGATGATGATGATGATGATGATGATGATGATGATGATGATGATGATGATGATGATGATGATGATGATGATGATGATGATGATGATGATGATGATGATGATGATGATGATGATGATGATGATGATGATGATGATGATGATGATGATGATGATGATGATGATGATGATGATGATGATGATGATGATGATGAGGAGGAGGAGGAGGAGGAGGAGGAGGAGGAGGCCATCAAAATCTTATGAAGGGCTGGGGAAGGAAAGGGGGTGTTGCAAAACCTGCTGCGCGCACCTGGTTTCGGTCGCCCCGCCGAGGGGCCAGTCCTCGACGCATGGCCGCTTTCGGCGCCAGGAGGCGCTTGGAAAATCGGCGACGTGAGCTGCTTGGCAAATCCCCCTTTTGCTGCGCCCTACTTTCGTCCAGCCCGCCTTGCCCGCAGGCCCGCATCGGTTCGACAGAAAGAGGGGATCCCTGGCTCGTTCTCGCCTCCAAACACCCCCCCCCTTGCCCCTCGTCGGCGGCCGGGCGTCGGTGCTAATCACCTGCGCCGCCCCGTTGATTTTCAATCTGGCGGGCGCCACCCCGCAATTCGCCCGAGCAGGGGTCCTAATCTTTATACGCGCGCCCCCCACGGAGTTGCTAATCGCAAATTGACAGTACAAGCGCCGACAGTGGGCGCGGAGGTCGTGGAGGCCGAGGACGGACAGTGGAGCCTTGACATCCTCGCGTCGTGGCGCAATCACGATGAGAGGTTTTCGGACGTTCCCGCTGGTTCTTCTAAAGTTTTTCGCTCCGCGCTGCCTTCCAGCAGCTGCGCCTCGTCGAGAGCACTCAAATATTTTAGGCCCCCCACCCCTACCCCTCTAGCTTTCCCTGGGCGGGAGTCCTCATTAGGGTTTGTTCCGTTTGTTTTCTGGCGGCTCGATCAAAAATCCGGGGGCGGGCGCGAACGCGGTTTTCGTTGCAGTTGCGCGCTTGTTTGTCGGACCTACGCCATGGATGGGCGGCGATGCGGAGGCACAGCGAAAGTTTATTTAGCGTCTCCCGCTCGTCCGACAAATGCGGTTTGATGGCGTGCGCCCTGGCTGGCTAGAACCGACGGACTGATTATTTTGTTTTTTTCGATGGCAAAACCCAGGCGCTTAGGCGTGGTTTTCTCTTCCAGCGCGTCGCGTTGCCCTCCGACTTTGCCCGGCGAGCCCGTCCCGCGGCGTGTCGGCCGGGGCGGCGCTTGTCGAATTCCGACGCGTCTGGACAGCCGCCCAGACAGTAAATTTTCGAGGCGCCCGGAGATTTGACTTAACGCGGTCTTTAAAAAAGGCTCGTTTTTGCATAAACTACAGGCTAAACGCGACAAGCGAGACTTGACTCAACAAAAACCTACACGATTGATTCCCTTCACTCTAAAAGGGCGTCCTCGCTGGAATTTTCAGGAGGAAGAAAACCACGCAAACACAATGAATCCTCGATTTCCCAGAAAATATGGGAAAACATGGGCAGTGGGCGGGAAGACAGAAACCCTGAAAATATGTAAAGATACGGGGGGGATTTCGTTTGTGTATTTATTTGTGTGTCTCTGGGCCCCTTCAAATTTTCTCTTGTCTACACGTGGCGGTTCTGGACGGATTCCGCTCCAGCGTCTGGCGCGCCGTCCTCGGTCGCTTCGGGGGGCCGCGCGGTTGCCGTGGCTTTCGGGCACGTAGGCATCGCAGGCCTAGAGGTTGACACCAACACCAATATCGGCGGTGTGCCTCCACCGATGGGAGAAGATCCCGACCTCAGTGATGGTGGTAATCTTCGGGCTTCCTGGGAGCCCAAAGATTACCACCAACACCGATATCGAGGATCGTCTTTCCCCCGTGGAGGCAAACCCCCTGTGTTGGTGCTGGTGCCCATTCCCAAGCCTCCTATAGGCACCCTTGTCCGAGGCGGCGTGGGAGGCGGCCATGCGATTTGCGCGCGTTGAAACAGGAGGGAATGCGCCGAACCCGAGCACGGCTGGAGCATTCATTCTCCAGAGGGTCGCGGCGCGGTGTCCCAGGATCTTTCTCATGTCCACGACAGCGGCGCGGAATGCTTCACCATCAATCTGCTTTTGTTGTCGCGCGTCCTGGTGATGGGGTGGGCCTGCGAGGAATCGCGTCTTGTGCAGGCGTGCCTCCTGCCCGAACAGAAAGGGCAAAGGGTGGGGGGCCTAAAAACTTTGATCAGAGAGCATTCCTGGGTGCCCGAATCGTCCCGATCGGCTGCCGGAGGCCGAATCCTTTCCTTGTAGCAAGCCAGACCTCCTCGAGTCGGGGAGAAAACCTTGCTGAAGGCCTCTGGGGGCCTTCACTGGGCCCCCGGACCGTCAAACGCGACTCGGGGTGAAAAGCCGGTCCCTGGCCATGGGTCCAGAGCACGGGGAAGCCACGTTGTGAGAAAGTGAACAAACGGATGTTTGGGACTGGCGCGAAGAACGTGAATAGGGGACGACGGAGCTGTGGAGCAGGGCGAGGGGCGAGAAGACCCCTGCCCCCATTCCTGCCACGACCCTGCAAGGTCAATGTCGATTCGATCGATCCGATTCGATGTTGAGGTTGGCCAGGCCGATCCGATTCGGTGCCCTTCGTTCCGCGGGGCGCACGCCCGGAGCACGCAGAGACCGGGCGTTGGGCGGTTTGCCGCGCGCGTTTGCCGCGCTCTTCTGCCGTGCCGTTCTGCCCGCCCCGGGGTTTGGCCAGCGCCACGAGGGGCGGATGCGCCCCCCTCCCCCCCTCGCTTCCGCGCCAAGACGAGCGTGCGAATAGGGGGCCACGTGCGAACCCTACCCCTACCCCCCACGGTTTCTGAGGGGAAGGGTGGGGTTCACTTCGCTCGAGAGCTCCCGAACGAAGTGACCCCACCATCCCCCTCAGAAATCGTGGGGGGTAGGGGTAGGGTTCGCATGTGGCCCCCTGGCGAACGTCCACGAGCTTGGAGGGCCCCGGAAACGGCAGGGCCGTGTTCTCACCGTTTCCGAAAAAGTGCCCCTTGAAAATGGAAACGGCAAGAAAACGGCGACCGGAAACGGCAGAAAAACGGCTCCAGGATTGGAACCGGAGCCGGAACCGATCGAAAAACGGCGACGGAACCCGTAAAACAACGGCAAAACGGAACCGGAAAAAACGGCCCTGTCGTTTCCAGGGCCCACTAAGTTCGGGAGACTCTTCATGGGGGGGGATCCCATGGGGGGATAGGATCCCAGGGGGGGGATCCCATAGGATCCCCTGGGGATCCCATGGAGAGTCTCCCGATAAGTCCACGAGGGACATGAGCGTTCACCGCGTGACAGCACAACGTAACGCCAAGTTCAAACTCCGAAAGGCACATCAGCAACGCGCCTTTCGTGTAATTCCGTGAGCCTCTGTGTGGTTTCTTGAGGACGTTTGGAGGATTTTTGGGGTGCCTGTTGGAGGCTTCTTGGGGGCCCCTGGGGGCCTCTTCGGGGCCTCTTAGGGTCTTTGGGGGGCCTCGTGGGCCGTCTTGGAGTACTCTTGCGCTGTCTGGCCCCTTGCCGTCTTGGAGGCCTCTCGGGTCCGCATGGTGGTTTTCTTGGGGTCCACTTGGGCCGTCCTGGGGCTCTCTTGAGCCGTCTTGGGGGCCTCTTCTGGCAATCTTGGGGCTCTCTTGGGCCGTCTTGGGGGTCTCTGGGGCCTTCTTGGGGGCCTCTTCTGGCAATCTTGGGGCTCTCTTGGGCCGTCTTGGGGGTCTCTGGGGCCGTTTGGGGGCCATTTTGGAGGCTGCTTGGGCCATCATGGGCCCTTGAGAGTCTAATGAAGAGGGCCTCACTGTTGGCCCTCATGGGCAGTCTTGGGTCCCTTTGGGGGGTTCTTTGGCCGCCTTGGGGCCCTCGTAGGACCTTTGGGGTCGTCTTGGAGCGATCATGAAGGCCTCTTGGGCCGTTTTGAACGCTCGAAGACGGAAACAACGAATATGCGAAGACGGAAACAACGGCGGTCGAGACCGAGTCGGCTGGAGTTTTCTGGTCGCGCTCTTTCCTCTTCTTAAAAAAAACGCATGTACAAACATATGCGTGTTCCCAAAGATTGGTAGGAGGATGTTCCCTTGGGGGGCCTTCTTGGGAGTCGTGTTGGAGCCCTCTGCTTGGATGAGCTCCTTCTTGTTAACAGCCAGTCTTGTTGTAACAACTTGGTACCCCTCTGGCAACCCCCACCAACTCCCTGGTAACCCTCTCCCAACATGTTGATACACCTTGTTATACATGCGTAACCCTGCAACTCATTAAACATGGCTTCGCGTTGGCAACCCATTACACAAGCAGCTGAATGTTGACATGATGACGTTCAGCCAGCGCAACTTAGCTTAGCGGTATCGTATCGTGTGGTAAGGTGAAGAGTTGGGTTGGCAACGCGTTGGTTAACAATGTGCGCAGTGTGTTAAACCCTTTAGCTACCCTCAGCCAACCAGTCTAGCGAAGCTGATTGGCGAACCTGGTCAGCGAACCTAAGCCACGCAACCCCGAGAGCGTCAGCTGTTGTCCTCATGGGCCATGTAAATTGCTATCCTCGCTGGTGTTTATCACTTGGTTATGGGGTAGCTAACCTAGTTAGCGAGGTCAGCGAACATGCTTAGCGGGATGTGCTCACCTGGTCAAATTTGCGCGTTTCGGTCAGTAAAAGTTGAGTGGCCTTTCCTAAGCACATTGGCAACACGACGCAACGTTGACCCACACCCCGCGCGGCAAGCCGCGCAAAGGAGTTGGTGAACACGTCAGCAAGGATGTAGCGACCCGTTACAAGAGAGCGTATCGGGTGCAACCAGTGGTAATGATTTCTAAATTGGCCGCCCTCCCAAGTGGGGGCGTCTCGGGGGGCCCTTGAGCTGTCTTGAGGCCGTCTATCACCACCCACCAAACCACCCCAACCCAACCATAAGGCCTCAAATTGCCCTCCATTTCCAGTGGGGGGGGTCGGCGAACATCGAAAAAACACGTATGGAGCCCATACCCCCCCCAACCCGAAATTCGGGTCTTCGGGTTGGGTTGGGGTGGTCTGGTAGGTAGTCACCTTGAGCTGTCTTGAGGCCGTCTACGAGCGTCGTAGGGCCATATAGAACCACGCGGAGGCCCTCGGAGGCCGTCGGGATCACTCCTGGAGCGGACGGCACCCCTTGCGGATCCAGCGGGCGCCCCCCGACCCCTCCAAAGACAGCAGACCGGGCTCCAGTGGGAGGGGTTGGGTCGGGAGCCTCGAGACGGGGGTCAATGCAAACGGGGGTCAGCCAGGGCGCCAGATCCTGCAGGATCCTGCGAAGACCCCCTCTGGCTGACCCGGGTTGGCGAGCCGCTCGCGGCCGCGAGGCGGCCGCGCGTATTGGTTGACCCGGGTTTGCTAAGATCTGCGTTGCAGTTTTTTTTTGCATTGCAGTTTTTGGTTTCCTGCTGACCCGGGTCTGGATTGACCCAGGTCAGAAGATCCCCGATTGGGGAGGGGTACCATCTCACACGCCGAGCAACCCCCAAGGGGTCGGCGGATTCCTCTATGATGACGGCGATGCGATGCGGACCGATGTTTGCATTGCGCTGTTGTGCATCTTGGCGCAGGCGATCCGACGCGATGTTGAGTCCTTGTCGATGCAGCCCGACCCGACTCAAATTTCGATCCGATCCGATTCCCGATTCGATGCTGGCTGATCTCGCCTGCCTTGCCATCACTTTGCCATGACCCCAACGCGACATCACCACGACCCTGTTGGGGCCGTGGCAAGACGCCACCAAGACCCCGTGTCCATTTCGGCCCGAGTCATTTCGCAATTTTTTGCCTTCGCCATGGCGCGGGCGCTGCGCCAGCGTCCTGGCCGCCGGGCGGCAACGCGCTGTCGGCCGCTCGTGCTGCTCCTTTCGGCGGCGCTGGTGCCGCGTGGGGCGCGCGCGGGGGGCAACGCCTCGCTGGAGCTGCAGTGGTCCACGCCCATCTTCGCCTACTTTGTGGACCCCGTGCAGGCGGCCGAGCTGAATCGGAAGGTCTTGGACGCCGCCAGGGAGCTCAGGGACGGCAGCCCGGTGGGGGAGTCTGCGAGCAACCGCGGGGGCTGGCAGAGCCAGAGGCATCTGCACAAGGAGGGCGCTCCCTTTTCCGAGCTCAAGAAGGAGGCTGTGGCGGCGGCGAACGAGTTCTGGAGGCAGGGGCAGCTGCGGACGGCCCACGCCAAGGGCCGCGCTGCCAAGCCCAAGTTTTTTGTCAAGGAGATGTGGGTCAATGTGCTCGGCGCAGGTGACTCGCACAAGGTCCATAAGCACGCCGGGTCCATATTTGCGGGCGTCTACTACGCGAGCGTCCCGCCCGCGCAGCCGGACGATCCCGAGGGAGGCTCCATGAGAAGAGCGGAAAATTGCGTCAATTAATGTTCGGAGTTCCGCGCGGATTGCTTGTATCGGCACTGGAACCCCCTCCCTGGCGCGCGGATCGCGCCAGGGTCGGCGCCGAGGGGCCCAGCGCCGATCCAAGGAATTCGCGCAGAGCTCTCAACGTTTGCGTTCCTGCAGTTGTCTCTTCTTCGATGCATCAAGTTCAGGGACCCGCGGGCGCAGACGAGCATCCTCGAGGGCTTCGAGTGGATGGGCCTGGGCGCGGACGTCCAGGTGAGGCCATCGCCGGGCCTGATGCTGGTCTTTCCCGGGTGGCTGGACCACTTCGTGGAGCCCGTCGCCGCCGCTCCCGCGTCGTGGGTCTCGAAGGCGGAGGAGCGCGTGGCCGTGTCCTTCAACGTGGGCTTCAAGACCTGACGGCATTCGTCATGTGGCATCTTCGGGGGACCCCGCCTGTCCCCCGAAGTGGTGTCTTGTCTTGTGCCCGACGCGGGCTCGACGCGGGCTCGATGCAACAGAACATTCGCACGCCTCCCCCCAGACCGTTGCGCTGCGCTCCACGAGTAAACTAGTCCGGGGCAACGTTACGGGGGGGATGGGCTCAGGGGGGGTGCATCATCGACCCCCAATCGCCCATGCATCGCCGATAGGGGCCGGATAGTCTACCCCGCCCAGGACCGTGCGGTTTTGCTATCGAGGCCTCATCGTCAATCCATCGGCGATGCATCTCCGATTCCACATCGATATTCCGCTCCCCTGAGCTGGTCCCCCCCTGACGTTGCCCATCATAGGAGTGGCGAAGGATCTGGGGGGGGGGGGGAGTTTTCGAGCTGCTCAGCGACGAGAATAGAGTGCAGACATGAATTACGGCGCGTGGATAAGTTGCGGGCCCCGTTCCCCTTCCAAGATCGGCGAGTCAGTCGCCAAATCGATCCGTGGGTCTGGCGCCCACGTGCCAGATCCACGAATCCGCAATCCATTCTAGCGTTAGAAGCCCAAGGCTCGCTCGGGACGTGTTTTCCCAGCGCAGACCCTTCTCAAACCCTTCATGGGATCCCTCCGAAAAGCCTCCCAGAACACTTCGTCGAGGGTTTTCGGCGGGTTTCGGGAAGGACCCCCGTGGCTCTCTCAAGCTCGAACGATCCGCGACTGTCCGACAGCGCAGATCGTTCGACGTCGGCCGTTTTGGGGCCACTGACGGCGTTCCGCCTCGAACGCCCGCGCCCGGGGCCGCCACCGCGCCCACGCGGCGCAAGCTTGCCGTGGCCCCCTCCGGCGTGGCTCCTGGCCCTTGGCATCGCTCGGACGTGTGCATTTTTCCTTCGGCGAGGACCATCGAGGAGCATCCTTGATCACTCGGCGAAAAGAACACGCACGAAAGCGAACAAAAACACAGGGAAGGGACGTCCGAGCGATGGCGAGGGCCAGGAGGCCAGGACCGTGCGAAGTCGCTCTCGGGGCCCTATCGCCGACCCGGAATCGGCGATGCATCGCCGACTCCAGGTCGATTCCTCCGCCCCCCCCGAGCTCCGGACCCCCCCACCTCGGTGATGCATCGCCGACTCCAGGTCGATTCCTCCCCCCACCTTCCCGTTCCGCCCTCAGACCAGCACGACGGAGCTGGGTGCGGAGGGAGTGGCGACGGAGGCCGGCGGCAGGTCCTGCACACTTTGAGCAGGGCGCGTTGTCGGAGTCGCCGCGGGCGTTATTCACTCTGAGAGAATCAGGGTCGGCTGTCCAGCAGCGGCCGCTGTCGGTGCTAGACAACAATTTGCCATTGGGCATCGATCCCATGTTTGCCGTACCCATTTCGGGCGTGCAAGTTGCCTTCGGGAAGGGCCGCGGTTTCGATGCAGGAAAGTGTGGAGCTTGAGCACACGCCCTGAATACTAGGCAGCGGTGGGCATTGCGTTAGTCCAGCGCATGCCGAAGGACATGTCGGCGAGTGCACACGAGATGCATTGAAGAGAGGGGGGTAGATGAGATGCATAATTCTGACCAGGCAGCACTTGGCCCTACACAAGTCCGCTGCGCGCCGAGGGACACCGATGTAGGTGTGTAGCCAGCTGCATGGGCTTCTTGACAGTACATGCGATTAGGTATTTTTGCCTAGTTGTTGTTGCTTCCCTCAGGCACGACGGTAGAAGTCCGTTCCACTCCATCAACTTCATTACGGCGCATGACGGCTTCACTTTGTGCCATGCTTTCGGTTTCTCTCTCTCTCTCTCTCTTTATATTTGTCTCTTGCTCTTTTTCAGTGTGCCCCACTCTCCCTCTATCTCTCTCTCCCTCTCTCTCTTTGTTTCCCCCTACTTCTATCTATATATATATACATGTGTCACTCTGCATGTGTACGTCGGTGAAGGATGGGCAGAACCGGGAAACTGGACTCCGAATCATCAAGAGACTGCAGGGGATGGACAAGGATCTAACGGGGGTTGTGAATCCCTGCTGCGCTAACCCCCATCTTGGTTGCTGATTGCGGGACATGTTCTTCTGAGCGCCAATGAGAACACATAGTGGCACATCCTTTGAGTGAGATTGACCGGGGGGCGCCCTAACGGATTGGCGGCCTCGCGATGACGAAGTTTGCGTATAGTTTCCGGATGTTCCTCCAGCCCCGCTCGGTTCCTTGTACCACCCTTCCTTTTCCTTGTTCCCACTCCTTCCTGGCCGCAGCACCAGACGTGCCGGTCGGGCGGGCCAGGCGTGTCGCCTGGGGATTGTTCACCATCCATGATCCTGACGCCTGGAGTGTGCAGCGGGTTCAAGGATGGAGGGCGGGTGTTCTTTCGAAAAGGCCGCCCTCTCCTTAGCGCCACGCGCATTCGTTTCAAACAAATCTTGCAAATGTCAGTGATGGAAGGGGGTGGTCTTCACAATGTGGGTCTCGCTTCAGCGCCGCGCATTTTCGTTTCAACATTGCAGCGGCGTCAAGGAAGGAGGGCGGGTGGTTCTCAAAATCTGGCTCTTGTTTTAGCGCCCCGCACGATTGCTTCGAAAGTTCGCAGCAGCTTCAGGGATCGATGGCGGCTCCTTTTCAGTATGTGGCTCTCGCCCTCGCGCCGCGCGCATCAGGCCTAAACATTTGCAGCAGTTTCTAGAATTCGTACGGCTGGAGTCCCAGGGATCCAGGGATGATATTATGGCACGACCTGGAGTCAGAACGCAACGTTCACGTTGGTTCGCGGTGTTGGCGTCCCGACGATGGTGTTCTGATAGGGTTCATGATTATCAGGACGCAGCAGGCACGTTCATTTGCGGCGTTGCAGTCCCAGGAATAATGTTTCAGCACTGTTGATGATTCGCGAACGGTTCTTTTTCAATGAGGCACGTGCCGCAACGAAAACCAGGGACCAATGAAGAGGGAACTTGCAGGGAGGGTCTGTCGCAACCTTGTCCTCTGGGGAGCCTTCCTCGCGGCTCACGCCGCCTCTGGCTTGGTTGCTGGGCGGTCCCCTTGCCTCGCGGGCTGCGGAGATCCTGCTGAGCGCGGCCATCACTGTCCTCGTCGGCGACTTCGCCAAGCAGGCCGCGCGGGTGTCGGAGGCGGCGCCGCCCAGCCCTGGCCCCTGCGCACGGCGCCGACGGTGGCGGCCGCGCGGGCGCGGCGGGGCCGCGGGAGGCGCAGCTGACGCCGTGCGCGGCGCGGAGAACGAGCTGCCGGCGGTGCTTGCGGGCGGCGCGCCGCCAAGAGCCGGCTTCCAGCCCAGGCGGCCGCGGCGCCGCGCGCGGCGTGACCGCGCCTCGGAGGAGCGTTAAGGATGCTGTTGGTTAGGGTTTAGGGGTTGAGGTTTAGGGTTTAGGGTTTGGGGTTTAGGGCTTCTCTTAGCGCAGCGGCCGACAGTCCAGGCAATGCTGCCCCCCCTTCGGCAAGATTGATTGGGGGGGCGGTTAGCCGACCCGAGCAAGCTTGGCGAAGGGGGCAGGAGGTGCAACATCTTCCCACCCCCGGCCGCATGGCCGGCAACCTCCCAAACTAAAGCCTTTTAGGGTTTACGGCCGTTGGACCCTAAATTCCCACATGCGTTCCAAGCGCTCCCAGGCGCTCCCTGGCGCTCCCAGGCGCTCCCAGGCGCTCCCGGCGCTTTCCCAGGCGCTCCCATGTGCTCCCAGACGCATCCAAGCGCTCCCAAGCGTTCCCAAGCGCTCCCAGGCGCTCCCGGCACGCTCGCAGGCGCTCCCAGGCGCTCCCAGGCGCTCCCAGGCGCTCCCAGGCGCTCCCAGGCGCTCCCTGGCGCTCCGAGGCGCTCCCAGGCGCTTCCAGGCGCTCCCAGGCGCTCCCAGGCGCTCCCAGGCGCTCCTAGTCGGCCCCAGGCGTTCCCAGGCGCTCCCAGGCGCTCCCGGGCGCCCCCAGGCGCCCCCCGGCGCTTCGAAGAAAAGGTCTTCGGGTTTAGGGTGTTGTATTCGTTGAGGATCAGGGGATGGTTTATCGTTGAAGCGCTAATCCCCAAAAGAGGGGAAGGGCAGCAGCAAAAGCTGCCAAGGCGACCCACTCGGGCAACATGCTCAAGCATCTCAGAGATGCCCTGTCTCTCGTAGACGGCGACGGTGATGCGCGGTGGGGTGGGCAGAAGCACAACGAGGTGCTTGGGAATTTCGTGTTAAGGACGCGCCTCAGCCCAGCACACGATGCGCGTTAAGGATGGTGTCGGCGGTGAGATGTCTTTGGCGGCAGCTGAGCTGACGCCCTGCCCCCGAGGCGTGCGGGGGCCGCCGCCGCGGGAGCATTGCGCTCGCGGTGCAGCGGCGGCGGCGTCGGCCGCCGCGCCGCCCACGGATGCGGGCGCTGGGCGCGGCGAGGCCGCGGAGCGTTCGGAGCTCACGCGGCGCCTCGCCCTGTTGCTCGGGTCCGCCATCGAGGACTCCGCAGCGCGACGATCGAGCAGCTGCGGGTGCTCGCGTCGTTCGGCCACTCGGCGGGCGGAGGTCGTCCTCTTCGGCGGGTCCGCGGTGAACTCGTTAGTTCTCCCCGACCTCGTCGTCGGCACGGTCGGGGACATGGCACCTTCTGGTGGCGGCCAGGTCCCCGCGGTCGCGCCCGCTCGTGGGCGCGCATAGTCTGGCGAGATTGTCCCCCTTTCCCTGCCCCGCCCCGCCAGAGAGATCAAGGGTCAGTCACGAGTCTGAGATTATTAGTTGCGGCGTAGCTCTCTCGTGGTCAGAAGCCAGCACCTTGCGATCTCCAGAGCCCCCCCTCCTCCTTCATATCCGTCTTCTGTTTGGCGGAATGCCAGCCTGTCTTGCCGCAAGTCGTTGCGCACGTTCTCTTGTGGGCTGTGGCTTGTCGCTGGCCCACTGCGGGATGGCCTCCCCGCAGTGGTGCAACGATGCTTTCTCGGATAGCCGCGCCCCAGTTTCTCGTCCTGACCTTGTCTGACCTCTCTTAGGGCAGTGCCCTCCTCCATCCCCTTCCTTCTGAGCTACAGTCGGGGCCCTGAAGAAGGAGCCCTTTTCGTTGGGGAGGGGCTCCGTGTTCCTTAATTGTTCGCAGCTTGCCTTGGATTTTCCTTAGGTTCTCGATACGGAGTCGAAGTTCAACTTATGGAAAGTAGGGGCCTCGTTCCTTATTTAGGGTTCCTTAGGTCAGCGCTCCGACTGTATTCCTCGTCGCGACGCCAGACGTGCCAGGAAGGCGGGCAGGGCTTCCCCGTCCCGGGGGGGCGAGGGGTCTCCGCAGTGGGGCTCTCGCCTCGAGACCGCGCGCGTCTGTCTTCACAGTTTTAGACAGCTCGGGTACTTTATTAATGAATTTAGTCGGTTTTAGGGTTTTAACAAATGGTCGCAGCCACGCAGAGGGCGTGCGTGGCGACGCCCCAAATGCTCGGTCTCCAGTACTTCTACGTGGCGGCGCCCCCGCAGGCACGCAGAGGGCACGCGTGGCGGCGGGGGCGTCGGCACGCAGAGCTTCTAAAGACCAAACATTTTGAAAACAAATTGTTTCCTCTACTGAAGTAGAGGGAGGATGGCCCCGGGTCATTTTCAAGACCAGGCTCTCGCCTGAGATCCCGCCGAGACTTCGTCGGATGCGTGAAGTTGTGCAACAGATGCATGGGTGAAGGGTGGTTCTGTTTCCAGACGGGGATCTCGCTTGAATGGCAGGCCCATGCGGCTGTCTTCTTTCAAGTGGGGGTCCGAAGTGTGGGGGAATGATTATAGGGATTCATGACGTGGGGACTCGGCACAGGAGGGCGTATTGCAGCATCGCTGATGCACGTTGGGTTTGTGTATTCTGGTCTTCCTCAAGTCCTCCAACCTCGTTCTTGTCTTCCTCCCCCTTGCTTGCTCTCATCGCCGTTCCTGGTTGCCATGCCGCTCCGGCGCTGTGCTCACTGAGGCGCTTGCGTGTGCATTGTGTTGGCGCCAACTCTCGAAGAAGAAAAAAACAAATAAACATAAACGTTAAGCGCTCCGCGCAGATTTCTTGGATCCGCGCCTGGGCCCCCTGTCGGCGCCTCTGGCGCCGCCCCTGGCGCGCTCCGCGCGCCAGGGAGGGGGGTCCAGCGCGAATCCAAGAAATCCGCGCGGAGCGCCAAAAGTTTATGCTTATGTGGTTTTTTCTTGTTCTCCTGCTCGAAATGGCCCCGTGCCTGCGACGGGCATCTACGCGTAGACTGTGTACTGTCCGTGCTGCTGGTCCCATCGCACCGCCCCGACGTCGAGCGTCCTCGACTCTTCCCCCCCTCTCGCTGGCTCTCCCCAGGGCTGTATGTCCGCCTCCCTTCTCCCGAGCACTTTCTGTTGGTGGGGGGCGAAGGGTTGAATTTGAAATGCCGTTTCGACTGATTTTCGAGGCTTGAATCTGCAAAAGGTGAATCACAAGACTGATTGAATTACGAGGTGCGAAAGCCCATGTGGATTTCACATTGAGCCCTCCACCCTAAGAAAATGCTCAGTCCACCACCACCTCCCCAGACTTTCCTGATCGGCGGCCGTGAGGGAGTCAAACGGCGGTCAAGCAGCGGCGGGGCGCGCCGGGGGTCAGCTGGGGCCCCTCCCCAGGCACCCGACGTCGTGATTTCTGTCCGCAGCGAGGCTTACCCAGAGGTCTATAGGCCGTGTTTTCTCTGGGGGCCGGCTGCTCACCCCGAGACGCTCGTGGACGGCCCCGGGGCCCGGCAGGGGCCCCCCAGAGGTAGAGGGGCCACCATGGGAGGGGATAAGCATATGGGGCGTTTCAACAAGGGCCAGGCCTTCGCGAATCGAAGGAGTTGTCATCCCTTCCTCGGCGGAAGGCAGCGGAAGGGCGGCGGAAGGTCGGCGGAAGTAAAACGAGGCCGCCTCCGCCGGCGGAAGTTGGCGGAAGGGCGGCGGAAGGCGGTGGAAGTAAAAGATGCATCCCCAAGAGATGAAAACGTTTTTGGGTACAGGGTTTGCGGAATCGGCCATATGAAGGGGATGCATCGACCCCCAATCACCGATCGCCGATAGGGGTTTGATAGCCCCGTTCCGCCTATGAAGGCACTGGGGCCGATCGCCGATCTATCGGCGATGTGTCGCCGATGCCAGGTCGATCTTCCCCCCCAGATATGCCAGTCCCCCCCTTGCGTTGCCCCTCAGACAATTGTCACACATTGTCAGTCCATTGTCCGTCGTGCTTGGATGCGAGGGTGTCCTGGGGGGCACAGATAGATCCCCAGACATGTTCCGCAGAGCGTTTTGGCGATGATTCGAAGACGCGCCCAGCCGTGGCGACGAGGAGCCCACTGGAGGCCCACGAGAGGCGACACAACATTATCCCAGCAAGGCACCCTTGATTGCAGCCTGGACAGGGGTGAGCAAGAAAAGATGCAGCCAGGACCGGAGTGCGAGCACGGCCATGTACGCCTTCGTGTGTTCCTTGCATGACATCGTGGCCCTTGGCATCGCTCGGACGTGTGCATCGTGGCCCTTGGCATCGTGGCCCTTGGCAAGCGAGCAAGCGATGGAAGAGGAGATCGTCCTCCCCGCGCGCTCGCTCGCTCGCTCGCTCGGTCGAGCGAGCGAGCGAGCAAACATTGTGGGGTTCACACTGATCCTACTAGGGCACTGTCCCTTGGCATCGCTCGGACGTGTGCATTTTTCCGTCGGCGAGGGCCATCGAGGAGCATCCTTGATCATTTGGCGAAAAAAACACGCACGAAACCAAAAAAAAACACAGGGAATGGACGTCCGAGCGATGCCCAGGGCCCTCCAGACCAGACATGTAGGCCAGTGAGGCGCGAGCACGACGTTTGGAATACGTTGGGACAGCGTCTTAGGCGAAGCGGCTGCCGGAGTGGGCAGTCTGGGGCTCCCCCGTCCCCCCTGCTGGACTCTTATGTCGTGTTTGCGTGTGTCTGTGTGTGTTTTTGGTTATAGTCAAAAACCCTAGTAAGGACGCACGACTTTTCTCAGGGTACCCTGGCGTCCTTGCTCTTTCTTGCTCTTGCGTCCTCGGGGTTCTCGTCGTCCGCCGCCCCAAAAATCCCAACTTCGGCTTCCAAGAGTCTTGCGTCCTTACCGCGCGTCCTTATTAGGGTTTTTGACTGTATGTCGTGTGTGCGTGTCTGCGTGTTTTTGGTTAACAGAAAAGCGGATGAACAGTTCTGACCACTACAGTCGGCCCTGATTAGTAGGTCGACCTTGCCAAAACAAGGGTACCCTTGTGTCCTGTGTCTCGCGACCCATGCCCCCTACATCATTATGGCAGTGTGGCCCTCGGAAGGATCTTGTGTCCTCTCACGCGTCCTGTCCAATGAAGGCCGACTGTAGTAGAACCCTCTACGCAGCGAAGAGTGATTGGGGACGGATCAAGTTCGATGCTCGAACCTCCGCCGAAGAGGTACGACCTCGTCTCGTACAACGAGAAGCACAACCTCTGCAACGGCGAGAACAGCGGCGACGACCACAACAACTCTTGGAACTGCGGCCACGAGGAGTGTCGCTCGCGCCCTGGCTTTGGCAGCGTCGGGCGGGGCGCGCGTGGCTGGCCAGGGGGGCGCGTTGGGCCTGGCATCGCTCGGACGTGTGCATTTTTTCTCGACGAGGACCATCGAGGAGCATCCTTGATCATTTGGCGAAATAGCCACGCACGAAACCGAAAAAAACACAGGGAATGGACGTCCGAGCGATGGCCAGAGATAGCCCGACGGAAATTTCATGACGGCCCAAGATGGCCCCAAGGCGCACTCCAAGTCGTGACCGGGTCGTCGAGGGAGACCGTGGTTCACAGCAAGCTGGCCCGAGGAAGTTTCCAGAAGCCCCCGATAAGCCCCTCAACAAGTTTCGTGAGGCCCCCAAGATTCCTTACAAGGAGGAGCCTTCATACAACTATTCAGGACGATGGGAAATGGTTCGCAGGGTACGGCGAGAAAGAATAAGAGGAACAGGCAATATGAAGGAAGGAGAAGGAAAACAATTTTCTAGACGCTTCGCATAACTCAACCAGCCCATCCATGAACGATGCCCAGCCGCGTTGCCCGGATCAGAGATGTAGAGGAGCATGCAGTGGAATAACGGGTTGGGGAAGCCGTCATACCGCAAGAGGGGGAGGATGCAGGAGGAGGGGGAGGATGGAGGAGGAGGAGGAGGAGGAGGAGGAGGAGGACGACGACGACGACGACGAGGAAGAGGAGGAGGAGGAGGAGGGGGAAGGAGGAGCAGGAGGACGAGGGGGAGGGGGAAAAAAGAAAGGAGGAACGAACGGGAGCAGGCGGAGGAGGAGGAGTGCGAGCAAAATGGCCAGAGGTTTCTTGGATGCCTCTCGGAGTCTTTTCGGATGTATCTTGAAAGCTTCGTGAAGTCGTCTTGGAGCGTCTTTATGGCCTCGTGGCAGTCCAGCGGGCCTCTGAGAGCCTCTTTGGAGCCTCTTTGGGGCCTCTTGGGCCTCCTGGGCGCCTCCTGGTGCCCTGTTGGGATACTCTTGGAAGCCTCGGTCGCCATCTTGGGGCCATCCTGGAGGAAATCGATCGAAGAGCGGGGGCAGTAAATCAGAGGCCATCCCTCCCCCCCTCAAGGAAGCCAGAATTGGTCCAACATCTACACCAACTAAATGATCTGCGATTTCTCGCCGAGGCCAGCGAGGACGCTCCAACGACCCGGTGAACATCTTTTTTCGAAGGGAAAGAAGACAGACGGAGGACGGAAGAGGAAACCCGCTAAACCATTCACACCCAGAGGGCTGGTGAAATTAAAGCGACGACGCCGAAGACGACAACAAGGAGTTACCAGTGGTTTTAGTCATTCACCGTCGAAATTGAAGGACCAAGGCGCGTGGCTTGAAACGCCAATGCAGTCTTGCACATAATCTTGTATGATATGTACGTGTGTATATATATGTGTACTAGTTACATATGTTATACATACAGAGAGAGAGAGAGAGTCAGAGATAATCAGAGAGACATAACAATACACGAAAAAGGTAACGCGTTCCGTCGACGATTGCCTTGGACAAAAACCACTTGAACGCGTGGAGCTGGGGCCCGCCCCCCCCCCCAACGAAAAAAACATTGAGCATACCCTGAGAACCGCCCCCCCCCGCCCCCCCTCCCCGGACGTCAGCGCCCCTAACCAGCCCCCCCAACGCCTTCCAGTGGGGGGTCGGGTTCGACTCGCCCCCCCCTGTCCAGGGCGGGGGGGCGTTCGAACCAGCTCCCCCCCCTGAGTTTCAAGGGAAGGGGCGGCGGGGGGGGTCGAACCGGCCCCCCCCGTCCTTTCAAATGGACTTGTGCTAAGGCTCGATCCTGCCTTGATAGAATCCTAGTATATCTGAATACAGCTCTAGTTGAGCCCTACTATAGCTGGATCCAGGTCTGACTCAATCAAGCGAAGGCTGGATCCAGCCTCTAACAGGATCATACAATAGCTGGATCCAATTTCACTAGTAGCCCAGTCGGGTCCGATCCTACTCCAATAGAATCCCATCGTAGCCAGAGCCATCTCCATTTGAGTCGATCCAATTCTAAGAAGACCCTGCGATAGCTGGATCCAACTTTAAAGCATCCTCATCGCGCCCGATCCACCTTTTTAATATAATCTTGCAAGAGCTAGATTCAGCAAAAGCTCGATCCAGCTCGAATAGAATCCTACCGTAGCAAGATCTAGCTCGAATTGAATCCCACTCGTGGTAGAGCGAGAGTCGGTTGGGTCGGGTCGGGCGGGCAGGATACTAAATGCATGGTGGTCGCTTGTTCGCTCGCTCGCTGGCTGGAAGACGCAAGCGAGACGGGCGAGACGGGCGGGTCGGGTCGGGCGGGCGAGACATTTCAATGCATGGTGTTCGCTTGCTCGCACGCTCGAGCAGACGAACGAGCGAGCGAGGGAAAGAGGGGTCCTCTCGTTCGGTCGCTCGTGGAAGCAGGCGGGGGTCAGCTCGAGCGGGGGGGGGCATTCAACGCACTGTGTTCGCTCGCTTGCTCGCTCGCCCGCTCGCTCGAGCAAGCGAGCGGGCGAGTTGGGCGGGTCGGGCCGGTCGGGCGGGACATCAGATGCACTGTGCTCGCGCGCGTGATCGTTCGCTCGAGAGGTCGCTCGCTCGCGCAGGCGAGCAGGCGATGGGAGAGGAGATCGTCCTCCCCGCTCGCTCGCTCGTTCGCCTGGTCGAGCGAGCGAGCGAGCAAAAGTTGTGGGGTTCACACTGATCGTACTATTACCAGCTTCGAACGTAGCCCTATCCCGAAGATCGACACGCCAAAAAGCGATGACAATCTTAGGGATGCGCCCTCAAAAAATAAGGGGAATCCCTAAGATTGGCATCGTGATGAGGAGATGCCCAGCATAGGGATAGGGATATGTTCCAGGCTGGTAATACTAGGGCTCGGTCCAGTTCTAACAGAATCTCACTCGGGCTCGATCCAGCCTGAATAGCAGACAACACAGAACTGATTGTCGGCGTCTTCGTCGTCAGCATCGTCGTCGTCGTCGTCACTTGCGCCATCGCCGTCGCCGTCGTCGTCGTCGTCGTCGCCGTCCTCGCCGTCGTCGTCGTGGTTTTCGTCGTCGTCACCGTCACCGTCACCGTCGTCGTTGGCGGCGTCGTCATAGTCACCGTCGTATTGGTCGTCGTCGCCGTCGTCGTCGTCTTCGTCATCGTGGTCGTCGTCGGCGTCGTCACCTTTGTCCTCGCTGCCAGCGCCGGCGCTCGCCGTCGTCGGTTGCAATGTGGGGGCCTGAAGGGGCCCTCCCAGTTCGAACCTCTTCCCCCACAATTTTTGGGGGGGGGTGTTCGACCCCCCCCTCCCCCCTTGAGAGAGGGGGCGCTCCTTTCCCAGCGGTTGGACCACCCTTCCCTCTTCGATCGAGGTCCCCCCTCTCCAGGTTCGACCCTCCCTTCCTTGGAGAGAGGGAGGGGGCCAGGGGGGCCTGTTCGAACACCCCCCCCTTCCAATTCAGGGATGCGGGGCCCGGCTCGAATAACGTCCAACCCCTTCAAAGCGTCCGCAGAACGCGCGTCTTCATCGGAGGTTGGGGGTGGGATCGAAGTGGGACGGAGAGCCCCCACCAGGAAGTCGCTTTCGGTTTCGTGTTCGTGTCGTGCGCGCTGGCGAGGCGAAGCTGCGTGGGCGCACGAGAGGACTAACCCTTGGCATCGCTCGGACGTGTGCATTTTTCCTTCGGCGAGGACCATCGAGGAGCATCCTTGATCATTTTTGCGAAAAGGCCACGCACGAAACCGAAAAAAAACAGGGGATGGACGTCCGAGCGATGGCCAGAACCCCGCCGCCGCTAGGGCGATCCGGATGCCGTGGACCGCCCGTCCGCCCCTGGAGGGCGCGCGGTGGCCCTGGGTGTCCCGCCGTGGTGTCTTGTGGTGTCCCGTTGTTGTCCCGTCGGTGTCCCGTCGGTGTTCCGTCGGCGGCGGGCGGGCGGTGGCCGGGGGTGTCCCGCCTTGGTGCCGATACCCATCGGTCGTTGAAAGTAGGTATTTTTGGCTTCCCAGATTCCAATCTACTTTCAGCGCCTCCCTGCTTCAAGAGTCGAGCGGTTTTCCCTTTTCCTTCTTCTTCAGGAGGCGGGCGGAAACCCAATGTATTTCCAATGCCTTCCTACTTCATGTTTCTACCTACTTCTTCCGACCGATGGGTAGAGAGGCCGATAGTGAGATCGGACATGAGATTGCCAGAATTGGATGGATAGTGAGTTCAGATGTGAGATCGACAGTGAGGTTGCTTGTGACATTGGTTCTGAGATCGATCGTCAGATCGATAGAGCAATCGATACTGAGATCGCTAGTCGGATCGATAGTGGGATCGACCGCTGAATCCATTGGTACTAAAATTGGCCGCGAGGTCGATCGTGGGAGCGATCGAGTGAGATCGACAGCGGTGACGACCGTGACATTACGGTCAAACATCGCAGCGCAACATCGTCATTACGCTTCGTCGCTAACTCGAGGGCGCGTCACCAGCACTGTCATCATCACATCCATCGCATTTGCCAGCACATGACTACTGCCCCCCCCCCCAACCCCCTTATCAACCGAAGGGTGGTCGTAGAGGTTTATGTATGTCCAGTTGCCTGTGGCAAAGCCCGCCACCGTGCTTGTACAGCAGGTCAGCTGAAAAGCGGCCCAGCTGGGAACGTCGCACTTCCGACGAGTTGCCCGATTCGGGACGGGTCGTGGACTCGACCTCGCCTTCGTCCGCGCGGTAGGCTGGAGGTCGAGTTCGTGCCCCGCTGCAGATCAGCGAGTGGTCTGAACTGGGACGGAATGTGAATTCGACCTCATCTCCGTCCGCGGGGCAGGAGGGGAGGTCGAGTTCACGCCCCCCCGCAGTTCAGTGAGCGGTCCGAACTTGGGCGGGTCGTGAGCTCGATCTCTCGTCTTCGTCCGAGTATCAAAGGGGGGTTGAGTTCACGCCTCGTGTCAGCACAGTGAGTGGCCTGAACTGGGACGGGTCATGAATTCGGCCACGTTTTTGCCGCGCGTTGGAGGGGAGGTCGAGTTCACGCCCCCCTGCAGTTCAGTGAGCGGTCCGAATTTGGGCGGGTCGTGAGCTCGATCTCTCGCCTTTGTCAGCGCGGTAAGAAGAAGGTCGAGTCTGCGTCCCGCTGCAGTTCAGCGATATGTCTGCAGAGTTGTGGGTCGTGAGCTCGACCTCGTCTTTGTCCGCGTCGTGGGAAGGCGGTCGAGTTCGCGCTCCGCTACAGTTCAACGAGCGGTCTGAATTTGGGCGGGTCGTGAATTCGACCCCACGTCTGCGCCCGCGCGGTGGGAAGGAGATCGATGTCACGCCCCACTTTAGTTCAGCGAGCGGTCTGAATTGAGCGGTCGTAAAGTCAACGTGCTCTGCGATCCCGAAATGAAAGAGGAAAGCATCTGAGAATCGCTCTGGAACGCGGCCAAACATTGCCGTTTGTTCCTCGTAAGCCTTTTGGGTGTCCTCTTGGGTGCCATTTGGGACACCTCGGGGCAAAGTTGGCCCGTCTAGGGACCTATTTGGGACGTCGTGTGCCTCTCTTGGACTGTCTCGGGCCGAACGATCGGCTACCGACTGGTCAAGCTATTGGACTACGTGTTCCCAAAAACTAGTTTTGAACTCCTTAGGGGAACAACTGTGTGGGAAGAAGTAGAGAAGGGTGGAGGAGGAGGAAGATGACGGGGAGAGGGAGGGTGGTCTGAACTGGGGAGGGCCGTGACCTCAGTCTCCGAGGATAAGAAAGTCTATTGGGATCCTCGTGGGGCCCTTTTGGGGCCTCTTGGGCCGTCGTAGGGAGCTCTTGGCCCGTCTGAAGCATTCGGAGGCCGTGGCTGTTGACGGCCGCGATAACGTGTGGCGGCATTGTAGACCTCGATCAGCATGCCCAAGTGTGATCTCGCGTCTAAAGGGGCCTTGGGACACACAAATAAATACACAAAGAAAAGGATTCCCCATCTTTTCCAATATTCTTTGGATGTTCGTCTTCCCCCCCACTTCCCATATTTTCCTATATTTTCCTGGGGTTCGACGATGAATTGTGTCTGTGTGTTTTTTCCCCTCCTGAGCGTCGGGCGCTTCAAGCGCATCCACCCGCATGTCGCGCGCTCCCCTGGCGCCCCCAAGGCGCTCCCCGGTGCTTCCCAGGCGCTCCCCGGCGCTCCCGGGCGCTCCCCGGCGCGCTCCGCAACGGTACCCGGACGCTCCTGCTGGGCGCTCCCAGGGGCGGCGTCTGAGGAAGGCACTTTCTTGACACGTCCTTTCTTTGGAAGTGCACACTTTCTGCGCCAAGCGCTCCGGCGCCTCCCAAGTGCTCCCAGGCGCTCCCAGACGCCCTCGGGCGCTCCCAAGCGTTTCGGGCTCCGACTCTCTGGGCCGTCTTGGCGTCTCGACGCGGGGCCCTCTTGTGGGCCTCGTGGGCCGTCTTAGGGCTATCTCCTGGCATCGCTCCGACGTGTGCATTTTTCCTTCGGCGAGGACCATCGAGGAGCATCCTTGATCATTTGGCGAAAAAACCACGCACAAAACCGAAAAAAACACAGGGAATGGACGTCCGAGCGAGGGCGAGATCTTGGAGGCCTCTTGGGCCGCCTCGGGCGGTCGGAAACCCAACCAGGCGAGAATTTCAGAATCATTCAGAGCCAAACGCAACTCAATAGCTGTTGCTTCCTCGGGCTCTCCTGGAGGGCCTCTCGGAGCCCTCTCTGGTCGTCGCTGGAGCCTCTTGGGTCGTCTCGAGAGCCTCTTATGCCGCATTGGGCAATATTGGGCCGTTTGATGTCATCTTGGTTGCCTTGGAAGCCGTCTTGGAGGCCATCTTGGCCGTCTGGAGGCCGAAAGGAAGGCCAGAGAGCAATTCGGGGAGGGGGGGGGGGGGGGGGGGGGGGGGGGGGCAATTTTCGGACGACGCGCGCGACGAGGTGGGGGGTTGCCCTGGAAAACAGTTTCAAAAAACCTCCCACACAACAGACGAGCATTCTAACACGCCGACTCCGTGCAGCACAGAGCGTCCAGACGTCCGCGGACGGTGCCTCGCCTTGCGCTGGATCCCCCCGCCCGCACCCTTGGGCGGCGCCTTCGGAGAAGGCCGCCAACGACAGCTGCGAAGGAAGTATTCAAGCTCGTCCTCCTCCTCCTCCTCCTCCTCCTCCTCAGCATCAGCATCAGCATCATCATCATCATCATCATCATCATCATCAGCAGCAGCAGCAGAAGCAGCATCATCTTTATCAGTGTCTTCGCCCTTCCCCTCATCATCCTCATCCTTCGGTCAGTATTCCGCCTGCTCCTCTTCCTCTCCGTCTTCCTGATTGTGTTCCTATCCATCCGCCCGACCCCTCATGGTCGTCTTCCGCCCCCCCGTGTCCTGCTGGCGCTCAGGGGAACACCGGAGACGGCAACATCAAAGCGCTCCGAGATAGGCGTTGCCAGACGATATGGGCACAGGGGGGCAGGAGGATGGGTCGGGGGGGGAGTGAGTGAGTGAGTGAAGACAATCGCGCTGCGAGTCGAAAACGAACTGCGAACGCTTGCAAGCGATCTTCTCGGCCTTGCTGAAAGCTTTGGGCCATCGGCTGGATTCGATCCGATCGAAATACTCGCGTCGCGTCGCAGTCGGAGCCCCAAGACACGTTTGGCCCAAGTTTCTGATCATCTCATCTGCGTTAAATCCGCAATCAACACAAAACCACAGTTTTGAGGTTCGGTGCAACCTCATCGAGTGAGACGGATGGACCCAACCCCCTGCTATGTGTAACGGTACCTTTTTGGGGCAACGCCCCCAAACGTCCGTCGATATATGGGTGAAACACTGAGACTCGAGCTATTTCGTTCTGGTGGATTGGGTGGCTGAACGACAACAAGACTTGCATTTTTCCTCATTCTCATCAACACGATGACTGGTGGCGAAAAACTGGCACACCGAAGGAGCAGGAGGAGGCGGAAGGGGCCGAATGCTCATGATGTCTTTTCTTCCTGGACCTCTCCGTCTAGCTTGCCTGCTCGATCTCGGCGTCGGCGTCCAGCGAGTCAATCGTTGCCCGCACGAGCCGAAGCCGAATATGATATGCCTACTTCTCGACACGTACCCTAGCGGCCGCAGCACCCGCCAAGACATCAGCAGTTGTGTTGCCCACAATTGAAGTCCATGGTGCCCTGCCCGCCACGAGATCCGCTGCTGTGAGATGCGAGCTGACCTACAAGACAGAAAAAGTGGTTGGGCCGCGTTCTCCGAGCGCCACCCCGATCTGATGCCATACGTCGGCATCCTCGCTTTCAGGATGTCGGAAGCGCTGCTGATACAATCCATCGGCGACCATGGTATTGCCCGTCACGAGTAATGTCAAGCTTGCCGAGCCTCGCATTGGCACCAGCATCGCGTACAGTTCCCTTCTCGGCACGCTCTGACATATACTTGGCGAAGGACTTGTGACCGTGGACTCCAGCTGCAGCGGCTCGAAGGCGATGACCTTGACCACGGCCAGTCCAACACGCCGAACGAAATCTGGAGTCCGCCGAATCTGGCCCTCCACTTGCGTCAGCAAAGAGTCACACTGGGGCAGCCTCTGTGCCTGTGCCGAACGATATGTCATCCTGCTCCGCGGCTCTACCTGACAAAGACCATTGTTCCTGTGCGGCTTTGGTCCACTGCGCTGGAATCAGACCCCGAAGCCAGAAGCACTCCTCACTGCCGTGCCCTAAAGACGCTTGACCGACCAATTCATCTGAGCGCTCGCATGCTGGGCATTCCACACTGCTTTCGCACCCCCACCCTCTGAAACATGTCTTCACGTTGGGTCGTACATTGAGGACACTGGTCCAACAGGCCAAGCTTGACGGCTGGTCGACGGCTTTGTCGCCTGCTGTTTCAATTCGCCGCGATTTGGGCCAATTGTTTCCGGTGGCCACCATACGGACTACCTCTGCCATGCTCCCAGCCTGTGGAATATTGGAAAGTTGTTTGTGCAGTTGTATCAAAGAATCCATCTCTGCCGCATGCTCGAGTCCACTGCCACAACAACGCTTGCTAGCGTTGGTCCACAACCGAGAAGGAATCGACGGCTGCACATCACGAAGGAGATGAACAGGAGCGTCCGCCGCCAGGTTTCCGGTCCACGCCGAGTCGGGGACGTTCCGTTCCACAAGCTCGCCCGCCTCCGTAACTGGCACGGCCCACGAGTTCGCCGCCCGTGGATCCCCAACCGTTGTCCAGCAAAATGTCAGCCATGGCCGAACGCTTGGCATCGCTCGGACGTGTGCATTTTTCTTTCGGCGAGGACCATCGAGGAGCATCCTTGATCGCTTGTCGAAAAAACACACACGAAAGCGAAAAAAACACAGGGAATGGACGTCCGAGCGATGGCGAGAGAGGGGTCCACGGATCTGGCGAGACCTGCGGTTCGCCTCCGTGGACCCTAAATGCTGAACAACTGATGGCCAGGCGTGCCCGACTCTGGGCCTCAGGTGGGGCTCCTGCTGCCGCACGCGAAGCTATAGTCTGGTACGCGCTCCTTTGGCATGCGCAGCTCGGGATCGTGTGGAGCCCGGAGGGCGACGAGACTGGTGAGACACCACCCCTTGGCCACAGGCCCGCAGGCTGCTCCGAGCCTCCTCCTGTGCGCTGTGAGGTACGTCCCGAAGACCCCGTGGATCTGGCAGGCGCAGCCCGCGGCGAAGACGCGGAGCCTCTCCAGCCTGGACGTGATACTGTACCTCCTGCCACTGACCGCACGCTTGCGACTCTCCCCGTGCATCCTGCCATACTTCACGAAGCTAGTGCGCCTTGTAGCCCGCACATGAGCGTCGACCACATCCGAGGTTGGTGCCAAGATACTGCGCGAACCTCTGGGCGCGCACCTCATAGCTTGCACGTCGGAGAGCGCTCGACACACACACACACACACACACACACACCTAGCGCCCTCATGCGCCGAACGCCTGACGACGCTCTTCTTGGCGACCTTCAGATCGAACTTGGCGAGCCCACGTCACGTCGCCTTCAAGCTGGCGGTGAGTTCGTGCACCACGGACCGGCGAGAACCGGTAGCCTTCTGGGACAGGTCAGCGATCTTGATGCGGTGGTTCATCTTAGGGTGAGCTGTGCAGATCGTCTGCAGCGTGAAAAATACCATGAGCTTCGCACAGTGCGTCAGCGCGTTCCCGACCGCAGCCCTTGCACCGCTGACTGCATCGGGGCAAACGGTTCAGACCACACGCCGCACAGGCCAAGTGATCTGGGCGCCATGCACTGTGGCACTTGTAGGCACAAGATGACAGCAGTAAAGCTTGATCGAACTCCACTCGGAAGAAGGCATCGCCACTGGATCGCGTCGCATGATGCTTCAATATCGGGCAGGCCGTGACCAGGAGGAATGTGGAGTACATGACCGGTTTCTTCTTGAAGTGTGCGGACGACGACCTCCTTGAGCGCCGCATTGCCTTGGATGTTTGCGTTCCAGTGGGCATCCGCCCGCTCGTTCCAGTCGCGCGCGCATGGCCCAAAACATAATCAGCAAACCTATGACGCGGTCGCTCCCACTGTTCTTTGGCAGCAACTTGCCAAGCACAAGCATGACCTCGCGTGGCCACGCTACAGCCGCCTCGATCCCCTGTAGAGCTCCACAAGCTCGCCCAGGGCTGAGGCTGGCAGATGCTCGAAGCCGAGGGGGGCCATGCGGTCGCAGCCCATGCAGGCATTGGCCCGCATCGAGTGAGCGGCCTGACGAATCTGCTCACCTGATATGGGCGGCACGCTCTCGACAGCAGCAGTCTCCCGCACCGAGCGAAAGGCCTCCTGAGCCTCCTCGACGTCGTCCCGAGTGGGGCACCGCAACCTCCTCCATTTCTCCGTGTTGAATATATGATGTCTTTGGGATTAGCCTAGACTCGATCATCTGACTGCAGCTCTAAAGCAACAATGGGCTCATCTTTGATGGCCTTGCGCAGGGTTCCTATAGCAGGCGCCGTCTCTATCCACGCGCCAACCTCCTTCAAAGACGCCGCAAGGGCCCGTCGATGACATCTACCCGAGACGAGGTCAGCACTGCGCGCGAAAGTGTCAACATCCTCTGTGGTAGCTGATCGAATATTCTTGAAAAAGGGCCTGGCCGCCACCGCTTCCACAAAGTGTCTCCTCATGCAGTGACCCCGAGACCCCTGTGGGCTTGCTCGGGGCACTCGGCGACCATCTGTTGGATTGCCTCCAACAGGTACTGCCTCTGCTTAAGACCATTCTCACGAACTGAGTGCCTTCCCAGGCTGAAAAGAAGTGCGTGCAGCCGAGGCCAGCGACTTGCAACCGTATCCCTGGTCGGACAGGTGCGATGCCGCTGCGGCTCGTGAACCTCTCTTTCCTTGCAGCTCGCTCCCGAGGATTTGCCGATGCCGACATGTTCTGACAGTCGCGGCGTCTGCGCAGTGGGATTTCTAGACTCCGCGCCTCCGCATTCCGCACCCATGAAGCATATGAAGAACTCAAAGTTTGAGTCAAGACCTGATCGCTGAGCCTGAAGGCGACGGAGCAGGACGAGCAGGGGGGGGAGGACAGACGCTGGCAGGCGTGAGCCCCACTTCCTCCCGACCTTCGCTCCAGACATCCTCGGGCACAAGAAACGCCACCGGAGGCCCAGAGCAGTCGGGGGTAGGGCCGGGGTCTAAATCGTTGCCGAAGATAGGGGGATGGGGTTGGGCCCATAATTGGGGAAGCTTGATCCCTTCCTCTGACGGATCCGCAAGAGCTTGAAGCAGACGCAGGGTCCATTGTCATAGAAACCGAATTCACAGGCGAAGCTGACGTGAGACATGATTTTACACATGGCTGGAGACTCCTAGTGGCCGTGGAAGGCGCACTGACAGGCACGTGTCTAAAGTCAGACTCATGGGCCAAAGAGTCTTTCTCAGGATCGAGCAACGCTGGACCACAGGGTCGGGCATCTCACAGAGGCTCTCCTCCCAAAGTTCACCTGGCGGATACTGGCCGAGATCGTCGGAGCTCCCTACCGTCACAGCATCGCACTCGACAACGTCATACGTCTTGAGCTCATCCCCGAAATAGTATTCGATTTGCTTCCCACGAGCCAGCTTGCGAGCCTCAGCTTTTTCGTGATTTTGTTCTGACGAGCCTGCGACAACTTCGAGCCCTTCTGCGGCAGCACACGGGCCCGTGCAACAGAAGGTAGGGCACGTGGTACCTCGAGAAGTCGTGACACAACCTGAACACCTGATGCACGATGCTGAACAAGTACACCGATGCGCGGTCTCCAAGTCTTGGACAAGTCTGCCCTGCAGGCCATACACGACAATGATGATGATGATGTTGTTGATGATGATGATGATGATGGTGATGATGATGATGATGATGATGATGCTGATGCTGATGCTGATGCTGATGCTGATGATGATGATGATGATGCTGCTGCTGCTGATGATGATGATGCTGATGATGATGATGATGATGATGATGATGATGATGATGATGATGATGATGATGATCAGGGTGTAGCCTTCCATGTGCACGATGACGGACTGGAAGCCGTCGAGGCTGGACTGTCCAGGTGCACGTAGACGTCGGGCTGGACCGTGGGGAAGACGATTGTTCCTGCAAGTGTTGCTTGGCCATGGACCACTCGCCGACCTCGTTGGCGCGGCCATGCATGGCAGAAGACACTTGCCGCCCCTTCGAGCCAGCATGAGTGGCAAAGACACGATCGCCAGCCTCTCTAGCCTTCTTGTTCCATGTTTTGAAGCAAGACTCGCGCACGTGGGTCTCGCACCCACCGATGAAGTCATACCCCTGCCACTTCAGAAACTTCAACGCTCTGTCACGCATGGAACGGACATCCGAGAAGAAGAATGATGAATACTGATCCGCAGCTTGCACAGCAGGCCCTGTTGCAGTACCCACCTCCAACGCAGTCGGAGTCGCTGCTCTTGTAGGCTCCTGGGAACCTAGTCACAGCTCGTCGTCTTCCCTCCTTGGGCGGTCGCCAATTTGCCGTTGGAGTTGGCCGCGCCCTTGCCCTTGCCAATGGCCTTGCCCTTCGCCGCCCCCGCCGTTGCTAGCCGCTGCGCCTGGAACTTGGCCTGAGACAATCTGTCGGCCTCCCTGACCAGCGCTCCGTCGGCATCGGCGCCCTGCAGCTGGGATGATCAGCCAACGCCGCCACTCGGCACCGATGGAGGCCGCGGCCGCACCAGTCGCTGCCGCCTCGGGCGCGCCCTCGGCGGCGCCAGGTTCCTGCACCTTGCCCTTCTTGGCGTCGCGGTCCGCCGCGGCTTGACGCTCGAATTGGGTTTTGGCCAACATCTACGAGATATCCGTCTCTTTGGCGCCGAGCTCACTCTGGACCTTCTGGAGATCCTCGAAGACGCGCTTGAGCTCCTGGCGCTCGTGCTCTTCGCAGTCCAGCTCGTCCAGCCCCGAGAATAGCGCCTCGTCCCGCATCGCATCAATTTCGGTTTGGCGTCGGCACCCCTCTCGGCTGAGACTGTCCAGTCCCGCCGACGCCTTCGGCGCGCGCCATGGCCATTGTCGCAGCACGCTTGGCAGGTTCCGCTGCAAGCGCCCGTGCTGCATGTTTCTCCTCTTCAGCAGTGCGGAGACTGTCTGGAAGACGAACGACAGCCGCAGCAGCGTGGTTGCGCTTGTGGCCCGCGTCCTTCAAGATTCCGACTGCCCGCTTCACCGCATCTGTTTCTGCCTTTGGGGCGGAGGCCGCCGCCGCCGTGCCTTGGGCCAGTTCCGCCTGAGCGCCGCCTTGAGCACGGGATTGGTGGTTTGCTGCTCGAGTTTTTTTCACCAACTCTTGGTCGGACAACGACTTGACGGCCGCGGAACCGTCAGACTGCACGCGTTGTTGTTATTTGCCGCTTTTACCTTTGCCAGACTTAGGTACATGAAGCTTGATTTTCGTAAAACAATGACAGCACTTGCAATGGTTGGTGAGGAGGCGGTCGTTCCACTCATGCTGCCCGCAGGCCGTGCAGGTCGACCATACGAGTGGGCGCCATCTTCTCACTGGTGTCTTACCGCCAATTCGAACCCATTCTTGACGACGGCAATGGCGAGGACGAGTGGTCAAGGATGCACAGGAGGAGGAGGAGGAGGAAGCGAAGATGTTAGATGCAGGCAGCTGGCCTTCCATTGGCCCCAGGCTTTGCGATATGGAATGAAGTAGAAGGAGGAAGGGAACAATGAAGAGAGAAGGAGGAGCACCGGGAGGACGGCACAGAAGGAGGCGAGGGGTGAGGAGAAGTGGGGAGGAGCGAGGAGGGGAATGAGACGCTGGAGAAGTAGGAGAAGGACAAAGTTGAATGATATAACGCGCAGTGAAGTTAGTTGTTGCCTTGCTTGCGCAAGGGCGCGAGACAAATGTGGTGTGGGTATTGATTGGCTGTCGTTCGGGCGATGACTTCGGTGAGACGGCTCGGCCATTAGGCGTCGAGCATTTCCATCGGCTTACTCTGAGTCTCGAAATATCCCACCTGACAACTTCTGCTCGCAAGTGTCTTTAGGTGTTCGCGTGCTGATGTCAGCATGTGGCGCTCAGGTCAGAATAGGGGTCTTGAGAAACATGTCGTCATGTAAGTATCAACCACCTTGGTGCGAGCGTATGTTCAACAAGGAGAATCGTAAGGCGAGATAGAGGCGCGAGAGAGAGAGAGAGAGCGAGAGAGCGAGAGAGAGAAATAGGGGGAGAGAGGGAGGGAGGGAGGGAGAGGAGGGAGCAGAGAGAGAGAGAGAGGGACGATGGGGGAGAGTAGAGGGTAGAGGGCGCAGTTTCCTCCCCCAGCTCCCCCATCAGCTTCCTTCACTCAGCCGCCCTCCCTGCCGACGTCCTCCACCCCCGCACCGCCCCAGCTGCCGTCTGCACCGTTGCCACTTGTTTGGTTCGTGTTCTGCATCTCCTCGCTTGGGGTGCGTCCACGCTTCTTGCCCTGGCGTGTTTGCGACTCGTCGCTTGAACGCTCTATGCTGCGCCCCCGTGTGCTTGGCATCGCTCGGACGTGTGCATGTTTCCTGCGGCGAGGACCATCGAGGAGCATCCTTGATCCTTTGTGGCGAAAACATCCACGCACGAGACCGGCAAAAAAACACAGGCAATGGACGTCCGAGCGACGGCCAGCGGGGCGGCACGGTGCGCTCTCCGCAGGCAGATGCGCAACTTCTTGGCGGCCCTGTTCCTCAGCATCGGCACGCCGATGATGGTGTTCGGCGACGAGTGCCTCCGCGCAGTGGGGCGAGGGTAGGAGCAGGGGTGGACCTAAACGGTGGTTTGGCGATTTCGTTGGCCGTTTTCGTTTCGATGTCGTTTTGCGTTGAAGGCGGATTGAAGACAAGACGAGGTACATCGACAGCAAAACGAAAACGAAAGACACCGTTTAGGTTCAGCCCTGGGGAGGAGGGCAACGAGGGAGGACGATGGCGAGAGATGAGGAGGGATGAGAGAGGAAGAGAGAGAGAGAGGAGATGAGATGAGAGGAGAGGAGAGGAGAGGAGAGGAGAGGAGAGGAGAGGAGAGGACCGAGGGAAGGAAGGGCGGATAACTACACAGCCTGCCTGGGGGCGCGGCAGGGTGAACCCCCAGACCGGCCCCCCCGTGGCCGACGCGGTGGGAGTGCGCTTGGCCCTCGAGCTGACCTTGGAAAGGGCCATCGGACAGCGAGCCTCCTCCTCCTCCTCCTCCTCCTCCTCCTCCTCCTCCTCCTCTTCTGCTCCTGCCTGCTCCTGCCTCCTGTGAGGTACGGCCGCACGCAGCACGGCTGCAACAACGGCTGGTGCCAGGACTCGCTCAGCTGGTTCTCCTGGGACGGCTGCTCGGGGCAGGAGAGCAGGCGCCGCTCCGGCGCGCGCCGTGCCGCCGTCGGCCGCGGTCGTCAGTCCAAGTCGACGTCGACATCCAGGAGGGAGGAGAGAGGAGGGAGGAGGAGGAGGAGGATGAGGAGGATGAGGAGGAGGAGGAGGAGGAGGAGGGAGGAGGAGGGAGGAGGAGGAGGAGGAGGAGGGAGGAGGAGGAGGAGGGGATGGAGGCCTCCCCTCTCCTCCTCCTACCTCCTCCTCCTCCTCCTCCTCCTCCTCCTCACTCCTCCTCCCTCTCTCCTCCTCCTCCTCCTCCTCCTCCTCCTCCTCTCCTCCTCCTCCTCCTCCTCTCCTCTCCTCCTCCCTCCTCCTCCTCAATCTCATCATATTCTTTCCTCCTTTCCTCCTTTCCTCCTCCTCCTCCTCCTCCTCCTGCCTCCTCCTCCTCCCCTCCTCCTCCTCCTCCTCCTCCGCCTCCTCCTCTCTCCTCCTCCTCCTCCTCTCCCTCCTCCCCTCCTCCTCCCCTCCTCCTCCTCCTCCTCCTCCCTCCTCCTCCTCTTCCTCCTCCTCCTCCCCCTCCTCCTCCTCCTCCTCTCTCCTCCTCCTCCTCCTCCTCCTCCTCCTCATTCTTTCCTCCTCCTCCTCCTCCTCCTCCCCCTCCTCCCTCCTCCTCCTTCCTCCTCCTCCTCCTCCTCCTCCTCCTCCTCCTCCTCTCCCTCTCCCTCTCCTCCTCCTCCTCCTCCTCCTCTCCTCCTATCCTCCTCTCCTCCTCCTCCTCCTCCTCCTCCTCCTCCTCCTCCTCCTTCCTCCCTCCCTCCTCCTCCTCCTCCCTTCCTCCCCCTCCTCCTCCTCCTCCTCCTCCTCCTCCTCCTCCTCCTCCTCCTCCTCCTCCTCCTCCTCCTCCTCCTCTTCATTCTTTCCTCTTTCCTCCTCCTCCTCCTCCTCCTCCTCCTCCTCCTCCTCCTCCTCCTCCTCCTCCTCCTCCTCCGTGGGTGCCGCACGCCCGCGCTCCGCCTCTCCCCGTCAGCAGGCCTCTGGCGGGCACCCGTGGGCGCGTGGCCGTTGCTTCGGTGGCCGCCGCTTCGGTGGCCGCCGCTTCGGTTGCACCAGGTGCCCTCGAAGGCGTCAGGGCTCTTTCGACTCCTCCGACTCGATTCGATTTCGATCGATTCCGATTCCGATGTGATTCGATTCGATTTCGGATTCCGATTGTCGAGGTCTCCGGCTTGTGCTGCCGATCCGGGACGTTCCGGGACGCTCCGTGCGAACTCGTCCTGTTTAGTAGTATGTTAGCTTTGTTTCGGGGGGGCAGGAGGGAGGATGAGGAGGGAGGAGGGGAGAGAGGAGGAGGAGGAGGAGGAGGAGGAGGAAGAAGAGGAGGAAGAGGAGAAAGTAGAAGTAGAAGAAGGAAGAGGAGCAGAAGAAGGAGTGGAATAAGGGCGTTGGCAGTCGCCTTGGGCAGTATGTGTTGAATGGAATGTTTGCGTCGTGTCCGTCTGTCGAGCTTGATGGCGGGCTAGGTCCCTGAAGGGTTGGCTCGTTGGTGGGCGGTTGGCCGTGGGAGTCCTGGCCCCAGCTGCCCTGGCCCCAACTCCCGCCCCGGCCCGGGCTTCGGTCCCACAAAAAATTGCGTCCACCCTTTCACCGATTTTCCCCTTTCCCCGGCATGCGTAGTCATCCCGGCAACCCTCTCAGCAGAGCCGAATCTCAGGCTGTAGTTGTTTTTAGATTCACGCGCCAGATCTGCGGATGTGGATTTCGGCTTCTTAAGGGAGGCCTCATCAGCTTGCCAGTTTCCACCGATTCGACTTCTCCCCACTCGGCTGTCGATTTCCGCCGATTCGATTCATTTCGATCGCCGATCCTGTTTTTCGATTCGATTCTGGGTTCTCCTGGGGTGGACACACAAGGCGCACGACCTCCTCGCGTCTTGAAAAAAGACGGCAGGAGGCTCTGAAGTTGTTTTGGGTTTTCGGGGTCCCATTGACGAGCCATGCGGACGTCGAAAAGCTGGTCGTTAAGAAGGGATGTTGATTTTTAGGGAGCCCGCCGTAAAAAAGCACGACGCCTGATCTTTGGGAGCGCAGCTCGAGGGAAGAAACACGATGACCATGACCAAGGTGTCGCGGGATCTTGTCGACGCCGATCTTGGGCATGGTCCATGCCGGCCGTCGCCGCTTCGCGGGGTTGATCCGCGAATTGGCGAAGACCAGTATGGACGATGTCCGAGATTGGCACCGAAGTTTTTCCGCGTCCAGCCATGGTCATGGTAATCGTTTTCCTTCCCGCCGTGCCCGCTGTCTCGCCGCGCCGGCGACGGGCGACTCCCCGACCGTCTCGCGTCGCGACAAAAGCGCAGCCCATGGTGTTGGGCAATTGTCGATGGCAGAGCGCCCTCGTCGCCGCGGCGGGATCCGCCTTTGAGGTTCTGGCCAGACCGCACCCTTGGGATGGGACCGGGGGATCGATGTGTGATTCTCAGGAGGGAAAGAAACACACAGACGCAATTCATCGTCGATTCCCAGGAAAATATAGGAAAATATGGGAAGTGGGGGGGAAGACAGAAACCCAGAAAATATGAGAAAATATGGGGAATCCTTTTATTTGTGTGTATTTATTTGTGTGTCCTGGCGGCGCCTCCGGCGCCGCCCCTGGCGCGCTCCGCGCGCCAGGGACGGGGGTCCAGCGCGGATCCGAGAAATCCGCGCGGACCTCCGAGTTTTTATGTTTATGCCACTTTTTGTTCCCCTATGGTCGGAAGTCCTGGAGACGAGGCCTGGCGGCCAGAAGCTCCCGATCGGAGCCGCCACTGCGGCCGTGGTCGCGGCGTCGTTTGCGCAGGGCCCCTCCACGACGTTCGGAGACGGCGGACTCGTCGCGTCCAGCGGCACCCGGCCAACCCAGGGGCGTGCACGCTCGCTCCCGCGGAGGCGGGCCCCCTGCGGCCAGCCGCCTCCAGGGCCGAAGGCGAGGCTGTTCTTACGTCGGGCATGCCCCTCTGCAGGAGGAACACTCCAAAATGAAACAGTCACGAACTAGTCTGGGGAGGATGTTTGTTGACTATGTTTGGTTCTGTTACGTTTGAGCCCGTTCTGGCCATGTCTCATTCTTCCTCCAAACATCCGCCTGTAGAAGGACATGCCCGACCTAGATGACGTCCGAGGAAGCGTCTTGCGCCAGCCATGGGGGGTTCGCAGACCTCCTGGGCACTACGGCACCTCGGCCAAGCCGCGTCGAAGTGGCTCTCGAGCTCCTCGTCGCCGCTGCCCGAGCGCCGCACACGTCGCGAGGCACGACCACCTTGGCGTCCATGGAGAGGAGGGCGGCACCAAAGCCCGCGCCACCCCGCCGAGCTTCGAGGCGAGGTCCACTCTGGGCATAGCGGAGCGCGGCAGCGCCCGCCACCGCCACGTCGATGTTGGGAGCATCAGCGTGGAGCGCGGCGTTTAGCCGCAGCCTCCCCAGCCGTGTCGGCGGCTCTCCACGAAGCATCGCCAGCAGCGCGGAAGGAGCGCCCGTAGACGTTGCGCTGCCTCCGCGTCGCCGACGACAGCGTCCAGGACCGCCTCAGCCGCCAGCAGCCCGTTGAGGCGGTCCACTTCGCCTGACAAGTTGATGATCGCCCCGTCCGCCGGTACGCGCGCCCAGGCACGGCTTGCCTTGCGCTCCGCTGCAGTAGGGCGCCCCTCGCGTCGGACAGAGGCTGAGCGCACATCACCCACGACCACATTCGCCATCCGCAAGCGCGACGAGCGGAACCAGCAATCGCAAGCAAGAGGGACATGCCGAGCAAGTTTGAACAGTGAGGCTTTAGCCGAAATGGCTACAGAGGCGGAGAGGGAGGAGGAGGGAGAGGAGGAGGAAGAGGAAGAGGAGGAGAAGGAAACGGTCCGGGCGGAACGGTCTGGACGGTCCAGACCTTAGGGAGCCATAATGTGAAACACCACGACGTCGCAAGCCTGGGTCTCAGGATGCCCAACCCCTGGAGTGGCGCCAGTCTTCCTCTTCTCCTCTTTATTATCCTCCTCCTCCTCCTCCTCCTCCTCCTCCTCCTCTGCCTCCGCCTCCGCCTCCTCCGCCTCCGCCTCTCCTTCCGCCTCCGCCTCCGCCTCGTCCTCCTCCTCCTGCTCCTCCTCCTCCTCCTCCTCCTCATCATCATCATCATCATCATCATCAGCATCATCATCATAATCATTAACCTTCTCCGCCTCCTCATCCTCCTCCTCCTCCTCCTCCGCCTCCTCCTCCTCCTCCTCAGTATCCTCCTCCTCTTCCTTGTCCTCCTCCTACTCCTCATCGCCATTATCAGCAGCATCAGCATCATCATCATCATCCTCATCGTCAGCATCATCATCAGCATATGCAGCATCATCGTCATCATCAGCATCATCAGTATCATCATCATCATCAGCAGCAGCAGCATCATCAGCATCATGATCATCTTCATCATGATCATCATCAGCATCATCAGCATCATAATCATCATCATCAGCATCATCATCATCCTCATCATCATCATCGTCAGCGTCTTCATCAGCATCACCATCATCAGCAGCATCAACAACATCGTCATCAGCATCGTAATCGGCATCATCATCAGCATCATCGTCATCATCATCATCATCATCGTCGTCGTCGTTATCGTCGTCATCAGCAGCAGCATCATCATTAGCAGCATCATCATTATCATCATCCGCCTCCTCCTCCTCTCATCATCATCATCAGCATCATCATCGTCATCGTCAACCTCATCAGCATCAGCATCATCATCATCATCATCATCATCATCATCATCATCACCAGCATCATCATCAGCATCATCACCCGCACCAGCATCAACGACATCGTCATCAGCATCGTAATCGGCATCATCATCAACATCATCATCATCGTCGTCATCGTCGGCATCAGCATCAGCAGCAGCATCATCATCATTATCCTCCTCCGCCTCCTCCTCTCATCATTATCATCATCATTATTATCAGCATCATCATCAGAATCACCACCATCAGCATCATCAGCATCATCATCCGCCTCATCCGCATCCTGAGCTGGCCGCCGGCGCGGGGGGGAGGTGCCGTCGGCGGGTTGCCTGGCTCTGCGGCCTGTGCTGCCCGTTGCCATTGTCCGGGGGAGCGCGCTAACGATTCGTTGCCAGGGTCATGTGCTAAAGGGATCAGCTTGGCATTGCCATGCCTTGCCGCAGCCTGACTCTGATGACCCCAGCGCCTTGACCTCCAGGCAGGCCTGACGGCAGCACGGACTGAAGGCGCTTGTAGATGTGCTCCGTTCTTTGCGTCTCGAAATGGGTATTTCGTGATTTGCATTCGAAGCTCTCTCTCTCTCTTTCTCTCTCTGTCTCTCTCTCTCTCTCTCCCTCTCTCTCTCTCTCCCTTCTATATCTATGTCTCTCTCTCTCTCGCCTCTATCTCTCTATATCTCTCGCCTCTCTCTCTCTCTCTTTCTTTCTCTCTCTCCCTCTCTCTCTCTCTATATATATGGATCGCTCTCTCTCTCTCTCTCTTCCTCTTGGGTGGTTGGGGAGGGCAGTCTGCCCCGTGCAGGGCAGCTGGCCGCAGTCCCTTTGTGCCAAACCACACCAGCCAACACGTGGCAGCGACGCCAGGCGGAGGAGGGGGCGGAGGGGGCAAAACGCGAGGCGCTCGCCGTGAGGAGGAGGAGGAGGAGGAGGAGGAGGAGGAGGAGGAGGAGGAGGAGGAGGAGGAGGAGGGGGAGGAGGGGGAGGAGGAGGAGGAGGAGGAGGAGGAGGGAGGAGGAAGAGGAGGAGGAAGAAGAGGAGGAGGAAGAGGAGGAGGGGGAAGAAGGAGGAGGAAGGGGAGGAGGAGGAGGAGGAGGAGGAGGAGGAGGAGGAGGAGGAGGAGGAGGCCTAGAGGGGGGCAGTCTCAGACCCCATCTGGGAGGCGTAGGGCCGCTGACCCACAGCTTCTTTACCGATGCGCCCTCGCGGGCGCCCGCCCACCTCCTCGCGGGCGGCCAGGCACCTTGCGCCGCAGATCTGCGCAGCAGGATCCACCACGACGATGCGCCGTGGGCAGGGGCGCATCGAAGGGTCACCCATGACGATGCGCCGCGGGCAAGGGCGCATCGAGGGGGCACGGGTACTTCCGCAGGAGGCCTTTCGGAAGCCTCCGTGCGACGTCGGTGGGGCCGTTTTTTGCGTGCCTCGCGGATTCCTCAGAGGCCAGGAAAGTGTGGACACATTTTCCGGGGAGGAGGGCGGACCGAATTCCATGATAATGATGCGTTCCAAGATGTCCCTGATGTCCAAGATGTTCTAACGTTCCACACCGGCTGCAGAGGCGAGGACCCTTTTCATACACCGTAGCTCATGGAACGTATCTTGAACTAATCGCATCATGACATCATTCTCGTCCGATGGGCAACGGGGGCCATTTGCCGCCCCCCGGCGCAACCGTGAAATTTGCCCGACGCCCGGTAAGGCCTTTTCAGATTGAAAGTCCTGAGGGCCGCGCCGCCCCGTCGGACCCAGCTCCGCTCTCCAAGAGGATGCCGAGGCCGAGCCAGATGCCCAGGCACCTGGCGTCGCATTTTTTTTCACTGCGGGGCTCCCCAGAAAGAGGCCTAGACCTGCCCAGGGACCAGCTTTTTTCTTATCCCGAGCCGTTTTTGACTGGCCTGGAGCCCGATAGAGGAGGGCCCCGGGGCCCAGAGATTCCCAAAATGTTCCGTCTTGATTTCCTCACGACGCGAGGTCGTCAGGCTTTCGCGGCGTAGCTCGTGCGTCCAGCGGCCCATCGGGACGCTCCCGGCATCCCCGGGAACGCTCTCGACGAGACGCAGCCAATAGAAGGCGTGCTAAGGCGAGAAGACGCCCAGGAACTCACCGAGCGCGTGCCACTACTCGCAAAGTGCCTACTCGCAAACGCCCGAAAAACACATGTCCGATTCGATGTAATTTCTCGTACCTCGCCCCCATCGTTTCCAGGCTATTTGCGAGTAGTCACTCTGCGAGTAGTGGAACGCGCTCGTCAAGGAACAGACGAAGACGCCCGAAGATTTACGACCGCGAGAATGTCAGCCACCCCTCTGGGAGGCTCCTCCGCTTCTGCCGCCTGCTCATCGCCTTCCGCAAGCGGCACGCCCGCGTCTTCTGCCGCACCCCCCAGCGCGCCCCCCCCGCGCGGCTCCCCGCCGGCCCGGCCGGCCGGCGATGCCGCCGATCGCGGCGCCCCCTTTACCTCGGGCGTCGCGTAATGGTGGGGCGATAATAGGGGAACGAGGAGTGACATAAACCAAAAACTCGGAGGTCCGCGCGGATTTCTCGGATCGGCGCTGGACCCCCCTTCCATGGCGCGCGGAGCGCGCCAGGGGCGGCGCCAGAGGCGCCGGTGGGGGGCCCCAACGCCGATCCGAGAAATTCGCGAGGACCTCCGAGTTGTTATGTTTATGTCACTTTTTGTTCCCCTGAATAAGGGGCTTGGCGTCGCTCGGACGTGTGAATTTTTCCTTCGGCGAGGACAATCTAGGAGCATCCTTGATCATTTCGCGAAAAAAACACGCACGAAACCGAAAAAAGCACAGGAAGTGGACGTCCGAGCGATGGCGAGGGGGGGGGAGAAGGAAGGCGCACCTTGTGTGCCCTAAAGGGGCCCCTTGGGGCCCAAAAGGAGGTGCACGCGTCTCTCCCCCGAGCGGTCGTCCCCCCATGAAGGAACGCCCAATTTCAGGAGGGGAAAAAACACACAGACACAATTAATCGGCGATTCCCAGAAAATTCTGCGAAATATGGGAAGTGGGGGGGAAGACAACAACCCAGAACATATAGGAAAATATAGGGGAATATTTTTATATGTGTGTATTTATTGGTGTGTCCCAGGGCCCCTTCAAATTCTCCGATCATTGGGTATCATAGCTTTTCGGTCACGATCGGTGGCGACCGATCGGCATTGCAAATCGTTCGCGACAGATATCGCGGCCCGTTCCAACATCGATCGCGAGTGATCGGTCGCGTTTAATTTTGAAGCAAATCGGTCGCGACCGACACCAGAATTTGAAGCAAAATCTGTAGCGACCGATTTCGTCGGTCGCAACCAGAAAAGGTTGGCGTCCAATGATCAGGGTTGGCATACTCATGGACAACGTCAGGGGGGGGGGACAGGCCCGAGGCTCGAGTTCGAGGTCCGGGGTCCGAGATTGGCTAGCCTGAGGTTCCATGTTTGCTGGCACGCTCGTCCGTTCTCGGCGGTTTCCCAGCTTCGGGGGTGCCTTCCGGCAGCTGCGCCTCGCTGAGGGCTGCCCCAGACTGCCTGGATCGTCCCGAGCGGCCGCCGCAGAGCCGAGCTACGGCCCGAAGGCAAGCGGGCAACCTCTGGGCGGGGGGAGGTCTTCGGGGAGAATAGCTCGACCCCAAACCCGATAGGCGACCCCGCCGAAGAGCGTGCGGTTTCGCTGTGGGAGCCCACCGCCGATCTACCGACGATGTATCGCCGATTCCAGGTCGCCGCCGAAGGGTCCGTAGCTCGTCGCGGGTGGCTCTTCTCTCCCGGCCCCTGGCCCTGCCTGTCTGCTTGCGGTTGCTTCCCTTCCTTTCGGCCTCGTCTTCTTTCCCCTCCTCTTTCCTTCCCTTCTGCTCCTTGCCCTGTCTGCTTGCGGCTGCTTCCCCTCTCCTCCCCGTCCTTGCCTCCTCCCCTTTCCTCCCGCTCCCTGCCTGCTGACTCCGCCCAGCCCCCCTTCCGTCTGCCTCCTCCTCCTCCCCTCCTCCCCCCTCCTTCGCCGGGCAGCAGAGCCTTCCCGGGAACAGCCTTGAGCTTCTAGTGTCTCTCCACTGGGCGTGCACGTACACGCACACACACACACACATCATCATCATCATCATCATCATCATCATCATCATCATCATCATCATCATCATCATCATCATCATCATCATCATCATCATCATCATCATCATCATCATCATCATCATCATCATCATCATCATCATCATCATCATCATCATCATCATCATCATCAGGGAAGCCGTAGGCACATTGCTTGCCGTAGCTGCCTGGCCCGCTGCGGTGAGCAGCACCGTGGCGAGAGCTTCGGGGTAAGAGAGTTTAGACGTGTGCCGTTTTTTGTTCCTCCAGGAGCGAGGGCCCGCGGTCGAGATCAGACGAGCGCACGCGTGGTCTTCAGCTCGACGTTTCCCACCTGAACTGGCCCCCCCCCGAACGTTGCCCACCACATCCTTTTTCCTGGCGTGCCCTCACACTTCGCGTCTCGACAATAAGAAAAACACGACAGGAGCCGGAGAAGGGAAGGACACCGACACCGCTACCCTTGCCTCGTCTGGGCTCTTCTGGGCCTCCCGGGAGGCCCTCGTTGCCACGGCCGGATTCTCCTCGAAAGTGCAGTCAGAACGCACCCCAGGAGAGGTCTCGGGAGCAACGATATCGGGTTGTTCGGTTCCCCCATGGAGGTGTCCGAGGCTTTCGAAGGGAATTTGGAGGTTTTTGGGCCCTGGGGGTGCTCTCGATCAGCTCCGCCTCTTGAGAGGTGTCCAGTGAGCCCAGAAATGTCCCAGACGGCCGCTTGAGTTCCGAGTATTGGCCCAAAGACTTGACATCCTCGCGCCGTGCAGGAAAAATCACAGAGGAGGGTTGTTCCCCACATCCATGGTGGGGTTATGATGTTCTTCCTCGCTGCGTCGCACCCGCGTCTCACTCCTCCCCTCCTCCCTCATCCACGCGCAACACATGCACGGCATGGACATGATACGCGCGTGTACATACAGTTGCTAGCATCCACAGACTCGCATACACACCATATAACGCCAGTGCACGCTCACAGCATTATACACCCAAGACGTATGCTCAACATACTTGGAACCCACAGGAGGCACACTTCCACATCCAGCCTGGCACCCAGTACATGTTGTTCCCCACATGTTTCGTGGGGTTATGGTGTTCTTCCCCACATGTTTCGTGGGGTTATGGTTGTTTTCCCTGTCGCGTCGCACTCGCGTATCCCTCCTCTCGGCCGCCGCGTGTTCACTGCATCATACACCCAAGACGTATGCACAACACATTGGGCACCCACATGAGACACACGTCCACATCCAGCCTGGCACCCACATACAGACTGGGTCGGAAAGCGTGGCAAACGTTGCGCATAGGACCTGGGGTGCGCACACCGTGCCTTGTACGCTAGCAAGCGTGGCATTTTGTCGACAACATAAGGGGTGCGCAGGGGGGGGGGTCCTGAGCTCGGCCGCTATGCGCGCGTCTCGTCCAGGGCATAGCAGGCGTGGCACTTTCTTTACACCAAAAAGAGTGCGCAGGGGGTGGTTCCTGAGCTCGGCCGCTATGCGCGCCTCTCGTCCAGGGCAGAACAGGTGTGGCACTTTCTCGACACCTGGGAGGGTGCGCAGGGGGTGGTCTCTCACCGTCGCCGCTATGCGCGCCGCTCTTCATCGGCATAGCAGGCGTGGCATTTTGTCGACACCAGGGAGGGTGCGCAGGGGGTGGTTCCCGAGCTCGGCCGCTACGCGCGCCTCTCGTCCAGGGCACGGCAGAAGTAGCATTTTCTCGACACCAGGTAAGGTGCGCAGGGGGTGGTTCCTGAGCTCGGCCGCTATGCGCGTCTCTCGTCCAGGGCATAGCAGGCGTGGCACTTTCTCGACACCTGGGAGGGTGCGCAGGGGGTGGTTCCTGAGCTCGGCCGCTATGCGCGCCTCTCGTCCAGGGCATAGCAGGCGTGGCAGTTTCTCGACACCAGGGAGGGTGCGAAAAGGGAGTTGTTCGTGAGTTCGGCCGCTACGCGCGCCTCTCGTCCAGGGCAGAACAGGCGTGGCACTTTCTCGACACCAGGGAGGGTGCGCAGGGGGTGGTTCCCGAGCTCGGCCGCTATGCGCGACTTTCGTCCAGGGCATAGCAGGCGTGGCACGTTCTCGACACCTGGGAGGGTGCGCAGGGGGTGGTTCCTGAGCTCGGCCGCTACGCGCGCCTTTCGCCCTGGGCATAGCAGGCGTGGCACTTTCTCGACACCAGAGACAGTGCGCAGGGGGTGACTCCTGAGCTCGGCCGCTATGCGCGCCTTGCGTCCAGGGCATAGCAGGCGTGGCACTTTCTCGACACCACGGAGAGTGCGCAGGGGGCGGTTCCTGAGCTCGGCCGCTATGCGCGCCCCTCGTCCAGGGTATAGCAGGCGTGGCATTTTCTCGACAACAGAGGGGGTGCGCGGGGGGTGATTCCTGAGCTCGGCCGCTATGCGCGTTTCTCGTCCAGGGCATAGCAGGGATGGCCCTTTCTCGACACCACAGGGGGTGATCTCTGAGCCCGGCATCGACTCTTTGCGCGGCGTGGAAAGCCCAGCCAGCTGGTGGGGTCAAAGTGGCGGTTAGCCGGTAACGCACAGGTTCTTGCCCTTCTTGGATTCCGTCAGGGCACTCAGGCTCCCAACCCTTGACCAGCCTCACCAGCGGTATCGGCGAAGCAACGGCCACCTGTATCATTCTCGCAAGTCTCACATGAATTATCATCATACCAGACAGTATAAGTATGTGGTGTTCTTCGGTCGCGAAATTTAATCACGTTATACCTCCCTGGGGCCCTTCCCGGGTTCCCGGGCCCCAGGAGCGCCAAATGCAGCTCAGGACGAAAAGCCCGTCATTTGGAGGGGGTCATACCTGAAATCCTCGCGTCGTAACAAAAATGCCGCGGCGGGAGGTTTTTGGCAGTTTCTGGGCGCCCTTCCAGATTCCAGTCCTTGGGGCGGTCAACATTTTCTTATCAGGGCCGGTCCCCAGGAAGGGGTCGAAGCCTCTGGGTGGCCGCGTTGTGAACAAAGCACGCGTCGGATGTCTGGGATCTTGGCGCTCTGGTATGACGGGGCCCCCAAACGATCTTGTAACCACACCGCGTGGTGAGTCAGTGGGTATTCGGGGTCGCCGCACGGTTTTCGGATCTGGTCGTTCTCCGAGGACGTCTCGGGCGACGGGGGCCTCCGAAGTCCCAAGGCCGCGCGGTGCCCGACCTCACGGCGAGGTCTCTTGGGATTTCGAGGTCGCTGCGCGGTCTGTCACCACGCGGTTTTGGGACCCCCGTGTATGGCTTGGTCAGAGGAACAAATGTTTTCTGAGGAGAGGACGGCGACGACCGCGGGGACGACGACGACGACGACGACGACGGCAAGGACCGGGAGGACGGCGAGTCCTCTAGTCCCTTCGGAAAGAAGGAGGGAAGGAAAGAAGGAAGGGGGGAGGAGGAGCGAGGAGGGGCGGCGCCGGTGCAAGCGGCGGGGGATGGGGTCCTGGCAAACATCACGGAGGGGGGGGGGAGGGGGGGGGAGGAGGGGGGGGATGAAGGCCACGTCGGGCAGATGCCACTCCTCCCCTCCCTGCCCCCCCGAACCCCTCGCGTCGCGAAGCGACCGCGACGACGGGGGGGTTCTGGCGATTTCCGGCGTCCCAGGGCCTTCACCGGGGTCCAGGACAGTCCAAAAACGATTCGGCATAAAACTCTGCCCCGGGGAAGGGGCGCAGACCTATGGGTGGGTCCACGTTGCGGATACACACAACGCAGGGGTTCTGGGTCTCCCTTTCTCCCTTCCGCTCCCATCCGCAGATGCATCGGATGCAGAAGTCTGTGTGGTGTGAGCCAGGGCGTGGACAGAAGAACCCGCGCAGTCCAAGCTTCAGAGCTCCTCGGCTCTGTCCATACGCCTCCCCCTCCCCAGCTTCCTTTCCCTGCACCTCCCAAACATCTGAACACTCTGGTTGCGTCGCCGTCCTCGCCCGGGACCCACCCACATTGCGTCGACGAAAATTCGGCGCCTGCGGCGGGTTCGTGGTGCAACGTGGTAGAACATCCGCGCCTGCGGCTGTCTTCTTCAGCTTGGCATCGCTCGGACGTGTGCATTTTTCTTTTGGCGAGGACCATCGAGGAGCATCCTTGGTTATCCAGCGAAAAAAACACGCACGAAACCTAAAAAAACAGGGAATGGGCGTCCGAGCGATGGCGAGCGGCCTCACAGAGCAGGCTCCCAAACGGAGCGAGAAAGCTGGGGGGGGGGGGGGGGGCAGCGTGGGCCAGGGGCACCTCCAGCGGCCCCCGGCCCCGGGCTGCTCCGAGGCCGCGACGGCTTCCTCTCCGAGAAGGACATCTGGTGGAGGACCCGCCCCGGCCTGGCGCTCCGACCGCCCGCGTCGAACTCGGGGCCACCGTTTGGTGGGGGGCGGGGGGGTACATCGACCCCCCTATCGAGGTGGAGGTTCGAGGTTCGAGGTTTTCGAGTCCGAGGTTCGAGGTCCAGCCTGGCGCTCCGGCCGCCCGCGTCAAGCTCAGGGCCAACGTTTGATCGGGGGCGGAGAAGAGGGGGGTGATGACTAGGGGGGGTTGGATATCATGGCGGGGGTCATGATATTTCTGCAGATTTCATGGCGCCTCTTCTCATGTCAGTACGTCCCTGGCCCCCCCGCTGGGCGGCGCACATGCCGCCGGTGATGATTTGCTCCCCCCCCTCTTGGACACCCCCCTCTTGGCCGCTCCCGATTTGAGGGGGGCGGGGAATGCATCGACCCCCTCATCGAGCTGGAGGTGCGAGGTTCGAGGTTTTCGAGTCCGAGGTTCGAGGCTGTTGGACGTTGGTGATGATGTGCTCGGCGATTTTCCCAGCCTCGGGGTGCTTTCCAGCAGCTGCGCCTCGCCCAGGTCGCCCCGCCCGGCCGCAGGAGAGCCAGAGGGCAAGGTCAGGGCGGGGTAGGCCCAGGGGAGAACCCAGAGATCCAACGCATTGAAAAAAATATCCGGGCGAAGGAACCAACTCTATGCAGCTGTGAGTGCCGCAAGTGCGAAGATCTTCTTCGGTGGAGCTCCCTATCGGAACACGAAGCGCTGCATTGGGCGGGGCTTATGGGGCCACGAAACGCTGTACTGGGTGGTGGCTGCCGCATGCGGGCGGTCCCACTGGGACCTTCGATGATCACGATGGAACCAGACGCATACGGGCGGTGCCAATGGGGCCTTCGGTGGAGCCCCATATGGGGCCACGAAGCGCTGTGCTGGGTGGTGGCTGACGGATGCGGGCGGTGCCACTGGAGCCTTCGGTGGAGCTCCCCATGGGGCCACGAAATGCATTGGGTGGGTGAATCCCAGGGAGGGAGGGCTGTTAGGCGGTGGTTGACGCATGCGGGCGGTCCCATTGGGACCTTCGGTGGAGCTCCCTATGGGGCCACGAAACGCTGCACTGGGTGGGGGGGACGCATTCGGGCGATCCCACTGGGACATTCGGTGGAGCTCCCTATGGGGCCACGAAGCACTGTACTGGGTGGGTGAATCGCAGGGAGGAAGGGCTGTGCTGGGTGGTGGTTGACGCATGCGAGCGGTCCCACTGGGACCTTCGGTGGAGTATGGGGCCACGACGCGCTGTACTGGGTGGGTGAATCGCAGAGAGGAAGGGCTGTGCTGGGTGGTGTTTGATCGCGGCGAGGGTCCAGGGAGGCGTCCCTGTCCCGTGGAGGGCGATGCATGGAGAGGAGCCACGTTGCCAAATAATTCCCAGGTGTCTAAAACATGTCTTCAACATGTTTTAAACGTGCTTTCACCCTGTTGAAAGCATGTTTAAGGCATGCTCCCCACATGTTAAACAGGCATCTAAAAGTCAGTGATCGGACTGTGAGGGTGTCCAGTGTCGTGGCGTCTACAATCCCTGTCCAAGGTGGCCCCGCGAGCGGGCGCGAAGGTGGACGGCGCAGCGCGCCTCGGGCGGAGCCCGAAGGTGACGGCGCGAAGGGGGGAGTTACCCGGGAGCGGACGAGCAGGCCAGGGGCCCAGAGCGCGGGCGAGGAGGGGGCCCCAGGGTTATGTCGGGCGTGTCCCCCATACAGGGAGATTTTCGACGAAAACTACAACATACCCCAGAAATAATCAAAGAATAGTCCAAAAATAGTCAGGGGATTATTTTTTGAGTGTTTCTTTTTGCCTTTTTGGAGCATTGTTTGGGTATTTTGTATCTTTCGTCGAAAATCCCCCTGTAGGGGGGACACGCCCGACATAGCCCCAGGGTCACCAAGAAGGGATCCGGGAGGGAGACTTGCCTCGGGGAAGCGGTTGTGATTTCTGGGGCCGCGGATTGGCAGAAGCAACACAACACCGGCGGACGTCAGGGGATGCAGGGGGTCTGGGCTCCCTGGAAGAATCCCGACCCTCTCCCGGGGGCCCGCGTTTCCTCTCTTCTTGTTTTCGTTGGGGGGAGTCCGAAAGCATATAAGATTAGACTTGGCGAGGGCTCGTCCTTGAGCAGCTTCATGCAGCGGTGATGGACCGCTTCATGAACGATCCGTGTGTAGAATGTGCCGAACTGCCGAACTGGTCGAGGGGCGCACAGGAACGCCTTCGCTGCGCCTTGAGGTGGATCTCCCTGCGAGTTCCCATCCGCGCGAGGGGTGTGCCAAAATGGGCGGGAGGGCGCATCCCAACCCTCCAACTGGAGCCGTGGGTGGAGCTCCTTGTGGGGCACGAAACGTGTGAGGCTTGCACTGGAACGAGTGGGGGTAATTAAATACGCATACGATTTTTTTCACTGGGGCCGTAAATGGAGCTCCCTGCACGATCCGGGTGCGCGGTGTGCTGAGATGGGCGGGGGGGGTGCATGGACCTTTTCCCACTGGCCGCAGGTGGAGCTCCCTGCGGGGCGCGAAGCATGCGAGGAGGGAGAGAAAGTCGTGCACGTCAGAGGTGTGTTAGCAAGGTGGTGAAACAATCCACTATGCTACACGTTCGACGGCTCTGCTGTCTGCCAGGCGGCGCACTGGCCATTCGGGGTCAGTGGACGTCGTCGGACGAACGAGGGCGAAACAACGAAAAACGAGTAGGCTTACATAGTGGAACACGAAAAAACAACGCGGTGATGCACGACAACCAGGTGATGGGTGCGCTGAAATGGGGAGGGCACGCATACAAATGTTCCCACTGGAGCCATCGGTAATTAGTCGGTCAGATGGTCATGGCATGGTTGTCGAGGGCGTCAGGGTGTTTGTCGTGCTTCTTTCCCAGGCTGTTCCCCATGATCGGGGATCGAGTCGGCATTTCCATTGCTGCGGTCCCGTCCTGTGATCGAGCTGGTGACACGGTGTTGCAGCCATAGTCGATGTTGCCCGTTGTCTTCCCACCTCAAGCCGAGGACCTACTGGGATGATGAGTACAGCTACCTGTGTTGGGTGCTGCACGATAACCACGATGGCAAGGCCCCGGGGAGAAGAAGGCGGAGAGGGGGAGAGCAGGAAGGAAGAGCAAAAGGCGGAGACTTTGCCACGTGGCCGTGCGATTTCGGCTCTTCCTCATCCTCCGGTCAGGAGGTTTCATCTGTTCGCAGTCGGCCTTGATTGGAGCTTTGCTGCGGGCCACGGAAGGCATCCAGCCAGTTGCCCCCAACTTGCGGATGTTTCCCCTCCTCCCGCCCACACATTCTCTCTCCCTCCTCTTCCTCCTCCACCTCCTCTTCTTCCTCCTCCTCCTTCTCCCTCCATGCTCTTTCTCCTCCTCATCCTCCTCCTCCTCCTCATCCTCCTTCATCTTCCCTCTTTTCTCCTTCCCTCCACAGTGCCACTCTTTCCTCCACATTTCTTCTCCTCCCTCCCACCTTCTCCTCATCATCATCACCATATGATATTCTTCGGCATCATCATCAGCAGCAGCATCATACTCAGCAGCATACTCCATTCCGTTTCCTTCACGTAAGGCAAACTCCTGGTCGCACCACCAGGCTCAAGCAGTAGCGAAGCGCCATGGCCCACCACGATATGTTGGGTGCGCCATATGTTCTTCACATATGTCTGGCTGAGACAGTCGTGGTTCAATGCATCCGTTTACATTGTTACTCGAAAATTGTTTGGTCGGAGGTCGGCAGGTGAGATCGAAGTGAAACGGAGGCGCCCAATCGGGAAATCGAATTCCGATTCGGTTCCGTGACGTGCGAGCGGGCAAGGCGAGGCGAAGTTACGCGAGTGCACGCTTTAGTAGAGGCCAAGTCTGGCCAAAAGTTGTCGCCCCGGCCCAGCCCGGTCATTGGACGCGGGTTGCCCCGATGGTTGTCCCGATGGTTGTTTGTTGTCCCGGCAGCTGTTCCGATCAGAGTCCCGATGGTTGTCCCGATGTTTCAGAAAGCGTTTCCTGCCGCTGCTGGCAGGAGGGGGGGGGGGGGTCAAACGCTCCGCCCGACCCAAAACCACGCCGTTGGGGGGCCCTGACACCCCCCCTGCGGGAAAATTTGTGGGGGGGGTCCAGAAACCTCCCAACGGAAAATCAGTGAGAGAGATCCAGATACTCCCCATCCCCCGGAAAGCTGTTGAGGAGGGGTCCAGCAACCTGTCCCCCCCCCCGCGGCAACGACAGCGACGACGACGAGGCCGACGCCGACGCCGACGCCGACGACGACGACGACGCCGACGCCGCCGATGCCAACGACGACGACGACGACGACGACGACGACGACGACGACGACGACGACGACGACGACGGACGACGGACGACGGACGACGGACGACGGACGACGGCGAAAGCCACGGCGACGACGACGCACGACGTAATTACGACGACGCCGACGACGACGAGGACGCCGACCCGACGACGAGGACGCCGACGCCGCCGCCGCCGCCGACAACGACGATGACGACGCCGAGCAGAGTAGAGTAGGCGTCGTTGAACCGAGCATGTAGAAAGAGTAGCGTAGAGGGTAGAGGAGAGTCGAGTAGAGTGGGATAGGATACGGTAGGGTAGTGTAGAGGAAGGTAGAGTAGAGTAGGGAAGGGAGGTGTAGATCATATTAAAGGTTAGAGTTGAGTCGAGTAGAGGAGAGTAGATGGTACAAATATTAGAGCAGGGTAGAGTAGGAGTAGAGTAGAGTAGAGTAGAGTAGAGCAAGGCAGAGCACAGCAGAGCAAAGTAGAGTAGAGTAGAGTAGAGTGGAGTCGGAACATAGTAGAGTAGGGTAGATTATGTTGGTGTACGGCAGGGTTGAGTAGGGTAGGGTAGAGTAGAGCAGATACGGAGTAGAGTAGAGTATAGTAGCAGCAAAGTGGAACACAGTAGAGTATGTTAGGGCACGGGCACGGTAGGGTAGAGAAGAATAGAGTAGAGTAGGACACAGTAGAGTAGGGAAGATCGAATCGAGCAGAGAGGGGTAGATGGACAGAGGAGAGCATACATAGAGAATGGTAGAGTGGCGTTGAACAGACTATGAGGAGAGGAGAGGAGAGGAGAGGAGAGGAGAGGAGAGGAGAGGAGAGGAGAGGAGAGGAGGGGAGCGCAGAGTAGAGTAGAGTAGAGTATGAGCAACGTAGTGTAAAGAAGAGTGGAGTAGAGTAGATTGGGATATGGTGTGGTAGAGTAGGGTCGAGTAAAGTATTGCAGAATAGAGTAAAATGGACAAGAGTAGAGTAGAGACGGAACATATTATGAGGACTAGAGTAGAGCAGAAGAAGAGCAAAGTGGAGCAGGGTAGGGTATGTCAGGGAGTGCGGCAGGGAAGAGTGGAATGGGGCAGAGTAAAGTGGGGCAGAGTGCAGTAGGGCAGAGTAGAGTAGAGTGCATGTAGCAGGGCCCTGGTAGGATACCGAGAGGGCGGGATCGAGCCCGAGTAGCATTCTATCAGAGCCAGCGCCTGGCGAGGGCGCTGGCGACAGGTGCGTCCCCACCACCGCCGCTCACGTCGTCGTCGTCGCCGTGAGCGTCGTCGTCGTCGTCGCCGTCGTCGTCGTCGTCATCGTCGTCGTCGTCGTCGTCCGTCGTCGTGCCGTCGTCGTCGTCGTCGTCGTCGTCCGTCGTCGTCGTCGTCGTCGTCGTCGTCGTCGTCGTTGTCGTCGTCCGTCGTCGTGTCGTCGTCGCCGTCGTTCTCGTCGTCGTCGTCGTCGTCGTCGTCGTCGTCGTCGTCGTCGTCGTCGTCCGTCGTCGTGCCGTCGTCGTCGTTCGTCGTCGTCGTCGTCGTCGTCGTCGTCGTCGTCGTCGTCGTCGTCGTCCGTCGTCCGTCGTCCGTCGTCCGTCGTCGTGCCGTCGTCGTCGTCGTCGCCGTGAGCGTCGTCGTCGTCGTCGCCGTCGCCGTCGTCACCGAAGGGGGGGGGGCCCTCAAATTTTCCCGGGGGAGTGGGGGGCCCGAAATTCACCACTTCAGATTTTCCAGACGGAGGGCGGAATTTTGGACCCCTGGGATCTTCCCCGGAGGGGCGGGGGTTGGTGGAGGGGTGCCCAGTTTCTGAGCCCCCCCTTAGGTTTTTTTTTGGGGGGGGGAGGGGCGTTCCGGTCTTTGACACCTTCTGAGAGGCATTGTTAGGCCAGCGTTGGTGGATAGCGTTCCCTCCGATGTTTGTCCCGGTGTGTTACTCGATCGGTAGATCGTGACATCGATCGGTCGATTAATGTTGTTATCGACAGATATATTGCGAGGCCGATGGGGAAGGGACAGGGAGACAGACAGATAGACAGTCAGACAAATACATATATGGAGATCGCTGGGTAATCAGTACTAGATAAACAAATATTGACATAGTACGTATAGACGGATCGACAAACAACTCGTATCGTCGTCCGGGGTTCTGGCCCTTGGGCCTGCCATCCCATATATTAGTAAGTGTGTATATTTCCCTTCTTCTGTCCCTCTTTCTGGCGTCCTTCCCTCTCCTTCCGCCACGCGCATCGGTTTCTTAGGGAAGCGAAAGGTGCTTGGTCCCCCTGGCGTTTAGCTGGCGCCTGCGTGCCGTATGCACGGCCAGGGCGTGCTGGCAGGCTACCAGCTGCCCGGGGCATGGAGCCGCTCCCCTCTCGGGGGCCGCACCTATCCCGCGCTCCTGCGCTTGGCAGTGGCGCTCGCTCGGCGACGATTCCCGAGACCACTGGAGACCTTTTGCTGCCCATTCCATTGCCTCGTCTCGTGAGTGCGGGTACCGTGTGCGGAGTGCCTGTTTGGGATGGCGCTCGTTGCTTTACGCCTTGTCCTCCTCCTCCTATTCCTCGTCTCCTTGGCCTCCTCCCTCCTCCCACCCCATTCCTCCGGCTTGATAGCAACCAGGGTTATGGTTCTATCACACGTTGTTCTGCGATTGATGCAGGTTGTGCCATTTGCCAGCAGATGCGGCCGGTTTCGTTCCGAAGTGTTGCGTTTAATTATTTCCAGGTTGCAGTGGCACGCCTTCGGTACCCGAGTTGCTGCGCTTCCTGGTCTCTAGTTCGCCCCTTGCTACTGTCGTCTCCTCCCTCCTCCTCCTATTCCTCCTCCTTCTTTCTCCCTCTTCCTGAGTCCAGGGTTTTGCAGGTGGTTGGTCTCTTCGCCCCGCGGTCGACTTCGATCGGCGGTGTTTCGGCCACGCTCGCATGGCAGCCTGCTGAGCAGGGCTGCTGCACGGTCTCGGCGATATTTCTGCATACGCTTGGTGCGTCGTCTTCCTTGTCCGTGGTGCGGGATAGCCCCCTTGAGGGGCAGCGGATTCCTGCTTTTCTTTGCTGCGGATATGTATAAGTATATGTATATGTATATACATCTATAAACATGTACGTATATAGATGACAACAAACATGGAGGTTAATGACAATCGACACTGGTGTCCTGATGCTAAACAAAGATGACGCCAAACCCCGGGATGCTCTTATCACCCGAAGGGTAGTCTATGAGGTAGGCTTATGCGAATACCAGGACTGTCGAACCATGCTCAACAGCCGTGTCAGGAGGGCGCGCCGGGGGATTCGCCTGATTTCTTAGCCGGGATGACCCCGAAGCTTGAAATGTCAAACAGCTACTCGGATGATCGAGAGTGAAGCAAGTTCAAAATTAGGTTCTCGCTTGCGCCCCTGGCACATTCGTGATATGGCCATCTATCGGCTCCAAGGACGGACGGCGGGTCTTTTTTCTACATAAGGATCTCGCAGCAGCGCCGCTCACATATTCCTAAGACGTCCTTAATTTTCCAGATTGGATGGCGTGTTTTTGTCAGAATCGGATTCTCGCTTGATCGCCGCGCCCATTCGTGTCAAAAGCTTCCAGCTGTTGCACGGACGAAGGGCGGATCGTTTTCAGAGGCGGTGTTCGCCTTCGTTGGCGTCGTTCGCAAATTCTAGGGCTCGCGCGAGACCCGTTGTTTAACTTTGTGAGCCTACATTGCCGCATGCATCATTGCTCGAATGATGCAGTGCAGCCCCGTACCAAAATGGGGCCAGGCCCATGGAGTGCTCGTCTGTCAATCGGGCGTTCCCCGCATCCCCGCTGTGATAAGGAATGTTTGCCCGGATTTTCGAGGCGGAAGCTTGGCACGAGACGGTGGTGCAGCATCATTGACGCATCCAGGGTTTATTCTGGTCTTCCTCATCCTATCGTCCTTCTCTTCCTATTGTCCTCAACCTATCGTCCTCTTTCCTCGCACCTCCTATCCTCCTTCTCCTCCTCCTGCTGATCTTTTTCCTCCTCTCAGCCAAATCCCCCGTCCCTCCCACCTCCCCCTCCAGCTCGTCCTCCGCTTCCTCCTCCGCCTCCGCCTCCTCCTCCAGCTCCTCCTCTGCACACATCGGACGTGAGGCTGGAACCCGAAAACCGATGCTCGACCAAAAGCTGCCGGAGACTTGGAGGCCAACAAAAACGTTGGGACGATGACGCCAGGAAGCTTCTACATACCATGAATGGGTTCATTCACGATGACGGCGTCCAGCGGGAGATGTCATGGAAGCGGTTATCCCCCGATAGTGCTAACACGACAACGCCAGCGATGTGCGGCACACACACATTGAGTGTTGGACAGTGCCTTGGCATCGCTCGGACGTGTGCATTTTTTTCTCGGCAGGGACCATCGAGGGCCATCCTTGACCATCGAGCCAAAAAAACACGCACGAAACCGAAAAATGCACGGGAAATGGACGTCCGAGCGATACCGAGGTGCATGAAGCAGCCTGCTCCTCTCAAGTGATTGAACTGTGATTTGCCTGCAGGAGCCCACGGGCTCCAACGCCGCGCCCTGACGGGCGCGCGCGGGCACCCGCGTGGCGCTCGCGCGGACCTGGCGCTCGCCCGCTCGCTCCTCGGCCTCCTCCGCCCCGCTCCTCACGAATCGGCCCGGCCTCTCTGAGAGGGTGCGTTCGGACCAGAGTCTCGAGGCGGACCGAGCCGCGGCGACGGTGGTCCCCCCCCCCCCGGGGCCCCCCGAAGAGCGCAAGACCGGAACAGAAGCTCGGCCCTGGCTGATGGGCCCATGTCCCACCACCACTATGTAGGAGAGGGAGGAGGAGGAGGAGGAGGAGGAGGAGGAGGAGGAGGAGGAGGAGGAGGAGGAGGAGGAGGAGGAGGAGGAGGAGGAGGAGGAGGAGGAGAGGAGGAGGAGGAGGAGGAGGAGGAGGAGGAAGAGGAGGAGGAGGAGGAGGAGGAGGAAGAGGAGGAGGAGGAGGGGGAGGGGGAGGGGGAGGAGGTAAGGGAGGACCTCATCCTCCCTTCTCCCCCGTCCTACGCATGGTGGTGGTGGTGCAACATTTGCCAATCAGCAGCGTCTCGCTTGTGCGTCCGCCGTCGTCTGCCTGCCTCTCCCCTTCCGCCGCCGCGCAGCACGGACTGCGGGGAGCTGGCCTCGCCAGCGCGACGGGACCGAGGGTTCGAGCTCGACCTCGCCCCAGAGGTGCTGTCCGTCGTGCCGTGTCCGCTCCCCCCGCGTTCGGCGGTGGCGGCACCCATCGGTCGTTGACGGTAAATATTCTTGGGTGCCCTGATTCCAATCTGCTTTAGGCGCTTTTCCACTTCCATGATCCAGTGGCCTCACCTCTCCCCTCCTCTTCTTGGGGGCGGTCGGAGGCGCAACCTGTTTCCAACGCCCTCCTACTGCATGCTTCTCCCTGCTTCTTCCGACCGCTGGGCAACGTTAGGGGGGGGGGGAGCAGGCGCGGGAGGACGCCTCGGCCCCTCCTCGCCCACCCATCGCCGACATGGGGGCCCGGAGAGCCCACCCCGCCCGAGACCGCGCGAGTGGCGCGGTCGGGGGCCTGTCGCCCCCCGGCGTTCCCCCCCCCCCCGGCCTGCTGGCCTCCAGGCCTCGGCCCTCGAGGCCCGAGGCTCCCACCCTCCCGAGAGCTCCCACGGCGTGCTCTGTGCGCAGCGGAGGAGGAGGAGGAGGAGGAGGAGGAGGAGGAGGAGGAGGAGGAGGAGGAGGAGGAGGAGGAGGAGGAGGGGGAGGGGGAGGGGGAGGGGGGAGGAGGAGGGGGAGGAGGTAAGGGAGGACCTCATCCTCCCTTCTCCCCCGTCCTGCGTATGGTAGTGGTGGTGGAACATATGCCAATCAGTAGCGTCTCGCTTGTGCGGTCGCCGTCGTATGGTATCCCCCAGAGGCTTGGACCCCTGCCCCCGGGACCTGTTGCTCATCCCAGAGACTGTCTGGCGGTCCCGGGGCACCCGGTGAGGGCCTGTGGAGGCCGACATGCCGCGGGGGGGCGGCAGAGAGGAGGGGGTGATGACCAGGGGGGGGGGGGGGGGGGAGATGGGCGTGGGCCATGATGTTTCCCCGGATGTCGTGGCGCCGCTTCTGGTTTCATCACGTCCCTGGTGGCCCCCGCTGGGCCGCGCACGTGCCGCCGGCCAGGATGTGCCCCCCCCCCCTCTTGGACGCCCCCCCCCTCTTGGCCGCTCCCGAGTGTCCAGAAGCCTCGCGACGTTGCTCTCTTCCACGACGCGGGGATGTCAGGGAAGGGGTCGGCCTTCGGAGCCCGATCTTCCTACTTTCAGGAGGGGAAAAAACACAGACACAATGAATCCTCGATTCCCCAGAAAATATGGGAAAATATGGGAAGTGGGGGGGAAGACAAAAACCCAGAAAATATGGGAAAATATGGGGAATATTTTTATTTGTGTGTATTTATTTGTGTGTCCTGGGGCCCCTTCATGCTTCTGACTACCTACCAGACCACCCCAACCCAACCCGAATACCCGAATTTCGGGTTGGGGGGTAAGGGTTCCACGTGTGCGTTTTTCGATTTTTCCCCGACGCCCCCCCACTGGAAATCGACTGTAAATTTGGGCCTTCGGGTTGGGTTGGGGTGGTTTGGTGGGTGGTCAACTTCGCCGCTGCCCGCGCCGCAGTACGACGGCATCCTCATAGCGTTCAACGCGGGGCACGAGACGAGGCGCTGCGACCTGCCGCCGGGCAAGGAGCGCCTCCGCCCGGGGCCTCGCCGCGGAGGCGGGGGGCGAGACCCGCGGCAGCTGCTGCTCCCGCAGTTGCCCGTGCGCGGCAAGCCCTTGGCCTCGCTCGGACGTGTGCATTTTTCCTTCGGCGAGGACCATCGAGGAGCATCCTTGATCATTCCGCGAAGAACCACGCACGAAACCGAAAAAAGCACAGGAAGTGGACGTCCGAGCGATGACCAGGTGCGCGGCAACCCCCAGGAAGACGCGGGGGGGGAGAGGAGGAGGGGAAGGCGGAGGAGGAGGAGGAGGAGGAGGAGGAGGAGGAGGAGGAGGAGGAGGAAGGCCAGTGCAAGCTTCAGACTCGGGCAGGGCGAAAGGGGGGGATTGGGAAAGGGGGGTTACGAAATTTGCTGCATGCAGCTGGTTTCGGCCTCACCGAGGGGCCCATTCCTCTATACATGGCCGCCTCCGGCGCCGGGAGGCGCCGGGAAAGTCAGCTACGCGAGCTGATTATCACCCCCCCTTTGCTATCCCCCCCTTTCGCCCGACCCGACAGACGCATCAGCGATGTTGCCAGAACCCTTCCTCCAGATTCCCTCTTCACGGATCCCCACAAGAAGTGATGTTTGCTGCGGGACGTGCCCCATTGAAAGACGAACGTTTGAAAATTCTCAACCGTGCCAAACCACATCTCCTGCGATTTCAGCGCCGCGAATCAACGTGATTCTTGCGTCTTGACAGTCCTAAACCGTCACCGTGCCTGGGACTTCAACACAGCGAATCAACGTGACTTTCGCGGCGTGAAAGTCCTAAACCGTGCCATAACATCCTTCTTGGGATTTCAACCATACGAATAATTGAAGCTTCTGCAAACGTTCAAGACGAATGTGCGCTGCGCCAGGACGAGAGCCATATTTTTAGAAGAAACCGCCCTCCGTCCTAGAAGCTGCTGCAACGTTTCAAAACGGACGTGCGCGGCGCTATGGCAAGAGACACGTTTTGAAAACGATCCGCCACCTTTTTGAAATTGTGGCAAATTTGTCAGACGAGCGTGCGCAGAACCACCCGCCTTCCAGATTTCAAACTTCTGCAATATTTAAGTCGAATGCGCGCGACGCCAAGACGACACCCACATCTTGAAAAGAACCCGCCGTCCATCCTTGAAGTTGCTGCAAACGTTGAAGACGAATGTTTCTGCGCCCAGGCGAGAGCCGCATTTTGAAACGGACCCTTCTTTATTTTTGAAATTGCTTCAGAATTCAAGCTTCCGGATCGTGATCAAGGGTGAGGAAGTTTCAGGCGAAGCGCCTGGCACGCCCTACCGACACGTCTGGGGGTGCGAGAAGGAGGAGTGATGTACCACGAAAAAGGATGGAAGAGGAGGGGGAGGAGGAGGAGGAGGAGGAGGAGGAGGGGGACATGGGTGAGAAGGGAAAGGGAGTAGGAGGAAGAAGAGGAGGACGAAGAGGAGGAGAAGGAGAAGGACAAGGAAGAGGGGGAAGGGGAGGCGGAGGAGGGGGGAACCAGTGCAGACCCACTCATCAACGATAGTGCTTTTCTTAAGTTCCCTTTTCATAGACCCCTACAAACTTTTTTTCATTGGGGGAAGGGCCCCGATGGAAAGCAACCGTTTGGAAATCCGGAGCTGGGCCAGAACACCATTCGTGGGGGTTCAACGCAGCGAATAACATGTATTTTGCGGTTTGACGATCATGAGTCGTGCCAAAGCACCGTTCTTGGGACTGCAGCACTGCGAGTCAACGTGACTGTCTCGCCTTGACATTTCGACATTTTTCCAGAAGGCCGCTTCTGTGATGCTAACCATGAAAATCCTTGAGCCGCGGAAAATTCTGACAACGAATGTGCGCGACGCTAAGGCGAGAGCTACATTTTGAAAATTAGCCACCCTCTATCCGAAGTAAAAAAATGAATGCGCGCTGCGCTAAGGCGAAAGACACGTTTTGGAAGCGGCCGCCCTCCATCCGTGAAGTTGCTGTATTGTTTAAGACGAATGCGCGCAACACTAAGGTGAGAGTCACATGTTGAAAGAGGGCCGCCCTCCATCCGTGAAATTCTCGCAAACTGTTCAAACGATCGTGCGCGGCGCTACAGCGAGAGCGACAATTCCAAAGCGGACCGCCCCCCATTTGTGAAGTTCTTGCAAACTCCAATTTTCAGGATCCTAAGTGGTGAGGAAGTCTCAGGCGAACCTCCCGGCCCACCCTTTCGACCGGCTTCGGGGCGCCAGGGGGAGGATTGTTTATAAGGAAGAGGGATGGAGGAGGGGCAGGAGGAGGGGGCCGTGGGGGAGGGGAGGGGAGCGCGAGGAGGGGGAGGAGGGCGGCGGGTGGGGAGGGGGGGAGGGAAGCGGCCCAGCGCGCTAGGAGGCGCGTCATGTGTCCCCCTCCTCCGAATCCTCCTCCCCATCCCCCCCAAGCCCCCACCCCTTAAAGTATCGTCTTCACGGAAGAAGCAATTTGCAAGGACACCACCAGCATCATGGGCATGTTTGCATTGCGAGTTTCGACGCTGTGTATTATGTTTTTTTCCGAACTGAGTTGGAAGAATCCGAGGCCATCGGCATGAGAAATATTTCCGGCCCGTGGTATAAGTTCGAGGTCAGTTCGGGGAGGGTATTCTAGTGTTCTTCGTGTGTGTTGGATGTTCTTGTGCACCCTGGGGAGGGTACTCTTGGATGTTCTGTTTGTTTTGGCCGACGGAGGGTCTCATGTTCTTGAAGGATGTTATTCTGGCCTAGGTCCGACTGTAGCCAACAGTTTCAAACACCAGAGCAGCAGACCAACGGGACCCTGACCGACTGAGTGGGGCAGAAGGCGGATTCGGTCGATACGAACGAGGTGAAGAAGAAGTTCCTCTTCCACGCGACGTCCAGCGTCACCGACAAGGGCGAGTTGAACGAGATGCAGGAGCAGGATAAGAATATTACGCTCAGGGACACTGACGAGGAGAAGAAGGAGGAGAGATATGAGAAGGAGGACGTGAGGAGACGGAAAAAAGACAGACTATTTTTGCGAGTTCGAATTGATGGAGATGAAGAGCGCGCAGCGTGATGAAATATCCCATCGGAACAGCCGACGCAGCTAATACACGTTGGCTTCAGGACCCCCAGTTTGCAGAACGAGTTTGCGAAGCCCGCGGTCGTTGAGAGCAGCTTCGAGGACACAAGCGTGACCCAGAGCACGAGAAGGACCGACGATGACCGCTGGCATGAGTGCTCAATGGTGCTATCGCTAATCGGGGCAAGACCCGGCCTCTCCTCAGAGCGAAGTCAAAAAACAACAAAAGCAAGATCGGCATCAATTGGTTCCCAAAGTGTGGTATCACTTGCGTCTGCGCACGTATCACCTTTTTGAGGCCACGGCTTCCACCCATGCCTTGATGGGCAAGGGTGGGCTCCGAAGTGGAGCGCGCACGACTCCGGCGTTCGCTTCGTTTCGTTGTTTCATCCTCTTGATTTCGACGTTTCTTTTTATTTGCAGCCGCCCGTGGCTGCAACTGCTGAAGACGCGTCCACTGTGTGTCTTCACCTTGTTTACCTCCTTCTCCTCCCCTCTCCTCCTCACTCCTCCGCCTCCTCCTCCTTTTTGAACTGCGGCCACAGATGGTGCGCACAAGGTCCCGCCCCCGCCGGAGTGCGTGGAATGCTCCACGTTGCACTGTGCGGGCCAAGAGAACCCTACGCCGGAGCCTTGGTACGAGACGCAGCCCTCCCGGGGGGAGCGATCCGACGGCCAGGCGGCCCGCGCCCGACGCTGCCCGTTGGCTTCGGCTCTCGGCAGGGTGGCGCGATGGTAGGGGGTGGACAGAACCCCCAGCAGTGACACGTCGATTGGTGAATTGTCCGTTTTCGGTTTTCGAGAGGGCGCCGTGGCCGTTATTTTCCAGGCTTGCGCCCGCCAGGTTTGGGCCTCAGGTCGTTTTCACTAAACCACGTTTTGCTAAAGGGGGGTCTGTCCATCCCCGAGATGGGGCTGCGCCGCGTGGACGGCAGGAGTCAGAGCCCCTTCGTCGGAATCCCCCCCCCCCTGCTGGGAGCCCCCTGCGCGCAGAGCGCCGCGCCCTCGCCCGCGGCCGCCGTCGAGCTCGTTTGGGGCGAGCCCCGGGCGCAGGGCGGGGCCTCCCCGGCGCCCCGCGAGAGGCGGGAGGTCAACGTGGCTCGCGGGCGAGACATGTTCAGGAGGGGAAAAAACACACACAGACACAATGCATCGTCGACTCCCCGGAAGAGAGGGGAAGACATGGGAAGTGGGGGGCAGACAAAAACCCAGAAGATGTGGGAAAAGATGAGGGATCCGGTTTTTTGTGCGTATTTACCTGTGTGTCCCAGGGCCCCTTCACATGTGTCCGTATCCGCCGCCTCGCGGGCGGGGCCCCTGGGCTGCGGCCCCGCGGATACGGGGCGCTCGTTTCGCGGATGCCCCGCGCGGAGCGTGTCCGTGGGAGCGCGCATCCACGGGATCGCGCCGCGGAATCCGGGCCTCGAGGGCGTGGATACGGATATGTGTTCACCGCTCGGGACTTGCCTTGCATCTTCGGCCCAAGCATTGGCGTCTTTTGCTGTGCCCGACGCAGGCTCGATGCGGACACGGCGCGGATTTGGCGTGGATTCGACGCGGATTCGACGAGCCCGACACGGATTCGACACGGATTCGGCACGGATAGGGGCGCGACGGGACAGACGAGGTCCCCGAAGATACAACATAAGAAAGAAGGGAGGAAGGTATAGGTTCAGCGGGATCGAGATTCGAGCTTCGAGGATCGATGTTCGAGGTTCGCTTTCTGAACGTTCCTGATCATCCTGGGGCGCCCTGGTGGCCACGGCTGGATCCGCTTCGGAAGTCTGGTCAGAACGCACCATCGGAGAGGTCCGGGGGGATCGAGGTCAGACGTCTTCGGGGGTGTTCGTTGTTCCTCGGCGGTCTCCCGGCCCTGGGTTGTCGTCTGGCGGTTGCGCCTGGCCGAGAGCGTTTCAGGGGTGCCCGGGTTGCCCCGACCGGCCGCCGGAGAGCTGGGCTTTGACCCGAAAGCCAGGGGCAAGGTGTGGGAGGGGGCAGTCTCAGTCTGCACAAACGAGATGGGCACGGAAAGAATGGGTACAATGCCCAACAGCAGTTCCTGTTCATTTTAAACAGGATTCGCTGTCCACGCCGCCGCGGCCTGTGTCCACTCGAGACAGAAGGCCGCCTGCCCAACAGCGGCCGCTGTTGGTTTGGGACAACATTTGTTGTTGGGCATTGTACCCATTCTTTCCGTGCCCATTTCGGGCGTCCAAACTCAGGGGGGGAGTCCCTCAGGGCTCGACGACGTTTCGCCCATCGACTCGTGGGGGTCGAGCCATCCAAATCCAGGTGAAGGCAGATAAGCCGAGGTGTGTGCAGGCAAATCTGGGCACTTCCAGGTACATCCAGAGATTTCAAGGAAAAGTTGGAGCCAATTTCGGCTGCTCCCGCGCGAGTCGAGGGACGTCAGAGGTCGGCAAGCCCTTGACGAGGGATGCGTCGACCACCAGCCGCCCACTCGGTGCCGACGGGGGGCCACCTACCCTGCCTTGCCCAGGAACTTGGTATCGCTCGGACGTGTGCATTTTTTCTCGGCGACGGCCATCGAGGACCATCCTTGATCGTTTGGCGAAAAAAACACTCACGAAATCGAACAATACACGAGGAATGGACGTCCGAGCGATGGCGAGGGAAGGCGCGGCTCCGTTCGCCAACCTCTCGCCGATCTCTCGGCGATGTCTCGCCGATTCCGTGGCGTTGCCCCCCGCCCCGGAGCTGGTGCCCCCCTGGCGTTGCCCCTCGGGTCGGGGGCGGCAAAGAGGTGGATATCATGGCATGGGCCATGATATGTCCCCAGATGTCATGGCGTCTCTTCTTATTTCATTACGTCCCTGCCCCCCCCTGGGCCGCGCACATGCCGCCTGCCATGATTTGCACCTCCCCCTCTTGGACGCCCCCCTCTTGGCCGCCCCCGATCAGGGAGCAGGGAGAGAGGGCATTCTAGTAGTCGCGCGCTGCCCGCGCCTCCGAGCTCGGGGGGCGGGGGAAGGGAGAGACGGGGGGGGGGAGCCAGAGGAGGGAATGGTCACTGCCGATGCCGCTCCCTTCCCTTCGTTCTCGCCGTGTGGGGGCCTCTGGGGAGGCCCTCGTCGCCACGGCTGGATTCGCCTCAACACTCTGGTCAAAACGCATTTCGGGACAGCTCTGGGGAGAGGTTGTATCAGTATCCTTCTGGCATCTCCAGAGGAGGAGGGAGGAAAGGAGCAGGAGAGAGGGAGGAGGGTGGGAGGAAGGGAGGAGGAGGGAGGATGAGTGGGCAAAGGAGGAGGGAGGGAGGAAGGGAGGTCGGTGCAACATAAGAGGAAGAGGATAGGAGGAGGAGGAGGAGGAGGAGGAGGATAGGAGGAGGAGGAGGAGGAGGAGGAGGGGGAGGTTGCCTGCGCGCATCGGTGCAGGTGGTACCGCATCGTGGACACGAATCTTCCCTCGCCGAAGGACGCGAGAGGGGGGACTCATCCTCCCTCCGCCTCCCTCTTCTTTCGCCTTCTGCTCCTCCTGCTCCTCGTCGTCCTACTCCTCCTCCTCCTCATCATCATCATCCTCCTCCACCTCCTCCTCACACCTCCTCCTCCTCATCTCCTCCTACTCCTACTCCTCCTCCTCCTCCTCCTCCTCCTCCTCCTCCTCCTCCTCCTCTCAGCCTCTCAGCCTTGAGCCTCGAATGAGGCTGGAGTCGCCGGCTCTGGACACGCAGCCGCGAATCCGAGCTGTACCCGCGGCAGGTTTCTGTAGCCCTCTTCGGGCACTCGTTGCTGTCGTGTGTTCAGGCGGATGACTGCACGAAGTTTCGCCCCAGCCCATTGTTTCAAATTGTTTTTCGGCGGGACAGCCTGCCCTCCCCATCACCACGTCCACACCTGCATGGCCACTGCAGCATGATCTGTACTGCTGATGTCTGTGTAGGCGCTAGGCAGCTGCACTGGTGCCAAGATGCGCTTCCCCTGACGCGGGGACCCGTTTGCTAATTGCCCGCGCTCTTGAGTATTGCAGATGTGATTTGGTTGTAGCCGTGTTTCTTGCTTATTCGACGTGTCCAATCACATACGTTCTTCCTCCTTCTCCTCCACGCCACATCTAGCGACATCGACTCTGGCAGGTCTTCTCACTGGGAGCGGAAGGCCAATGATGCGGCCGACCGCTCTGCGAAGGCTGGCGCAGATAAGCACGGTGTGACAGAAGAGCACGCGCACTCGTTGCGCGGGCTCCGCAGCCTGGCGCTCGAGGCGGGGCGTTGGGCTGGCACGCTCGAGGTGCACCTGTCGCGGCCAGGACGTGCGCGGCCCGACTGGACTTCCTGCCGAGGCAGCGGCGCCCCGCGAGGCCCTACCCGAGGGCGCCGACCAGGTGCTGGCCGAGGACTCGCATCCACCGGATGTCTCGGGGAACGGTCTGGGGTCGGACTTGGGGGACGGGCGGGAGGAGCACGCTCGTTCTGTTTTCAGGTGCCGAGGGCACGCTTTCCCTTGCGCGTCCGTCCTGACGGCCCAAGGAGGCATGCAGAACACTCGTGTTCAGTAGCCTTCTGTGCTCGAGCCGCCGATTGCTGACGAAGAGCGCAGAAGCCCCAAGGGCAAGCTCGTTTTCTGCTCGCGGGAGGTGGCTCGGCCTCGAGAGGCTTGGCGAGCGCGCGCCTCGCGCCTGGGGCTCCGACCGGCTTCGCAGACTTCGCGTGGGCAGTGCCCCGAGTGATGAGCAGGGCGAGGAAGACTTGGTGCCTGGGGGCCGTCAGGGGCCTCAGCCTCGCCGAGCGGAAAGAGTTGGCCGAGACGCTGGATGGGGTCGTTGGCCCCTCTTCTGGTCCCGCGGAGCCTGGGTCTGCCTGCGAGATCTCGTTTCTCTCTAGGCGGTCGCCCAACGTGAGCAGGTCCTGGACAAACATGGTGACCTCCTCTGGGTGAAGGCTCGGGGGGAGGCGTTGACTCGTCTTTCGGCCCCTTCTTGGGAGGAGTCAGATTCAGACGCGTCTGATGTTGTTTGATATTGGATCACCGTGGCTGTAGGCCCGTGTCCCACAAACCAATCTCCTCCTCCTCCTCCTCTCCGCCGTTGTTTCCTCCTCCTTCCTGCTCCCTATCATTCGCGCTCTCATCATTCAGTATCCTCCTCCGCCGCCGCCGCCAGTTCCCCCTCCGCCGCATTCTCCTCATCATCACCATCACTACCATCATCCGTCCTCCTCTGCCACTTGTTCAACCGCCTCGTCCCTCTTCCATCCCTATCCGTCATGGATCATTTCTCCCCGTCGCACCCCCGGCGGGCCGCCAGAGGCTTCCTCCGTTGTTATGGTCTTGACCTCGTTTATTCGCAACAGTTGCACGTATGTATTGGGTGGCCAAAAATGGAGCCCTCGCCGTAACGCCGCTCCCATTCGTCTTCAGAGCTTGCAGCAGTCATAAGGATGCGTGGGGGTCGTTTTAAACAGTGCTTCTCGCCATGGCGCACCGCACACTTACAAGGGCGAATTCTTGTTCAGAATGCGGTTCTCGCCCTAGCGCAGCACAGACTCGTGTTAGACATGCGCTTGTTACAGGGACGGTCCCTTTTCGACATGGGGCGTTCGCGTGAAACGGTGTCCGATGAACAGAACAGGAATTTGTGCAACACTAAGACGGATGGGGACTGTCCGTGTTCATCACGGGGATCTCGTTAGACACATCGCTGAATTGCAAGATCATGTTTCTTCCGCAGTAGATCATTAATATGTCTTCCGCGGTCCTTGTAAGTTGCTGGAAGAGCACAGTGCAGTAGCCATTTACGATACGGGGCTCTCGCTCGAGTGGCAGGCTCGTCGGGTGCTGGACGTTTGAGGGGGTGCTTCTCGCGGCAAGGAACGGAAATTTTCAGAAGGAAAAACCACACAGACACAATTCATTGTCGATTCCCCAGAAAATATGGGACAATATGGGAAGTGGGGGGGAAGATAAAACACCTAGAAACTATAGGAACTTATGGGGAATATGTTTATTTGTGTGTATTTATGTGTGTGTCCTTGAGCCCCTTCAAGTTCGTCGGGACTTCTGAGAATGGGGATCTGGGACGAGGGGGTGTACTGCAGCATCGTTGATGCATGGTGTGCGTGCTCTGGTCCTCCTCTTCCTCCTCCCCCGATGTCTCCTCCCCTCCCGCGCGCGGTCCCGTGCGTGCGGGAGGGCGTTCGGGAGGAATACAGTCGGGGCCCTGAAGAAGGAACATTTTCTTTGGGAAGGGGCTCAGTGTTCCTTGATTGTTTCAAAGTTTGCCTCTGGTTGCCCTGGGTTTTCCATACGAAAGCGAGGTTGAACGTATGGGAAGGGCCTCGTTCCTTATCTAGGGTTCCTTAGGTCAACGCCTCGACTGTAGTAAAGGTAGAGAGGGTTGACAAACCTCGTGCGGAAGGTTTGTCTTCGATGTCCAGCCTCCAGGGGCCCGTGTCGAGCTTGCCCGCGATGGAGATCCTACCAGGAGGGACCCAGAAGAGTTCCCAGGACCGAGTTTGAGCGGATTTGGGTCAGGACCCAGACACAGAGGAGGAGGAGGAGGAGGAGGAGGAGGAGGAGGAGGAGGAGGAGGAGGAGGAGGAGGAGGGGGGGAGGATGAAACTGATTATTTGATCTCTCGGGCCTCCAGGGGAACCCTCATCGCCAAAGCTGGATCCGCTTCTGACGCCAAAGCTGGATCCGCTTCTGAAATCTTGGTCAGAACGCTATCCAGGAGAGGTCTGGAGGCCGATGTTGAAGAGGGGTGAGAAATAGGGAGAGAGCGAGGGAGGGAGGAGGCGGATGTATACGTACGTGTTTGAAGTTCCAGGACGTTCTCCAGCTTCAGAATGGTTCTCGGAGATTTTCGGGAGTCTTCGGGGGGTCCAGGGGGAGTGTTAGATGGACGGGTTGGTGGCAAGTGGGGTGGAGGAAGGATCAAAGATATGTGGATGAGGAGAAGCATGAGGAGGGCCATGTTCCTCGTGCGTTCGCATGTTTCTCTTTGCTGGGACGAACCGATTCGGGAAGTTACCCGAGGAGGGGAATGGAGGCCTGATCGCGATATGTGAGGAAGTTGGAGGAGCAAGAACAGATGCATGTCCATGAGGATGAGGATGAGAGGGTATTTGGTAGGGTTTCTCAGGGGGGATACTCTCCGCTGGCCTGAGGCAAGATGCGAGGTCTAGAAGACAGCTAGTCAGCCACAGTCGCTCCGACTCGGAAAGTCGGGCGCGCGAGAGGTAAGAAAATGCTTCTGTCACAGTGTTCTGCGAGCGTCGTTGGGGGGGGTAGAGTTCGAAAGAGAACTGTCCAGGCGTAAACCCCAACCATCTGCAGTTGTGGGTGCCGCTGTAAATCGAGGTCCTCTGAAGGCCACGGCACGCGTGAGGGGTGTGCCGTGATGGGTGGGGGAAACGCATGCGGCCACAGCCACCAGGGACTTCGGAGGAGCTCCCGATGGGGCCACGAAACGTTGTACTGGATAGGGGGACGCATGCGGCCGCGGCCACTGGAGCGTCCGGTGGAGCTCCCTGTGGGGCCACGAAGCGCTGTATGAGGTGGGGAAGACGCATGCAGCCGCGGCCATTGGGGCCTTCGGTGGAGCTCCCTGGGGCCTCCAGTGGAGTTCACTATGGGGCCACGAGCCATTCGCTGGGTGCGGGAGACATGCGAACGTCGCCTCTGAGGCCTTCAGTGGAGGTCCTCATGGGGGCACGAAGCGCTATACTGGATGAGGGAGACGCATGCGAACGTCGCCGCCTGGGGCCTTCGGTAGAGCTCCCTATGGGGTCACGACACGCGTGAGGGGTGTGCCAAAATGGGTGACATGCGGAGAGCAGTGTCCAAGGGTGGGAGGAGGGAGGAGCGGGGGGAGAGAAGAGGAGGAGTAGGAGTATGGGTATGGGTATGGGTATGGATACATGACAACGTCAGGAAAGCAAGCAATGACAATATGACATGCTGCATGCAATGCGACGAAGGGCCTACCCTCGAGACGCTCCTCCGCGTCGGGTGGCCTTCTCCGTCTTGCTCAGAAACTTTCTGGCCAGAGCCCACAGGAAATCCTGGAAAGGTATTCAAGCCTGTTAGCAGTGGGACGCTGACAAGGACGGCCAAGCCCGTCCAGCAATTGATGCCCATAGCATCCACATCTGCCGCAAAACCACAATCTCAGTCCACTGTGCCACTGCATCCGATGAGAGGAGTCAACAAAGCCCCCCGCTATATGAAACAGGGCTTGGGGGGGTTTGTTGAAAATCACTCCGTTATAGTTCAGGGGCTCGAAACAGGGTGACTGACGCCAGAGGGTGGTCCGCGCCTTTGTGGCCGAACCCCCACATCGAATACACCTGCGCCCTGTCTCATCAAGGCAGTGGTCGGTAGAGAAGAGGGAGAGAGAGGCAGCAGAGGGGGGCGAGGGGGCAGGGGCGACCTTTTCCCCACGAGGCACGACTCTATTTTCAGCTTCGGCATCGCAGGCATCTAAGGTGGCCCGCAAAATCCGCATGCGTACAAGTCGAGCCCTGCGCTCGTGCCACAGAACATTCGATCGCACATCCTGTGAGACTCGCGCCTCCTTGGCTGCGAGGCCAGCCACCTCGTCAACTACAGCATTGCTAGTGACCTTCCATCTCGGCGCCACACCCCTCACAATGTCTTGGGCTGTGAGGTGGGAGTGGGTGAAATCAACTGTGATCGATGCAGCGCCGCCTGCCCGCTCCTTGAGAAGCTGGCCTAGCTGCGCCCACAAATCCTTACCCTCGCCTTGGGGCCGATCATAGCGGCCCGCGAACCACCCTTTGACTACTGGCTCGCAGTCTGAAATGAACAAAATGAAACCTTTGGTGAGCCAGACCGCGAGCAACAGGGCCCTAAGCTCTCCTCTCGCCACGACTTGGCGAGGGCCACACAGGGGGCCGCGCACCGTGCCAATTAGCTCAACGCAGGGCTCAAGCGAGGCAAAAAGGGCCACGGCTACTCCGACTCGGCGAAACAGGTTGCTGCTACTGTCGGGCCCTCCACTTGCATCACCGCTGATGAGGAGGGGGCTGTCGATGGAGCCTTCCCCCCAGCACCCTGCAGAGACTGCATTGAATCCCTCAGGGGTCCAGCATTCGGCATCCTGTGGCGGGGGTACGGCTGTCCAGGCCGCAGGAAGCATGCCCCTGAGCCAAAACCCCTCATCCATGTCCATCTGTGCAAGGGCCTGCGGTAGCAGGTCCTGTGAGTCATCGTATGCAACTTTCCCTTGATTGCACTCGCACAGCCAGATGCGGTGCTTTGCCGTCTCTGGCTCCTTGCCGCATCGCCGGCACAAAACGTTGCCGTCGAATTTAGCTATCTCATCTTTGCGCCGCTGCATCGGCCAAGAAGCTCCTATGGCACAAGCTAGCATGGTCTCTGACAGACGATGCCCATACTCAGGAACAGCCGCCAATTGCTGCAAAAGCACGCGGTACGAGGTCACATCCACTCCGCGCTCGAGGCCTGCTCCGCAAAAATGGCGGCTGCCCTTGACCCACAGCTGGTGCCTGAGCGAGGCGCGGAAGTCCTCAAGGAAGGCACTGTGCGAGTCAAGGGCCTTGTCGCCTGTGTACATGGTATCGTCGAACCTCCATTCGTCGCCCGCTGCCTCATGGGGTGGTGGTATGGTCCAGGCCGTAGGCTCATCCACACCCCAACCTGCCTCCAAGAGGTGCAATACCACAGCTGTGAGAGGTCCTCGCACATGGCGAGAGCGTTGGCCTTCTGGGATGGACCGAAGGTGCTGTACAACTTGGCGCCAGGCTTGTCGTACTCCAGGTCTGATCTCGGGTCGGTCCCGCCACGTAGTGAGCCACTGGTCCAGGCAGGCTGTGGGCATCTGGATGGCGGGGTCTGCATCACCAGCTCGTAGGGCGAGTAGGCTGGTCAGACATCGTCCCCTCGTGGGGGCCGCCAGAGAGAAACCCAATCGTCGTCGGATATCCGTCAAGAGGAGGAGTAGGAGGAGGAGGAGGAGGAGGAGGAGGAGGAGGAGGAGTTGGAGGAGAAGGAGGAGGAGGAGGAGGAGGAGGAGGAGAGGAAGTGAGGAGGGAGTGAGGAGGGACCAAACACCAAAGGATGGTCTGAACAAATCCCTGAGATGTACCCAACAACTTCCCGACGCGAGCCGATTATTCAAAGGAACGGTCCATACAAACGAACACGTTGCAGGGACACCCTAATGCGCAGGACCTTCAAGGAACCCACGACAATGGCAGCAACTTGCGCACTGCGTATCCTCCCAGGGAACCGCGAGGTCTCGGCTCGGTCTGCGTGCTGCCTCCTTCCGCTGGGCCTCCCAGGAGCCCACGACAGTGGCGATAGTTGCACAGTTGGCCGTACCCCATGGAGCCGCGAGGACACGGCTGGATGTGCGTACGCCCCCATTCCGCCGGGCCTCCCTGGAGCCCGCGAAAGTGCGACAGTTACACATTGCGCAGCCACCTAGGAAGCTGCCAGGTTTCCGCTGGGTGCGCGTACACCCTGACTACGCTGGGCCTCCCAGGAGCCCACGAAAGTGGCGACAGTTGCGCAGTTGACAGTCTTCCAGGGGGCCGCGAGGTCTCGGCTGGATGTGCGTACTCCCCCCCTCCGCTGGGCCTCCCAGAAGCCTACGAAAGTGGCGTCAGTTGCGCAGTTGGCAGTCCCCCTGGAAGCTGCGAGGTCTCGGCTGGATGCGCGTATTCCCCTGTTCCGCCGTGTCTCCGAGGAGCCCACGAAAGTGGCGACAGTTGCGCAGTCCGCAGATACTAGGTAGCCGCGAGGTCTCAGCTGGATGCGCGTACTCCCCTGCACCGCCGTGCCTCCCAGAAGCCTATGAAAGTGGCGACAGCTGCGCAGTTCGCAGACACCCAGGAAGCTGCGAGGTCTCGTCTGGATGCGCGTACTCCCCTACTCCACCGTGCTCCCAGGAGCCCACGAAAGTGGCGACAGTTGCGCAGTTCGCAGGCACCCAGGGAGCAGCGCAGGAGGAGGCAGGAGGAAGGGGAGGGGAAGGAGAAGAGAAGAAGTGGATACTACGGTGCTCAATTCAAAACGAGGACCCGACCCAACACAGGAGGGTAGGCTGTATCGATAGCACGGCACCGTTGGGAGCCCGTCAGCGTGTTACTCTCTCGTTTTTGTCCGACGGCTTGGTGCTTCTTCAACAGTACTTCGCTAATGCCGCAGCGGCATGTCATTGATATTGTTTTTTGTTTCCCGAGGAGTTGCGGGCCACGAGCGGCCGGAGGAGGAGGAATGGGAAGGTCAGACGTCTAGGTCACCCGCGGGGGTGCGAAGATAATCGCGCTTCTCGCGTTGCGGCCTGGGCGGGGGTCGAGCAAGCGCAATCATGAATGAAGGCGCGTGGACCAGCGACGCGTCCCGCTTCCACACGAAGTCGACGCAGCTCCGTCGCGGCACCGGCCACACGTGTCCCAGGATGGATTTGGCGCCCACGCGCCAGATCCACGGATCCCGGATGTATATATCTCAGGAGGGGGAAACAAAAACACAGACACAATTAATCGTCGACTCCCCAGAAGTTATAGGAAAATATGGGAAGTGGGGGGGAAGACAAAAACCCAGAAGATATGGGAAAATATGGGGACTTGTTTTTATTTGTGTGTGTATTTATTTGCGTGTCCCAGGTTCCCTTCAATATCAGCATGCAGCCCATAGAGCGGTGGCTCTTCTCCAGCGCGGTGGCGCGAGCCTGCGGGCGAAGAGCGGCCGCGCCGGCCGTGCCCCGGGGCCGAGGCCCCGCGGATACGGCGCAGGTCTTCGCGGCTGCCCCCGCGCGGGAACGTGCCTCGTGCGAGCGCGTGTCTCCGCGGGAGCGCGCCCCGAAATGCAGACCGCGAGGGCGCGGGTACAGATATATCGTCGCCGCTTGATCTGTGGAAACACACACACACACACAAAAAAAAAGTCTGCGGAAAACATACACACAAAAAACACACACACACACACAAAAAAAAAAAAAAACGTTGGAAAAAAAAAACACACTGGAAAAAAACACAAAAACACACAAACACAAACAAAGCTGTGGGAAAGAACACAAAACAATATACACACACATTGTGCTTTTTGTGTGTGTGCTCGTTTTCCACGACCACGAGTCAGCTACGCGCAGAGGGGGTGGGAGGGAGAGGGGAGGGGTGTCTCAGAAGCGCCCCTGGTTCTGAGAAGGCGCGGGCCTTGCCTGTCGATGGAGGGCCGGCGCCTTCTGAGGAGCAGCCTCCTCCTTGGCGCGTTGACGTCGACCCTGAGTCCCTCCTCCTCCTCCTCCTCCTCCTTCTCCCACCCCCTCCTCCTCCTCCTCCTCCTCCTCCTCCTCCTCCTCCTCCTCCTCCTTCTCCCCCCTCCTCCTCCTCCTCCCTCCTCCTCCTCCTCCTCCTCCTCCTCCTCCTCCTCCTCCTCCTCCTCCTCCTCCTCCTCCTCCTCCTCAGATACTCGCAGAGCGCAGGGCGCGATGCGCGAGTTTTGGCGGCCTGGTAGCTGGGGAGAGCGCCCTGCCGCCGGGGAGGACATCTGCGAGGACGAGAAGAGCGCCACCAAGATAGGCGTGCTCCCCCCCTGGCACGACGCCCCAGAGCGCTCTGCACAGCACGCTGCGATAGCTACCTCGGGAGCCGCGTCGCCCTCTTCGTGCCGTTTCCTGCGTCGATCCGCGTGTGGTAATCGACGAGGTAGCGCCGATTTAGCCTCGAGCAGTATCGATCTAGCGTCGATTAGCGTCGGCCAGCGCCGAGTCGCAAGAGCCAACAAAGGTGGTATGGGAGGCTCCCGTGAGTTGCCACCCAAGCACGCGCAGGAGGCAGACAGGACGCCCCCCCCCCCGCTCTCCCCCCGACATCCTCGCGCCGCGCACATCACACGGCGGGAGTCTTTGGCAGTTCCCGGCCTCCGGGGGCCCTCACCAGGCCCCCAGGCCGCCACAAAACGATTCATGACGAGAGGCCGTTCCCAGGGAAGGGGTCCAGGCCTCTGGGGAGCCTGGGGGAGGGGGCCAAAACCGGGCGGTGACCACACCGTATGGTGAGTCAGTGGGGGTTTGGGGGTGACAGCACGATTGTGAGGTTTGGGTCGTTCTCCGAGGATGTCTCGGGCGATTGGGGCCTCCAGGGTCCCGAGACCGTGCGGTGACGGACCGTGCGGTGAGGTCTTTCGGGATCTCGAAGTCACCGCACAGTCTGTCATCTCACCATTTTGGGGCCCCGAAAGAGCCGCGTTGTGAACAAAAATCATAGCGTCGGATGTCTGGACCCATTACTCCTCCTGACGTGAGCGGCGGCGCCTTCTTCCCTGCCGATTCGGAGGTCGTCGTCGTCGTCGTCGTCTCTTGCTTCCCCGTTTGGCCTCCAGGGGGGTCCTCGTCGCGGCGGTTGAGCGCAGCTCGAAGACTTGGGATCGATTCTGAGCGAATCTTGCCCAGACCAGAGGTCGAGGGGCGAGGAACGAGGCGATAGGTTTCTGTATGGTTCTATTCCCCCTCCTTGGGCCTCCCAGAGCGACCGTCGTCGCCACGACTGGACCCGTGTCGGAGTTACGTATGGTCAGAACATGTTCTTGTGCAGGTCCGGAGCGGAATCTGAGAGAGACGGAGAAGGATGATGAGGAGGAGGCGTAGGGATATTCGAACGTAGTCAAAGGAGGGTCTGCGTGTGGGGATCGCCCTCCTCCTAGGACTTGAATGCAGTCACAGAGTCGCCTCTCCTCGTCCCCCGTCCCCCCGCCCATGATGAAGCGCGCCATGGCTGATGACTGGGAAATCTATGGTGCCTTCGCAGCAAGTGGACCTCGAAGCCACTCCAGAGGGCTCGCTGCTTGTCGGCAGTCGGGCTTCGTCAATGGGTGGCGAAGTTGCCGCCCATGATGCAGGGGGCACCCAGGGCGGCGGAGCCGGCGGAGCTGGTCCTTGGTGTGTTGGAGGCCACACATTGCGGAAGTTACCAGTCGAAGCGCAGGGTGTTCCGCGCCCGTTGGTCTGCGCAGCGGAGGTGGGTCGACGAGCTCGAGAGGCGATTGAGGGCTGCGCGGTCGCCGCGAGGGCCCGCAGGAGGCCCGGCTGGGCTCGGGGAAGCATGATGCCTCCAGTGCTGCCCGCCACGTGCATCCCACAAGGGCGCCCTCGAGGGCGCGAAGTTGCTCGCGCTTCGCGGTTCGGCTCCGATTTCTCCTCCTCCTCCTCCTCCTCCTCCTCCTCCTCCTCCTCCTCCTCCTCCTCCTCCTCCCCGTTCTCGAGCGCTGCGTATGTCGTCCTTTGCCCCATCGAGCCCCTGCGGCCGGCGCGAGGGCCTCGGCGCCGTGCTCGCGCGCTCGCGCGGGGAGAGGCGCCGTGCCCCCAGAGGCGCCGGGGCCCGAGGAGGCCGCGGCGGGCCTCCCTCGGCACGCGAGGGCCTCGTGCGCGCCCCGCCGCTGGCGTCACGTCGGGCCTGTGCCCCTACAGGGGGATCCTCGACGAAAAATCAAGAAAGATACACCAACAATAATCCAAACATAGTCCAAACACAGTTTGGGGATTGTTTTTTGAATATGTTTTGGCCTTTTTGGTGTATTTTTGTGGCCTTTTGGGCCTTGTCGACGAGAATTTCAAAATACAAAAAAAAAATGTCCAAAACTAGTCTGGGGACTATGTTTTGGGTATGTTTTGGGCTTTTGGGGATGTTTGGGGTTTTCTTTATTTTTCGTCGAAAATCCCCCTGTTTGGGGGACACGCCCGACAGAAGGCTGGCCCCAGGCAGGGCTTCTGGCCCCCTGCCCGGGCGTCCAAAAGCTCCCCTCGGTGCTGTGGGACGTGCGCCCGTCGCTCTTGCGCTGTCTTGAGGCGTCGTTGCCTTGGGCCGTTTCTTGGGGCCATCTTGTGAAGGGCTTTGGGCTGCTGGGCCCCCCCAAGCCTCTTTCATCGCCAGCGCCGACCTCCTGCAGCTGTGGTGGGGGCGTTGCGGGGGCATGCCCGGGCGAGGGTGGTCGGCGGCAGCGGACGGAGGGCGCGCCCGACGAAGCTCCCCTCTGATGGGCGCGCGGCAGGCCTTCTCGAGGAACCCGGGCCTCAGGTGGCCCCGAAAACGACAGGGCGGTCTTTGTGCCGGTTCCGCTTTGCCGCTCTTCTGCTGGTTGGGGCGCCGCTTGTTTCTCCGGGTTCCGTCGCCCTATTTGTTCTTGGTTCCAGTTCCTGCTCCTGTCTTGGAGCGGTTGGTTTGCGGGTTCTGGTCGCGTTGCTTTCACCGCTTCCATCATGAAGAGGCATTTTTTTGGTAGCGATGATCAAATCCCTTGCATTTCCCGCGGCCAACAAAGACCTGGGCCTCTCTGAACTTGGCTCTCTTCCCCCATATGGACGTCCAATCCTTCTCCTAATCCACCCTTCCTCCTGATAAATAGCACCTCCTTGCCGCACCCCTAGACGTGTCGTTAGGGCGGGCAGGGTGTTTCGCATGATACTTCCCACCGTTTACGGTCTTGAAGCTCGAGACTTCCAACAGTTGCACGGGTGGTGGGCGGGTCGTTTTCAAAATGGAGTTCTCTCCCTGGCGCTGCTCATTGGCTTCTTCGCACCATCGAGTACGTACACAGATGCAGGGGCGGTTCACTTTGGAAATGGGGTTCTTGCTTTGGGCGCCGTGCAGCTTCGTCCTAAAACAACCCAGCAGGTACAGGGATGTGGGGCGGGCCGTTTTATACTGGGCCACCGCCGTGGCGCCGCGCGCAGCCGTCGGAAACGAATCCACGGGCTTCACGGATGGAGTAAGGTTCCTTTTGAAAACGGTGTTATTGTTTGAAATGTCTTTATCTACGGCCAGAAGCAGAGCACTGCGCAAGCAGTTGTTTCAGATGGAGGGCAGTTCTTCCTCAGGGTGGGATTGACATTCCAGTGTTTTTGCTATCTGCGGGCAATACCGCGAATGATGTCCCCCCCTCCCCTCCCCCCCCACAAACGTACAGTGCAGATTTAATACATGCTTCGCGTGCGGATCATGTATCAAACATGCAGGGATTTAGTATTAAAAACAATGATGAGTTCATGTATATATTCATTCATACATTAATCATGTATTAAACATAATTTTTTAATAAGAAAATATCCCATGTATTAAAATCTGCTCTGTACCGCGAATGATGTCCCCCCCTCCCCTCCCCCCCCCCAAACGTGACACTCCTCCTCGCCCAGTGCGCCCCCAGCACTACCCGCAGAGCGTCCGGCACCACAGTCTGGGACTGCGCCTCGTTGTGCGCACCCCCCGCCTTCCCCCCCGCCTCCGCCTCCCCACGGCGCCCGTCATCGCCTCCGCAAGACGCGAGTGGAGAGGAGGCGGGCCCCAGGGCCGCGACCTCCCGAGAGCAGGCCGCCGCGGCGAGGGCGGCAGGCGCGGCGGGGTCGCCGCCGTCCGTGCGTGCGTGCGTGCGAGCGTGCGTGCGAGCGTGCGTGCGTGTGTGTGTGTGTGTGTGCGTGTGATGATGAAGCAGTTTGCAGCGTTTCTTGCGCACCCAACTCTTCTCTCCGAACCGCCAGCGTCGCCTTCCCGCGCCGGCGACGCCAAGAGTTCGACCGGCAGTTGTGCCTCCAGCAGCGCAAGGCACGAAGATGGTTGCTTTATAAACAGCGTTCCTTGGGATGCAACTCTTGGAACGCTAAAATCAGCATCTGCGTTGGTCCATCCGTCGTCGAAACGGCCTATAAGCTAGCATAGTTGCGAGTCGTTCCGTTCAATACCATGCAACCTGGCTTCATCGGGTTGCAAACATGGTTGAGTTTGGTGTACAGGCCCAGTAGCCCTTCGATAGTTCTTACGACCGCTTCCCAGGAGTTACTTCCTACAGTCGGCACTGATTAGTAGGTCGATCCTGCCAGCTCAAGGGTACCCTTGTGTCATGTGCCTCGCGACACGTGCTTTCTTACACTCCTATGGCGATGTGGCCCTCGGAAGGGTCTTGTGTCCTCTCGCGTGTCCTGTCCAATCAAGGCCGACTGTAAGGCCCCGTTGCCAGGCAGCGGCGACTACTCGATGGCGCCCCGCAGCTGCATCGTGCTGAAGTGCTTCGCGGAGCGAAGCCGCGCCTGTTGCCGTCCTGCTGCTCACAGAGGGGGCAGGCGGGGCAGAGAGCTGGCCACTGCAGAAGTGTGGGGCGCCTGTTTGGCGTCGCCGTCCCACATGGGCGGTCCCAAATATCTAACGATCAGACGCTGTTGCAATGGTTCAATTTCCTCGATTGCGAAGGCTTTCCGGCCGGTGCCGCCGACCCTGCAAACGGAGTCGACGAGCAGGACAAGGACGTTGAGGAGCAAGAGACGGAGGACGTCAGGGAGCAAGAGGGGGGAGGGGGAGGAGGAGGAGGAGGAGGAGGAGGAGGAGGAGGAGGAGGAGGAGGAGGAGGTGGAGGAGGAGGAGGAGGAGGAGGGGGAAATGAATAGGAGCAGGACGAGGCGAGCAGGGCCGCATGGTGCAGGAGTGGTCCTGGGGCCCGGGTCCTGGGAGGAGGTCCTCGGGGCTGGGTCCTGGAGGGTCCACGGATCCTCGGAATTCTGGGTCCTGGGGTGTCCCGTGGCCGAGCGTCCAGGAGGCCGGTTCGGTTCTGCAGGGGGACGGAGGAAAGAGGAGAGATGAGGATGGAGGGAGGGGGGGAGGGAGGAGAGGGCGTGGTAGAATGCCTCGGCTCGTGGCCCGTCTGAGGCTTTATGTGGGCCCCGGGACCCCCAAAGGGGGGGAATCGTATCTGACGCGGGACCACCCCGGGACCCCCCCCACCCGGCAGGGAAGGAATCAAAGGGAAGGGGCTTCCTTTCGACTCAGTGACAACGTTGCTCTTGAGGGGGAGGCCCTGGAAAAGCGGAGGGGGAGCGGCGACGGGCCCAGGGAAGAGGGGGAAAGTGGAGGAGGGGAGACGGGCCCAGGGAAAGGGGGAGCGCGGGGACAGGAGACGACTGGCCCAGGGAAAGGGTGGGCGCAGGGACAGGAGATGACTGACGCTTTTATCCTGGCTCATTTCCTCGACTTCGGCTCCCCGCCATCGGGCCTTGGGACCATCAGACACGAGCCTGGAACGAAGAAGTACCCCTGGGGAAGCGGTGGGGAGCTTTTGGCCGCGGAATGAGAAACTCAGATCTGCGGATGTGAGGGGCCTTCCCACCCTGGCCCAGTCAAAGTCGACGGAGGGCTCCACCGGTGTGCAGGAGGTGGAGCGTGTAGGCAGGAGTTCTGGCGGAGGGAGCTCCGCCGCGTGTTCGGGGCGGGCCACTGGGGATGTCGAGGTGCGCGCGGTCGCTGCGGCGGTTCGGGGGCCCCGCCACAGGACAAGGCGGGCGCCTACGACGCGAAGCTGGAGCAGGACTACCTCGACCAGCAGAGGCTTGAGGACACACCGGCGCATGCTGGGGGCCGCTGCTGTCGGGTGACGCCAAGTCCCGCTGTAGCCAGGCCATGGCAGATTCGCGTCGTGAAAAAACACGACGGGTGGATCTCTGCTTTAAACACAATTTGCGAAGCCCTTTGTTCGGCACGACGACGACGACGACGACGACCGCGACCACGACCACGACGACGACGACGACCACGACCACGACCACGACGACCACGACGATCCTTACCACGACGACGACGAAGACGACGACCACGACGGCGACCACGACCACGACCACGGTCACGACCACGACGACGACGACGACGACGACCGCGAGGACGACCACCACGACGACGACGACGACGATCCTTACCACGACGACGACGACGACGACGACGACCACGACAACGACCACGACGACGACCACAACGACCACGACGACGACGACCGCGACCATAACCACGACCACGACCACGACGACGACGACGACGACAACGACCACGACGACGACGACGAAGACGACGACGACGACGACGACGACGATCCTTACCACGACGACGACCACGACCACGACCACGACCACGACCACGACGACGACCACGACGACGACCATGACAACGACCACGACCACGATAACGACCACGACCACGACGACGACGACCACGACGACGACGACCACGACCACGACCACGACGATGACGACGACCACGACCACGACCACGACGGCGACGACGACGATGACGAGGACGACGACGACGACCACGACGATCACGACGACCACGACAGCGACGGCGACGATGATGACGACGACGACGACGACGACGTCGACGACCACGACCACGACAACGACCACGACCACGACGACGATGACGAGGACCACAACGACCACGACGACGACGACGACGACCACGTCCACGACGACAACGACGACGACGAGGGCGTCAGCGACAACGACCACGACCACGACAACATCGACGACGACGACGACGACGACCACCACCACGACGACCACGACGACCACGACGACCACGACAGTGACGACGACGATGACGACGACGACGATGACCACGACCACGACTATGACGAGGACGACCACGACGATGACGACGACGACGACCACGACCACGACCACGACCACGACCACGACCACGAAGACCACGACGACAGCCTTGACGACGACGACGACCACGACGACGACGACGACGACGACGACGACGACGATGACCACGACGACGACGACGACGACCACGACGACGGCGACGACGACGAGGAGGACCACTACCACGACGACCACGACAATGACGACGACGACGACGACGACCACGACGACCACGACGACCACGACGACCACGGTGACCACGGGGGCGGCGACGACGGGGGCGGATACAACGGGAGCGGCGGCGACGACGACGACGACGACGACGACGACGACGTGGGTCAGAGTCCTCAGGGATGCTTTTCGGCAGCTCTTCCGCAGCGCTCTCGGGGGCCTCTGGGGGTCAGTTCTGGGATCGCCTCTTGTGAGCCCTTAGGGGGCCTCACGGGAGCCTCTTGTGGGCCTCTTGTGGGCTTACGGGGGGCCGTCCTCGGGGCCTCTTGGGCCTTCTTGTCGGGGGTGGACAGAACCCCCAACAGTGACACGTCGATTAGTGAATTGTCCGTTTTCGGTTCTCGAGAGGGCGCCGTGGCCGTCATTTTCCAGGCTTGCGCCCGCCAGGTTTGGGCCTCAGGTCGTTTTCACTAAATCACGTTTTGCTAAAGGGGGGTCTCTCCATCCCCGATCTTGTAGCGTCGGGAAACCGAAGAGGCGAGACTGCCAAGAGCTGTCAAAAACCTCAGAAGAGTCAATGAAGTTTGCCTCGTGGGGCCCTCGTGGGAGTGCTCTTGGAGGCCTCTTGGGGCGTCTGAAAGGCCCCTTGGGCTGTCCAGTGGCTATCTTGGGCGTCTTGGACCGATTGCTCGGCGATTCGGGGCCCTCTTGGATCGTCTTGGCGGCCTCTTTGAGCACTGTTGACCCGTCTTGGGGCTTAAAGGGCAACTGGATCCCCCGGGGGGATGGTATTCTGACCAGGGATCCCGTGGGAATGCCGCCCCTCGACAGAGAATGGATCAAAGGGAAGAGGCTTCCCTTCGACTTAGCTACGACGTTCTTCGATCTCCTTGTTCGTCAGTTTCCTTGGAACTGACGACGACGACCACGACAACGACGACGACGAAGACGACGTCGACGACGACGACGAAGATGACGACTCAAACGGGAAAACGTCTCACGCACGCCGAAGGGTCGGTGGATTTCGCCTCCGGGTGCCCTTGATTGGCCCTGGGGTCGTCAAACAAATTGTTCGGGACGCAGAGTCAGTCTCTGGGCAGGGGTCCAGCCCGCTAGGGAGCCAAATTGCGAAAAGTCGCGACGTCGGATGTCTGGGATTGGACCAAGTCCAGTCGGGGCCAAGGGGCGCCATTTTGTAGGCCTCCAACCTGGCCTGGCCTCCTCTCGCGCGGGCGACGCTGGGTCCAGTCAGAGGCAGGTCCAATCGGAGCCAGGGCGCTCCGCCTGGTGGGCTTCCAAATGGACCTAACTCAGAGGGGCAAGGAGTCAGGACAATGATGCTTTCCAGGATTTCGACCACGGCGTAGATTTCCAACTGTTCCCCGCGGGTGCCAGACACGAGGGCCGCTGGATACTCTGGAGATCCTGGAACGTATCAACCCTATGGTGAAGTCGTTCTCACTCTGCTGACCTCCCCCGATGGTTGGGCGAGGGCGGCGGGCTAGGGGCTAGGGCCTTCGAACGGCAGAACGCGCGATGCACTGTCCAGAGAAGGATCTCGCCCCGTCCGGGGTCGGTCGCCTTCTGGGCATTCTAAAAGCACAGCCGTGCAGGGTCGGGCGGGGCTAAGACGGTGTTGAATTCGTTCCAGAGCGTTCCAGAACGCTTTCAGAGCGTTCCAGAACGCTCTGAGAAGACCGCGGCGACCGATACATCGTCCAGAACCGCCGGACCCTGGAGATCCCCGATATCCCTGCTCAAGTTTGTCCATGTCCCGGCTCTGTCTTATTGGATCAAGAATTTGGACGCCCGAAATGGGCACGGAAAAAATGGGTACAATGCCCAACAACACATGTTGTCCCAAACCGACAGCGGCCGCTGTTGGGCAGGCGGCCTTCTGTCTCAAATAGACACTGGCCGCGGCGGCGCGGACAGCGAGTCCTGTTCAAAATGAACAAGAAGTGCTGTTGGGCATCGTACCCATTCTTTCCGTGCCCATTTCGTTCGCGCCGAAAGAAGCCAGGGGCGAGTGCAGGGATCACCGTCCTCGTGTTCTCCCGTCGAGTCACCCTCTCGCTGCCCCGCCTTCGTGCGCCTCGCCCTCGTGAAAAACAATGGCTTATCCGGCTGCTCGCCGCAAGTTCCGCCACCGCGCCAGCGCAGTATTCCGTGCTGCGGCGTGTCTTGCACCACCCAAAAGGCCGCAACATGTGACACATGTCGTCTCCACTGGAGGGGCCTTACTTCTGGATCCGCCGGAATGAGGCCCCAGGAGGCCCCAAGGCAGGCCGCGAGGGAGCCGAGGAGCGCACGAAGGCAGGCCGGCGATTGTCCCAGAGCCGGCTTGAAGAGCACCTCGAGGCCGGAGCAGGGACGGAGCACCGTGCCACCTCTGCCTAGCCCTCGGCCCCTCCCGCCTGCGTGCCCGGGTGGTGGACCAGGGGCTCTTGAGTGCATTCAAGGGTCTCGCCTCTTGGAGGGCTCTTGGGGGCCGCCTGGGGACCTCGTTCGGGCCTCCTGGGACCTCCTGGGGACTTCTTGGTGGCCTCGTTGGGGGCCTCGTTGGGGTCTCTTGCATCTTGGGGCGGAGGGCTCGAAATGACAGGTCGTGTTCCCCTTCTTGTAGCCGTCTTGAGGGCCTTTTGTGCCATCTTGCGACCCTCTTGGGCAGTCTTGGGGCCCTGTGAGGGGGCCCTTGGGCAGATCTTGGGGGCCTCTCGAGCCGTCTTGGAGCGTTGGGAGACAGCGCAGGCAAAAACGCTAAACTCTTGCAAAAACCTACGGGTAATTTATGATTGTTGCCTCTTGTTTGAAGCTCGCTGAGGGGCAGCGAACGCGATCTGTGTTTCTGGGGCGACGGGGGAGAGGGCAATGCTTTTGTAGGGCAAGAGCAAGCATGAGCAGCCCGATCGTCGGCAAGAGCAAACATGAAATCAGAGCTTCTCGCGAAGGGCGGCTGTAAGGATTGCTGTTGACCGATCAAGCGCGCCCGCCGAGCGTACGGGGATCTGGCTCTGGAAACAACGCTGCCCCCCCAGCGACCTTCAACCTCTTGTGGCTCTCGTGAGGGTTCTGTTGAGGCTCCTTGGACCGTCTTGGAGGCCTCTTGGGCCGTCTCGGTAGCATCTTGGGCGTTTTAGACCTGCGTTGCCGGACGAGGACAAAATTGGCCCGAGGAGTATCCAAAAAAGGGAGGGGGTGGAGGGCATTCTGACCCAGGACCCCCTGGACCCTTCCCCGGGCGTTTTTTCGGCATGGGGACACACACACACACAAAACCCCAACCCATCCCCAGCGGGGAAGGGTTGGAGGGTAGGGGTTTCCCTTCAAAGTGATTACGATTTGGCGGTTTCCTTCGGGTTGGCGACTTTGAAACGCTTCACTCGACGATCCGCAACGCTCCGGTCGGGCTGGCGACTTTGGAAACGCTCCGATCTGTTCTGCAAGGCTCTCGCTAAGCCTCTCACACACGCCGACTGGGTCGGTGGATTTCTGGAGGGGCCCTCATGAGACCTACCTGTGGCGTTCTTGGGGTTATCTTGGGCCCCCATGTGGCCGCCTTGGGGACCTCTTGGGACTCTCTTGGGCTATCTTGGGCCACCCTTGGCCGACTGGAGAGTCTCTGGGAGCTATCGTGAGGCCCTCCTGGGGCCTTCTTGATGCGTCTTGGCGCTCGCTTGGGCCGTCTGTGGGTCACCTTGGGCCTCTGTATGGGGCCCTCTTCTGGGCGCCCTGGGAGCCCTGT